TGTTACATAAACTTTTCATTATACAGGATGTACTGCATACTATACTTTAATTTGTGTGTAAAACTGTGGATGTGCATACTGTGGCATCTAAATGCAGAGAAGAGTAACATCAAGGGAGGTGGATAGTTATACAGAGAGCTAGATTAGGAATTGAAGAGCACAGGAGCTTCACCAAGCAGGACTGGTGAAAATGGTAACATCTGTTCTTCAGCTGTTATAATGTGTGCTGGACTCGGTAGGTCTCATGGGTCATAGTCTGCCACAGCAGAACAAATGGTTAAATGGAGACTTTATGGATCAGCTGCTATCCAGAGGCATTCCTGAATGTCTTTAAAGAATTATGGGATATGCAGTTATAGAGTTATGGCTTGCTTTAGGGCAGCAGTTCATCTAATGGGATTCTAAGAAATACTGTAAACTTAGTCACATACACAGCTACTGAACACCTGAAGGCTTGAGCACTTGTACCCTACACCTGAAACAAGGGTGTGCACTAGTTTATTAAAGTATAAAACATGCTGTCAAACTGTTTAGTCATAGTTTAGTCATCCTAGCACACAGTAGCTGAGCTCATATTGTAAATAAAGAATTAGGGTTCCCTTGCTGATGTCTTCAGCTGGCGTTTAAGGTAGAAATAGGGGATACGTTTAATTGTTGTTGGACGCAACTCTTTGTATTGGTCATTGTTCTCAAGTTAAGCCTTTAAAAACATTTTCATCCAATGTGTACAGCAAAGTTTCACAGCCGTTTTTCTGAGAGTCTTAGTGAGTCTTCAAGCTGTTAGTCAGAACAAGGGGTAATTGTGTCCATTGTTCTAGAGCCGTATAACTTTGAAAGTTGCAGACATAACTGCTAGACGTTCAAGTAGTGGTAGAAGTAGTCTTCCCACCTGAAGAAGGCTCCACAGCCCAAACATTTTCTTTTCCTTTCAGCATGGAAAAAACCTTTACTTGTTCCTTTGTGACATAACTAGATTATGATATCTTAAAATGGTAAAAGGTTATTGAGCACTGAATCATAAAACTTGAAGTTAACACTAACACTAACCATTTCCTTATTTAGAATTACTATCCTGCGCTGTTTATTTGTTGATCACATTCTGGAATTCAAATGACTGATACATATAAAAATGCCCTGTGCCTGGAATGGGTTTGTTCAACTTGTTCAGCAGCTGTCTAATTAACTTGTATATTGTACCTACAGTTTAAGAGATCTCAATAGTCCCAGCTCATTGGTAATTGACATACGAGAACAGTTCAGCCAATGGTATTGTCTTAACCACAATGAATTACTGAATAACATTTTTGTACACACAGTATACCAATGTGCCTCTCTGCAAATACAGGTGTTTATGATGTATGTTCTCTGGTTTTTATGGAGAAGATATTGCTTTTTCAGGGTTAGGGTTAGGGTTAGTTTTCAAAGATGTGTACTTTTCAGATATTAATGTATTTCTGCCACATTTAAGATTCAATAAACAGTGTCTTTTTCTGAGTCTTGGTCTGATAACCTGAAAATCAATACCATGGAAACTCATAGCAGAACAATTTTCATGTTTTGCTCTGGGTGACAAGTTGATGTTTAATGACAGAAAGGTCATCATATTAAAATGAACTGTGTCTTTATCCTTTCTGTGATCTTGATTTAATCTGCACTCTCAGTTTTTCATTCTAGAAGTTCATTCTAGAGTTTATCCCAGATATTAACCCCCCCCCCCAGCCACTTGTACAATTGGTGCTGGTGCTCCATCACTTGGAACTGGAACAAGTCGAAGGGTATTCTGAAGGCTGTCACTTCTCGGAACTCTGGAGTGAGAGGCACTTGCTATTTTCCTTTCCTAACCTCTAAATTCATAAGGTAAGTAGCTTTTCCAAACTGCATCCCATGACTTTGGGCAACTCTGGAGACGTAGTGAGGGAAAATCCACACAAGACCCCTTTGGAGTACCAGCATTACTAGACCACCCAGGGACTTATCTCAGCTACTTTGAAATTAAACGTGTTAATTTGCTCTACTAAGGTGCTCATCATCTCTTCTGGAATCTGCTATACATGGGCTTCATATGAGGGGATTTGCTCCAGGTAAAGCATTAATTGCTATACTGATTGACAGTAAGTAGCTGCTCAGTAAGAGGAAGTAAACATCTTTCCCATTCAGGCTAACACAGAAAAAAATAGTGGTTGAATACTCTAGCCTTTGCACGCCAGGCAGGGCTGAAGTCCCTTTACTGGAAATTTTAGAGCCATTTTTTTTCAGGCACTGAGACTCCTGCCCCTTTGGCAGAATGTTGCTGCCCAGGTTTTCAAGGAGAATGCATGTCACCAGCCTGCTGTACAGGCTAGCCTTCCCTCAACACTAACCCTACTGCCACATGATCCCAACTTCACCACACCTAGCACCCTGCTGTTGTTCAACTTGTCCATACTGCACCTGATTCACACAGGACGAGTCTGTCACAGCACAAAAGCCTCCCAGAGACAGGGACGCAGATCATATCACTAGAAGAACAGCTACAGATAAGGGCCACTAACAGTACTAGCACAGCCCACATTTGTTATTCAGATGTGTTGCTCATGTAGACATTGGCTTATACACGGAGAGTGGCTGCTTTTAGCTGACTCACCCTGTACAATGAATGATATGGGCTAATTTAAAAAGGGAGTTCCAGCCACAGCCTTCTGGTTTTACAATGGGCAGATATGAATGTGTGTGAACTATACAGATAATATGTGAGTGTTTCATAATTTAACCATTGTGCACAACATCAGAATATCCTATACTTTTTCAGTCATCTCTGCATACAGTGCAGTTTAACCACTGCTAGTACTTACTGTATATAATATATTCAATAGATAGATGGCATGGTGGCACAATGGTTAGCATTGCTGCCTCTCAGTACTGGGCCCTGGGTTTGATTCTGGATCTGGGGTGCTCTCTGTGTGGAGTTTTTATATTTTCCCCATATTTGTGTGGGTTTGCTCTGCTGTCTTCCCACAGTCCAGAAATGTACTTGTAGGTTAATTGCCTTCTGGGAAAATTGGCCCAGGTGTGTGTGTCTGTCTGCCCTCCAATGGACTGGAGTCCCGTCCAGGGTTGTTGCTTGCTGGGATAGGCTGTGGCTCTCCCGAAATGTATGGATATGTAACTCTCTCTAACTCTTATGTCCTAATCACTAATATGGTGGATTTTAACAATAAAAATAAATTGGACACTTAAAAGCACACCTTAATAAAAATACTCTAAATTATTTAAAATGACGGTTGCATATTTTAAATCTACTATCACTCCCTCTCTGATACATGGGAAATATAAGAAACTGTCGAAAGCTGATAAGCAGCTACTGTATGTATATATAAAGATGTATTTATATATAATGCCAATATATAAATATTTGCTCCATGAGATTTGATTAAACAGATCATAGTATTTGCTTAAATGGAAAATATCCAGACAGATGAAAGAGTGTGTGGACATTTCTGCGGATGGCTCGAGCAGTATTGTACCAGCCTGCCCACTCCAAAGGTAACAGCCCCGCACCGATGACACCGACACAAAGCCCAAAGCTTGGCCTGGGACTCTGACTGGAGCACTGGCCTAGCATTCAAGGTGTCTCAACACTCTGTCTCACTTGCTGCCCTTTCCCTTCTCTTTAACTCCCTCCAGACAAACAGAGCCGTCTTCGCTTGCCCGCAAAGAGGACGTTGCTGTATGGTGCCTCACATTTACGCCTGGAGGGCTGTGGGTCTGATTTACATAACGTCCAGTTCTGTAGTTGGCTCAAGTTCTAATAATGATGAAATAAGCCATTGCCTGACTAAAGAAATGACAGCGCTGGTAGGAGATCACACCCCCCCTCACTGACGAAGGACGAGCCGGGGACACAGTGCAGCTATAGTGATGTTGTGGTGGAGAGAGAGGCACTAGACAAGATGGCGGGCAGCATTGTGTATGGGAGCTTTTATACACACGGAAGTTTGACCTCCACCCAAACTTCTGTTCAATAACACCATTTTTTATGACACAGCTGGGCAGTGTGCCATCATCTATACTCACAGATGTGCAGTACATGTTCTGTGCGTGTGCGGTCAGTGGAAGCTGTCATCACGATGCTGAATCTGTTCTGTTTCATGATGTGCAACCAGGGAACTCTTCCTGTAATGTTGCCTTTATGATTTTTGTATTTTACTTAACTCATTCATTTGTTTTGAACGCTCATATTGATCTGTGTCTCTATAATATTTAGATTAAAAAATCTATATACATATAGACTTGTGTATAATTACACAAACACAAACACTCACAAAGACATATACACATCTATAAACTCTTAGAGAGTTTTGCAATTTTTTGCGCTTTTAATTTTCATCTTCTGCAACCAAGGTTACTATAATAACAGAAGCACTAATGGAGGATTTAAGTGAATTGTAGATGCTCACATCATGCTCCAGAATGTGTCAACATTATTTGCGAGTAATGTATCTAGACCAGATAATAACAAGAAAAATATACAATATAACAATATTTGTTAAGTTGATGAGATGTACCTTTCCAGGCTTAAACAAATTATTAACTTTGTCAGTGACACATCTATGGCTCCTTCCTTATGAACCAGACTGTGCAGAGGCTCCTACTCTTTCATCTCAAAGCAGAGCAATTAACAAACAAATGTCTCTTTGTGTCGCTAATGTCTTTTTGGATGTGCCTGCTTGGCTTGTTGCTGTACGTCAAAAACAGACAAAACATAAAGAAGCGATCTACAGTCTTCATTGCGCCTAAAAGCAGGATCTGATCAAATAATTCGGCTCATCTAGAGATGTAATATCTGCTCTGTCGAAGAGGTTGTTAAATGTAATCAATAACCTACATGTACAATAACAAACATACTACAGACGAGGTCTTGAATTGTTACTTCTGAGTCAGGAGGAAATATTATGTCGGGCCAGCTTGTACTTTCCCCTCTTCTTCCAATAGAACTTCCCTTTAGAGCAAGCTTTCTGCCTCTACAGCCTCTTAGGGAAAAGAGTATTCATGGCATTCAGAGAAACTGGTTTATTCTCCCCTGCTGGTTCCTGATTTGTGTAATAAAGAAAAGAGCCCTGTGGAAGGTGAACTTTGATCATCACCTGACAAAAGATAAGGGTCCGGCCCAACTTTCGATGGTTTGTCCTGAAACTCAGAGTGCTGTGAGGAGCATTCACTGTGATATCCAAATCTTCCCTGGGACTGGAACCTTACAAGTCTGGTGCTCTGTAAGATAATGAAGTATCCATTAGCAAAGGTGAGTTCATTTTTTTTGTGTGTGTACGTGCGCTGTTTTTGTTATTTTAAGACATTAAGGAAGTGCAGTGAAACTATAACTCCCAAGACGAATCGGAATGTCTTGACGCTGATAAATAGGGTGGTGTGTCCGTGTAAACAGAGACTATAATTATTAGTCCAAGTGTGACTGCCTGTTACGCAGGTACCTGAGGTTGCTAACAACACCACCTGCACCTTCCTAGAGTTGTGTTTGTCGCGGGTGGAGACAGGACGATTCGCTTACAAAGAAAACAGCCGGCGTACTGCTGAATGCAGGTGCTTAGTAAGAATGTGATATGCATGACTGGGAATTTTGTTGGATCGAAGCAGCAGTTCCGTTCAATTCTGTGGATGTAACACGGCGGATACAGCACAGGTTTTTTAATGGAGACGTATTTTCCTGTTCCTGAAGCCCAGGTAAAGAAGAATGCTTTCCATCTCGTGAAATGCCTATAGAGAAGCCAGCTTCGCCATGAACGTGCTGTTGTCGAAGTGGAGCAAGTCCCAGGACGCCCCAGACAGGCAGTCCTCAGCTGGACAAACACAGGAAGAGGACGACGAGGATGAATCTGATCATGTGACGGGGAACAGAATACCAATCCGCAGGAATTCCAGGTTCTACAGCTCAATGAGGAGGAAGAGGCGGGCCAGGGGACAAGCGGGATCAGGAGACCAGCCTCCCGAAAGTGAGAATGACCATTTTCTTTTCATGTCAGCATGGAGAAAAAGTATTTAGTTCTGATTCTAAGAGAACTAGAGAACAAGTTGGGTGAACCCAATATAGAAAAGCTATCTGGTTTCAAACAAAGACAGTTACACTAAGAGAACTATGGTTAAGTAATCCCATACATTACATTAAAAAGGCTGTTTTTTAAGCCAATGTAAGAAGCAATTGTATCTCATTTTATATATTTAGGCACATGAAGTTATACTTCCAAAACCTGTGACCAAGGAAGAAAAGAATGAGGGGCCTATTTATTTCTTTGAAAGCTATACATTCTGTATGAAATTCGTTTTTTATGAAAGCAGTATTGTAATTTCAGCCTGACACCCCAGTGTCAGAGTCCTAGTTCCCTCCAATCACTGCTTTGTGGCATTTTGTTGTAACATGGAGGCCAAGGACACCAGAGAAATGTTTGCTTCGTATCAGGCTGAGATACTATAATAAAAGCTGTAACTTCTCTGGAGAAGTGAGGTTGGTGGCTTTTTAGAAGCAATGGTAACCTCACCAGAAACACACAGCAATCATTATCTCTGATTAAACAGAAGGTTCTCATAGAAATACTGTATGTGCTTAATACTGAGAGATCGTCTGCAGTGTCCTTCATTGTGTATGAATCTAATATTGAAAACCAGTTCACTGATGAATCACAAGCTACTGTATTTCATCTACTGCAGATGAGGATATTTGAAACTTTGAAGCTGATTGAACAAAAAATCACCTACAAACTCCAGAATGCTTTCTGTACATTATTACCAGTGTAGATCTCTTTGAAAGCACCAGGTTCAACAGGTTACACGACTGGCTCCACTATCTGTTCTGTGGTAATCAGTTGCCCTTTACAGCAGCATTGGCAATTCATGAAAAAAAGAACTTTATAATTATGTATAAAAATACATAAAGGTATTTATGATATATATGCTAAATGTTATAAATGTATACAGTATGAAAATGATATTTTGCATTGAACAATTTGGAGCCTTGAACAGCAGCTCAGTGGCATGATATTAGTTCTCGTGTGTTACCATAATATGGTCTTGGGTTCAGTTAGACAGGGGTACCTTGTGTGTGGAGTCTGCATGGTCTCTCCATGCTCTCATTGGTTCACTCTGTATTTTCGGTTACCTCCACCTCACGGAGACGTACTGTTTGATTGTTGGCATGTAGTGAGTTGGCATTTCTGGGAGCAGCTGGAGTCAGACACTGGACAATGGAGTCAGTTAGGTACCGTTCTAACTAGGGCTGGATAAGGCTCTGGAGAAGAACAAATAGCTGTGAGTTCTGATGAATCCTGAAAAAAAAAATTATTGATAAACATGCATGCATCCCTTTATACCAAGGCATTTGCTTTTAATAAGAAGAAACTTTTAAATATCCATCCATTTGTTTCTAACTGCTACTGTAATCACTGCTACTTCCAATTCAAAGTCCCGGGAGAACAACAGGAATAATGCAGGATACACCCTGGACGGGCGCCAGTCCATCGCAGGGCACAGAGACACACACACACTCACACCAGGGTCAGTTTTCCCAGAAGCCTGTTAACCTACCAGCATGTCTCTGGGGTGTGGGAGAAAACTAAGCACCTGGAAAAACCCACACAAACACCGGACGAACATACCAAATCCAGGCAGATAGCAGCCCAGGTCTGGAATTTAAAGCAGAGTCCCAGTGATGCAAAGCAGCAGTGCTATACCATGATACCATTGTTTTTGCCAGTTGTATTAGGAATGTGTTTTGTGTTGCACTGCCTGCTGCTTAAATTGGCCACCTTGGGGATGAATCAGGTATTTGGAATTGAATTGAATAATGTGCCAACTTGCCACCCATTTAAATACCCATATTTCAGATTGTGTTGTAACAATGAACTCCTTAGGCTATCTCAGAGCTGTTCGAGTGACAGGCCACGTGCTTCCTCAACTCAGCCCTTGAATAAAAGCTTACAGAAAAACTAACATAAACTCATGCGGTTGGCAGATCAAGAGCTGCCTCTTCTTTTCTTTTTTTGTATTTTTTCTTCATTTCTCTTCGCAGAGTAAGAAGTAATTAGGATAATTATGGCTGAAACGATACCCACAAATATGACTGCAAACCTCACGACTTGTTGGTTTCTCCTTGGGACTTTACGTACTGTACCTTTGAGAATCAGAATGTCACTCTTTGTCATAATTGAATCCATCTGAAGCACAAGACCAACTCTGTTTTGTAGGAAAAGTATTCCCCTTATATGAAAGAGAGTATTTCACTGGGGACAGCATCGAGGAATTAGATGCTTTGAGAATGTTTGAATTATTTTAGGTTGGAAAGGTTTGGTTTAGCCTGTCTGCTACTGGGCAGCCTCCTGACCACGGGATGAGATCAAACCCCATTCGGAGAGGAGTTAGCCAAAGGAGAAGCTGCGAGCTGGAAAAGGAGTGGAGAAGGGAAGCTTGAGTCAAATACGAAGGGATGTGTTTGTGTTTGATATACGGTGGACGGTATTTAGCAAATGTCTGTAATGATGGTGATCAGGAACAGCTGGGTGAGATTGACATGTATTGACATTGACATGTTATCCCTCCTGAACTTCATTTAATAACTTCCATTTAAGCTCAAGAATTGTCCCATTGCCCATGAGAAGGAACTTAAATATATGTAAGAAATATAACAGAGATGTAGTTGATTTACATGGGTTAATGAAAACAACAATGGTTACATATTATTAGTGTGCATGTTGTTTTGAGACAAAAGGGTCTTTAGTTATTTTAAATAGTTTCTATTGCATATTGCTGGGTTTTTTTTTTGTCTGTGATATTTGCCTTACGAGTCACAGCTTTGTAGTAAATGTAGCTTCATAAAGGTTACATAGCTTTTTATGTGTTAGGTGGAGCTCTACCTCACTGAACCCTGTCCAACATCAGAAGCTAAGCAAGGCGAAGCTAGGGTAGTGCTTGCTAAATTGGGTGACACATTAGTAGTGTAGTGAGCTTCTGGACTCTTTTCACTGGACCAGATATTCTAAACCAGTCACCCAATATAGAAAAAGGGGACATTGCATGGTAACAGGTGCTGTCTTTCAGGAGAGAAATCAAAATAGTGCCGACTTCAAAGATCCAGTGACGTGACCAGTTTAACAACTGCTTTTCACATCTGCCATACAGTACATAACCCTCCTTGATTTGCCACACCTCCTCAGTTCACACATCAAAGCTGTTAAAAGAAAAAGCATTGTGTTGTTGCCCCACATACACCTTGAACATCTAGGAACAAAAGAAGTCTGCTCATCTTTGGAGTTCAGTTAAAAAGAATAATCCTAATTATTGTCATTGGTGGGAGGCATGGTGGCACAGTAGTTATAATTACTGCCTTGCAGCTCTGGGGCCCTGGGTGTAATTGCAGACCTGGGGTGCTATCTGTCTGGATTTTGTATGTTCTCCCCATGTTCATGTGGGTTTCCACCAGGAGCTCTGGTTTTCCCACAGTCTAAAAACATACTGGTAAGTTAGTTAGCTCCTGGTCCTGGTGCGAGTGTGTGTGTCTACAAAGGCCTGTAGACAGAGCTGGACAGAGTGTATCCTCTATCGGACACCCATTGCTTGCTGGGATAGGCTCCGGCTCCCCAGTGGCCCAGTATTGAATAAAGAGGTTAGAAAATGGATGGAATTGCACTTTTCAAGCCTAATGATCCCAAAGTGCTTCATACTGTATATAGGAGGAAACACACTTCATCCTCTGCTGATGAAGTCACCCAGCTGGGTGATTTGTGCACAGCATATCAGCTGGAGGAGTGAGAAACTGCTCCACCGGTTCAACTAAGGGGGTACTTTAAGAAAAGCATAACTCTGGTAGATTAATCAATGGGATTCAGGCAAACAGAGACATGTGTGGGGAATATGAGAGAGTTACAAAAAAATAAATTATCAGCAATATAAATTAATAATAAAAGTTCATATTAAACATTGAAATTACTCTAGATTACACAGTTGCCTGTTTGTAACTGTACAAGGTCAGATAATCTGCAAAAAGCTGCCTGAAATTGCATGTAATAAAAACCCAGCAGAAGGACGTACGTGTGAACATGGCTACTGCCCCTGTTCTCTCCGTCTTTACTGTGCAGCTTCATATATGCGGAAATGGTGACAGAAATAATTATTGATTATACCATCTGCACCTTGTACTGTACTTAGGACTACCTTCTTCTTCCTCTACAGTTTGATTTCTATAGCTGTGAAAAGAAAGGTAGAAACATTACAACACATGGAACAGATTGTACACCTTATACTGTAGGTTTCACAACACTTTACTTTTTTGCAGCTGTCGACTCAGTTGGCTCATATAAGAATAAACTCAGTGGGGCCTGAGAACAATTAGGCTTCATGTAACCCAGAAAACAAAGTTTCTGATTGACTTGTAAAGTTCTTTTTTGTGCTTTTATTATTATTATTATTATTATTATTATTATTATTATTATTATTATTATTATTGGATCATTGTGAATAAAACAATGTCTGCATTTCTAGAGAACTGCTGGGATAAAGTTCACTAGGTGAAAAGTCTGGACTATTTGATTACAGCCATGTTTTGTTAAAAGAGAAATGCAAAAATAAAAATCTTGCGAATGAAAGAAAAGGGCCTTGGACATCTAATGGTTAGTTTTAAGGGGTTCTAAAGTAGTACTAACTCTTCTAAAAATATGATCTGATTATTTCCTATATTATCTATGCTTTACATAACATCCAGATATAACACTTTGGATGACTACTATGTGCTACAGGGTTGAAGGCTGCCTGCATGTTTTCTTAGGGAAGCTGTACACCCAGGATGTTTGTTGGTACTTCAGCTTGCACGTTAAATGTGTTGGCTTCTCTGGATATAGTAACAATTCTTCTTATTCACGTAAAAGAATACCCAAAGACTCAGGGTAGTGTCACTCTGATTGATGAATTGCACATAGCCATAAACCCTTGAATAACTTTCCCCCCTTTAAAAATAAATTCGGAAGATGTACAGTACTATACTGTAGGTACCATAGTCGTGAGATTAGTTCTTATGAAATAGGTGCAAACAGAGAACGAATGTTTGTGCTAGACTATGTCTTGGAACCCCATCTTGAATCACTGTAATTTACAGCCTTCTCAAAATTAGGAGACTCCGCACTCAGTGAAAACAACGTATCTTCACATACAGGAATGACAGCACCCAAGAATGAAAAGTGTTGAAAAAATGTCTAGTGAGTGTTACATCATAGTAGACTCCGAACCCATCTGGCTGAGGGCTAGCCCCCTGGCCACAGGATAAGAGAGACAGGACCTCCATGCAGGGTGACGAGTGAAACAAGGGCAAGCAGCCGCTTTCGTTGTTTTGCAATTCCTTTTATCGGGCAGCACACACAACTGCACAGTGGTTGTACGTCGGTGTCGACTCAGCCTTGGGACATTCGCTCTTGGTGTATTACAGAGAAGACGAGCGAGCAGCTCCATCCTCTGCCCAAGACTCTCTCTCTGCAAGGCGCTATGGCACCTTTCAACAGCACTGGCTACCACATGAAACTGAAAAAGTACAGCAAAGGGTATACAAATCGCCTGTGCCCCTTAATGTAAAAAGTAAATGGTTAGGCATGAAAATATTTTCTGTGGAACTCCCTGCTGTTACATACAGCGTGCATCGTAGGATTTTCTGACAGGTTAGGGTAAATCAAGATTATGTACTTGAGTCTGGCATTTATTCGTAACACTCCCAAATTATTATTACTGTTAACTTTTTCAATTATTTTTTGATAATATGTGAGAAGCAGAATACGTGTGAAAATATGTACAGTACTTCAAATGCTTTCAATGTGAACTCAGTAGGCACTTGTTTTCCATGCCATGTATAATTATTTCCATAATTATTATATCGAAATTAGGGATGCATATGATAACAAAACATGACAGTTACCCCTATAAATAAAATGGAGAGTGGTTTTTGGCAGTGTCTCCAGAGAGACTGCTCCCTTATGGAAAAGTGACTCCGGACTCTGGTGTAGTGTCTCTCAGGACGACTCTCGGGTCTTGTCTGTCAGCGTGCACCTTTCTTAAAATCCTTGCTCTGGCGACAGAGAGCTGCTCTGACACCATGTGTCTGGAAAAAATAGGAATGTTGTGCTTCTGCCTTGTGTTTAGAAAGGCAGGTCCAGGAATGCCAGGAATGCCTGCTGTGACTCAGGCTTCCATTTACACAACACTGAAGAACTGGAAATGCTTGTCAGGTGGCATGAACAGAGGCTCTGCCATCAAGATTATCACACTAATGGGGAGGATGGTATGCAAGTCAACATGGTTCCTGGAAGTCAAAGAAAAACAGTGCTGATCAGCAAAGCACTGAGCCAGGTGTGCGGCAGACAGGTTTAGACATTCGGCACATTTACTTCATGCCATTTGAGGACTTTAAAAACACACTTGCTGCTTGTTCACAAACTTAAATATTAAGAACTTGATCCTGCATCTGAACTTCACTAAAATAGTTACAGATTTGTTGAAAATAAAACCACTTTCCCTGGTTTCCCAGTGCCAACACCTAGTGTAACATAAAATTGCTGAATTGAAATCTGATAGCAGGAGGCACTTCTTCTGGCAGTTGTGGGAGTCTGAATCAAAAGGCCAAGCAGTGTTGTTGAAGCCTCACTTCCTTCAAGAAATGCTTGCATGAGATTATTGGATCAATTCAACTGAAGTAGAAGAGTGGTAATAAGGACAAGTCAATTTCACGCAGCTGTTCTTAATCGCCAGATATAAGACACTAGCTTCATATACCGAACTCAAACATCTCTCTGTACACTTGTCTTGAGTTTCCCTTCTCTGCCCCATCTCCACCTTGTAGCTGCCCCTTGGTTCATTCATTCTGTTGCAGGTTTGAGTCTCCTTGTCCTACAGTAAGGAAGCTACCCCTTAATCAAGTGGGTTAAGCCAAACTTTTGTCAGCAAGTATTCAAAGCATTCAGTTCTTGTTGTCGTTAGTGAATGGGCTGGATGGGCTAAATGCCCTATATTTCTTAGTGACCTTTTCTTATAGTCTTTGTACGTCTAAGCCTTTAACCTCTCAAAATCGTCCTTCTGTTTCAGATGACGCAAAAGTGAAAACAGTCACAGACTCTCCCTCCAGCAACAACACAGGAAGCAGCTGTCCCATGAAGCCCCGAGTCATCGTAAATCCTCCTCCCTCTCCCCAGACTCCAGGGTGAGTGCTGACCCACGTGTCCTGGGGTAGCAAGTCTCACTAAATGTTTTGCTATGTTCTCCACTCCATTTTCCAGCAAATCGCACATTCAGCATAAGACAATACTTCCCCTACTCTTCACTTTACTTAGATGTTTCTAGGGAAAGTTTGCTACAGCATTGTTAATTCATGAGCCAGGAAAGCAAAGGAAGCTGAGCTACTTGAAAATCCACTGACACAATATCCATCCATCTACCCATTGTCTAATTGCTTTATGCAATTCAGGGTCACGGGGGAGCCAGAGCCTATCCCGGGCAAGCAACTGGCACAAGACAGGGTAGACCCTGGAGAGGATGCCAGTCTTTTGCAGGGCATACACACAATTTTTCCAGAAGCTAAAAGACCTACCAGCACGTCAACCTACTGTACCAGAGCATTGACACAATGTAACTTGACATAAACTGATGTCAGTCACCAGCACCAGTAGCGGTGCTCATCACTTCACAACACCTTGGCACATCCCTAGAGCTCCTCCAAGAGCACAAAGATGCCCTCCCCCCTATTCCTACAGACTGCTCCTCATCAGCTTTCTATGCCTCTCTCCTACTATTTTATGAATCAGAAACAAAACCTTAAGGCATCAGGCATTTGCAAAAAGGGGCTTATATACTGTGCTGCATCCACCCATTGGAATGAATCTTCTGGTTTCCCTTATAGCTGACCTCCAAACTCATCTTTCTGCTCAGGATAATGACCATGCTTGCCATTACTTTGACTCTATTCAATCAGTTTGTCTTTGCATACTGATGTTCAGGTCTGATCAGATGAGAGCTGACAGTCAGGCCATTGTGTAGTATGTTATACGAGCTGCATCGTACATTGTTCTGTATAAAATCCATCAAGTCCAATATCCAAAAACAATGGGTTTTCCATTCCAATAATGCGATATTGATGCATTACTGCATCCTTTTTCTGTGATTATTATATCCTATTAAAAAGTAATGTTTTGATATCCACTTAGGGTATGCATGCAGAACAGATATTCCTCTCTGTTGGTTTCTCCTGAGTGAATAAATATAGATAATATTTATGTATCATATTCTGGAGCTTCTAACAGCAATCACATTTTCTGAGTTCACAGATTTATTACTTTTGGCAATGGTCATGTCTGTTTTGTTTTCTATAGACATCAGTAGACCCTACTTGTGTATTTGTAGAGTGTTCAATAACTGTTGTTGGAAAAGGACAGAAATTACAAGTTTTTTCCAAAACACACTAGTTGGGTGTGTTGAAAAAAGCAAATAGACCTTTTTAGAACACTGGATTTTTATGCGCACAACTAGTTGTACTAGTTTCTGTAGAATTGAAATGTAGAGAATATATACTGTATATAGACATACTGTATGTCCTGTGTAATCTTGGATGAATGTACTCATAGTGAACAACAAAAATGTACATGTTTAGATAGGAGAGCATCACAGAGACTCTTCAGAGGGTGTCTGTAAAGTTTCAGTCTCTGACAAAGTTTCAGTTCACACGGAACCTGCTAGTGAGTGGAGTCTGTGTAATGCCAGCAGCACCTCAGCTCTCATCTCAGTGGAATCATCAACAGTTTTGTTTGTTGCTGTTTCTGATTTGCTCATGCAGGCCAGCCTTGCCCTTCAGGCCTGGAGCCCTGTTGCCCAGCAACGGGGAGCCTGGAACTCAGAGTTCACAGCAAATTGGGTCCATTTCCCCTCCAGTGAAGACAGACCTCAAGGGGGGGTGGCAGGACAAGAGAGCTTTTCTTCTGAACAGCCAACAGAGGTCCTTGTCTTCAGGGATACCACAGCCCAGGTCAGGACACCAAAGTCCACACACGCAAGTGGAGACTCTCACAGAGCAAGTGGCAGCCTGCTCTGTCCATGGGCAGAAAAGCATGGACAATGAAGGAAGAGACACGGAAGAAGCAAATGACTTAGACTCAATCTCACTGAGGTAGGTGGAGTTCAGTTCTGGCCGTATGTAAACAGTCTTCAAAAATAATGTGAATTTTCATCCTGAGCTTTTTGGATTTGACATTAGAAAAAATATAACCTTGAAGAGCAATGCCTCTATGTAGTGAAAAGAAAAGCTTGGTATTATGTACAGAAGCATGAGTTTCCTAAAGTTTTCTTTAAAGTGGCAGAACTAGGAGTCATTGCCTGTGTTAAATTACAGTAAATTAGCCCTCAGTCTCATAGCTAACAAGTGGGATCAAGTTAAATTTGAATGTGTAAATTTTGCGCACTTTATATCACAATTTTTAATCCAGGCTGGAAGATAGTATTACAAACCTTTCATCATAAAAACATTTCTAACAATACCAAAAAATACACATATCAATAAACATTGTTTGATTATTCTTCATTTCAGTTTTGAGTTTCAATAACCAGCTTATGAGGACTGGTAAAATTCAGAACATACCTGAATTTGCACCCCGTAAATATAAATATGTGCAACAACCATTGATTTTACCAAACATCAATATTTTATGTACAGTAGAAATATAATTTCTTTCAATAACCAAGATGGCAGGATTTTTAGAATAGAAGAAGATTTAATTTCACTCCTGCAACATTTATATTCACATCACTTTCAGTAACTGCTTATCCAATTTAGGGCCATGGTACCTTGTGCCCGGAGCCAATCTTGGGCACACAGCAGGATACACCCTAGACAGGATGCCAGTCTATCACAGGTCACACACAGACACACAAGCACACCAATTTCACACAAGTCAAGTAATCCACCGTATGTCATTGGACTGTGGGAGGAAACAAGAGCACCTGACAACCCACATGAAAGCAGTGAGAACATACAAACTCCACACAGATAGGATCCCAGGGATTGAACCGAGGGTCCCTGCACTGTGAGGCAGCAAAGTTGACCACCACGCCACTGTGCAGCCTTAACATTTATAATACAACAAGTTATTTACCTTTACTACAGAAGTTATAGAGTTTAAATATTTTACTGACGTAAGCAATAGGTCACTACCTAAGATATAAGTACTATACATTCAGTATGATCCCTGCAAATGACCAGATACGATATCCAAAAACAAGTGTTTGTCACTTGCACTAACAATTTTTATTGCAATCTCTTCTATTTAAATCGGTAGAAATGGCCTTTTGTTATTTTTTCTCCAAGAACTGACAATACGTAACATTTTGGTATGTGGACTACACTCTGTGGACTTTGTAGTGTCTCATTTGCTATGTCTTTCAGACACTTAAATAGTGAACTGTGTGCTTTTGTTTTATGATATGTATTTTAAAGTCTTAAAGACCCAGTTGTACAAATTTCTTTATGTAGCACTGTAAGGTACAGTATCTTTACTTTTTTAAAAAGGGAAATGTTTTGTCAACTGATGAGACAATAGCTGCCATAATGCCCATCCATAAAATTGTGATGATGAATATGTGGGTTACCCCACGAATCGAGCCTGCTGCTTGCAGTTTTATTGTAACAATACAAGAGGTAATGTTGTAATCAGGTTACACTTCATATAATATTTCCTTTGAACACTGAAGCGTGCCCACTTCATCCTCCACTGAAGTACAGCCTCCACTTACCACCTCATAGTCAGATCGCATCAGATCTCAGAAGCCCAATAAGGATGGGCCTGGTCAGTTCCTGGTCAGGAACAGTGTCAGTGGACCAATATACTGTAGGTGATGCTCTTCCCTCTGGATCAGAAGTTCCAAACCAGTCACCCAGTATGGTGACAGCACACTGGGACACTCTTCTGAATGAGGTGCTATCCTTCAGACAAGATATTAAAATAAAGTCTGCAGTGCTGGACATTAAAGATCCCAGGACAATGATAAGAGCATTGATATCTTCAAAGTGTTAACAAAATCAACCCAAGAGTCTAATTCAAACCCAGCAATGAATCAATAGTCTCAGATCACTGAAAGATCCATAGGAGTTTGGAACTATTTACCACTATAGCCATACAAGACTCCTTGGTTACACCTCAAGAGGCAAAAGATGGGATTCTGAGATTGAACAGGTCCTAGTTGTGGAGCAGGCTGGATCACATGGTCTCTTATTGTCTGTACCAGTGACCTTCTTCATGTTCTTACATTGGCCTGATCTCAAATTCTTATTCAACCTTGAAAGGACTGTTAATTAATTAATTTAATGGATTTCAGCTTGTTTGGTAGAAGTAGGAGACATTGTTAAGGTTTTTAAATTAAGGTTTAAGATAAGCAATAGCTCACATGATGGCTGTTGTATTAACATCTGGGATTTGCATTTGAAGACCAGTGTTTGTGTTTCAGCAGATGTGTAGTATTGCCTCTAGGTATGAGCCCTGAGGTTCCTGTGGGAGAACTGTAAACTGTCAAGATATTTGCTATCTTTAGATACTCTAAAGATAGATATTCAATATGAATGTGAAATTTACATAAGAGCAAAATAGAAACCAATGCTAATTCTTGATAACGTTTTTGTCCCTTCTCCACTAAAATTGTCTGTAATTCTCAAACTTCAAAAAGAAATGGAGAAAGTAATATCACAGCAAACAATATGCCTTTGTCATGGACAATGATAAAAATAGAAGAATCTGTCGTAGTCTGGGGAGAGAAGAAAGAATCCCAGAAAAGCAATGGTTTGTGGGAAACAGAACCTCCGGCATCCAAATAATGAGGAATTCCTGCAGGATTTACTGCAGTAACTTTGATCAAAAAGGAAGACTGTTTTGTTTTCAAATTTTGCTTTAAGTATCAAACTGTCATAGTTGTCACTGTATGTTGAGATGTTGAGAAACAAGTCCTGCATATTTTTAAGTAATATATAGAACTGGCAATTGTGTGCGTTCCACATCTGAGCTCGCAGCTGTGAACCTGTGACCATACACAAGGGAGAATGAGGTTTCGGAAGACTCCTCTGACCTGCCCATCTTTGAGTCTATTGACTTTTAATAAGTTACTGTACATGTAACATAACCCCATACCAGAGAGGTCAGAGCTTACCAGCAGCACTGCAATCCTGCAAGAGCTTGAGAGTCCACAGGGGACGCTGTGTTATGAGAAATGAAACAGCCCTGGACAACTACTTCCGCTGCACCCTCAATGGTGTTAACCCAACTGTGGGCAGGTGTTATGAGAACCCCCGTCACAGTCAGCTAGTGACATGACCAGGATGGGATCTTTTAGTCAAAGAGCTCTACATATGGTGGAGATGAAGCCACTAATTATTTTAGTTTAATATTTTCCAAGTAACTTGGATAAAAATGGCCACTTTGGTGTGGAGGGTAGTTATCATATCACAATCTAACAACAACATTAAAGGGGATGACTCATTCGAGGAAAATGAAAGAAAAATTATTAAGAGATTTATAGCTTCCAACATATAAAGGTATGCCTGTTTTCTTCTTCCGTGTTCAGGCTGGTGAATAACAGAGACGGAGATGCTGCCATCTGTTCAAGTATCAGAATCATTAAAAACATGGGTAAGTGACTTTAAATCACATAGCTAGTGACTCAGAATCAACTCCATGGCCTTTTCATTAACCCTGTGTCTTGTGTCTAAGCTCTGGTGCCGAAAGCTAGTTTAAACTTATGACCTTAGGAGCTCCCAAGCAGCACTGACAGCATGTAGCCAAGCACCAGTGATGAGAAAAGTTCAATATGAGCAACAAAGAGTGAGGAACTGATCAACAAATTAAATATTTGTTGTAATAACACAAATCTCAACATTTAGATGTTGACAGTCTTTCAGGTAAGACATTCCTGGGTTTATAGGAATGCCCCACACTGACAGGCTGAAGAAACTGAAATGTTTTAGCCTTGAAGAGAGAAGACTATGAGGGGGCTCGTAACAAGCACTCAGTCCTCCAAGTCATCCTGCTGGACGTCTTCAGAATCAATAGTGAAACATGAACCAGAGGTTACAAGTGGAAAATAAATGTAGAAGTACATTTAAAACTGAGAATGAGAATTCTTTAGCTAAAGGGTTGTGGGAGCTTGGAACAAACTGCCCAGCAATGTAGTTGGAACCCATACTCAGGCTTCCTTCAAGAAATGGCTGGATGAGATCAATTAACTGCCCAGTAACATCAGGTGAGGCCTGGGCTGTGTCAATGGCTGTGAGTAGGATTCCCCAAGCACACGATTGGTTGTGTTTACTTGGCCAGCATTCTCCTATCTTTTGTGACACCTGCAGCTCCTAGTACCTCGTAGTAGCCTACAAGCTTGCAATTATATCACTGAGAGATTTAATGCTAGTCCATTCAGTTCTCATTCTCCTGTAACACACAGTACAGCCTGCAGTGTCAAATGGCACAGATTCAATTGCCAAGTTGTAAATAACAGGCAATTAAAATAATCATGTGGAGACAAATCAGCAAGCAACTGGCAATTCTAAACATCTTTTTGAGAAAGCACCGTTCCCAGTTCTCACACTATCCTATCGCAAGTATGACCTCACAGATTTCCTTAAAGAAAGAAACCACTTGCTGTTCACTCAATGACAAAAGCAGCCATAAAACAAAAATGTTGGAATAACCTGTTTTCTGATACTTTTGCTTGTCCTTAATTCTAAACAGCAGATGTTACATAGGCAACTATATTACTTTTGGAAGCAACTCATCGTCAACTTAATATTATGAGGTACTTACATCTCAGGACACTAATGATACTCTTTCATTCTATCTATGAATTACTACATTTGTCATTGTATACCATCGGGCTTTTTTTCTATGCTAATGACAAAACAAGAAACAAGAAATTAACAGTCAATCCATTCAGACATGAAAGATTACCAGATGTGCAGTTGAAGACCCCATGTGATTGGTTTCTGCCAGGGGAAAATCACGAAGGTTGCTCTGAGGCTCACATGATCACGCTCCTGAAAGAAGTGTCTGTGTCTTCTCTAGCAATACATTAAACAAATCTACACCACAATGCACAAAAATAACATAAACACACACAATTCACAATGACTGCACACTGTTCAGTTCTTTACAGAACTGGATTAAGCGAAACCATTTTCAATTTGATATACACTAGTGATGTACTGTATGTGAATCTGACTCACTGGATAAAAAAAAACAAATTCACATACAGATAATTAATTACCTGTCACAAGATGCACGAAACGCATCTTCTACTTTACGTTTCATCTGATATAGACCCAGGCCTTGTGCTGTTTCAGCACAGGATGTAATTTCAGCTTTCTAAATTCTTACAAATCTCTAACATATTTCATTTCGTCGAACATGGCAGAATACATAAATAAAAAAATAAAAAGGTTAATCCTAAATCCTGTTTTTGAAGAGCCGCCAATTATTGTGTTTTTTATTTTCCCAGAATTTCTCACTGAATTAATTAATTATTGACATACAGTAACTGGTCCTGTAATACTGTGATTCCTATACAATATCTGCAGGATGGTTGTAGGGTTTCAATGAATAACATTCAAGGCTTAGTAGACCGGTCTTAGTAGACCTTACCTTCTGGCTTACAACACATTGTATCACTCCTGCAGTTCAGCCTACCGTATATTTCAACATATAGCACTGAAATCCCAAAAGACACACACTACCAGAAAAACAGGAACTGCTAACACTCTGTTGTCCTGTTCCTGAAGAACAACAACATCTCTCAGCTGAGATGAGTACTGAATACACATTTGCTTGTTTACTTAGTGCAAATTGTTATGTTTTCCAGGTCTTTTCTCATTGATTACTTCATGGCTTCCTGCAAAAGCTGGAGGACTATGGCTGTCTAACACAAGATTGCAGGATATAAGCCAGGGTTCATTCCTGGTCCCTGAGGGCCAGTGCGTCTGTAGGTGTTCATCCCAGCTCAGCCCTTCACGAGCTCAATCCTCTTACTATTGACTTGATGGGGTCGATTTATCAGCGTCTCCCAGCTCTTCAGGAGCTGGTGATTTGTAGAGACCTAGAATAGCCGCAGACACAATGGCCCTCCAGGACCACAACTGCCCCCCCCAATAAAGGACACAGCAATTTCCACCTCTAGCACAACATGCAGAGCAGTTTCACTCAATGCTTTCTCTCAATGTTTTCTGCCTGTGCCAGAATGGTGCCTGTACCAGGAGTACCGCGACAAGTCCAAACAGCACGAGATTGAGCAGAGGAGGCGGTGTGATGCTCTGGCCACCACAGGACCCAGCAGAGGCATTCCTGAGAAGGCGGCCATGCAACTCCAGAGGAGGAGCTTCTTCCAGGGAGCCATGAGCCTGTGGCAGAACTTGGAGGAAGTGCAGAAAAGCGGCATCCTGGACATCCTCAAACCCGAGCAGATCATCCTGCAGGAGGTGAGGAGAGGTCCGGCCTGGCTGAGCGAAACAGGAAGAGCGTGCAATCTGCCTATCATAAATAAAACAGCAATGCGTCTTCTCCGATCTCTTGGGCGCTTTCTGCTGCCAGGCTAGAGAGTGAAACAGAAATGGTCGCCATGATCCATCCTTCAAGTGGGTTTTGTCTACATCTGTTGGTTCAATGATAATCCTATTTTGAAGAACGTTCTGATCCTTTACACAAATTCTTCTGCTAGTTGGAGGAGCATAGAGGATGGAAAATAGAGAATGAAAGCACAGAGGTAGTAATTTGTGTATCTTGTTTACTATCAGGTATACTGCAAACCTCTGTATTTTGAGCCCTGAACTGCAGGCTACATCCGGTAGTTGTCTTTAGATTGTCACCCTCTTTAAAGCTAAAGTAAGGGTTACAGTGCTGTAATTTAAGCTGTTTGGTTAGGTAGGGTGATCATGAGCACACCCAAGAGATGCTAAGGCCTTTGAGGGCAGGGGTTCTCTTTTCTCTGTTTGAATAGAGGTCCCTTTCATTGACTCAGCCATCCATTTTTTTCTCTTGCAAAAGTCAATGTTTGAGCTGGTCACCTCAGAGGAGTCCTACAACAAGAGTTTAAAGCTGCTGGAATCTCATTTCCTGAAAAACGCAGTCCTGTTGAATACGTTGAGCCAGTCAGATGTCCACTTCATCTTCTCCAACATTGAGGAAGTGATGAAAGCCAGTGAGAGGTAAGCAGAGTGTTGAAATGACAAAAGACAATTCATTGAGTCTTCTTTGCTTCTAAGGTAGTCGGTAAAACTTCCACTAACATTTTTGGTTTTGCAAAGTGGGGAACTGACCACTCAACCTTTTCTGAACAAGCAAGACATGAAAGGGGAAATCTTACTTGATTTTTTTAAGTCACACGTCACTGGGTGTGGACCAACAAGCTTTCCAGTTTCTCACACCCACCTTCTCTGATCCTCCAGTTCTGCCATACTGTATGTGTTGATCAACAAAGTCCCCAATCAGGCTTTAGGCTGCCTTTCAACCAGGCTTTGAAGTCCAAGCCTGTGCCTGTTAGCTACCCTGATTGCTCTTGGCCAATAGCTCAGCATATGATTCAGTCAGGCCTTTGGCATGGACTTGGTGTCAGGCCTCAGAGGGCAACTATGTGCCGTGCTAAAACAGACCATCCCTCCTCCCATGAAGTCTATCAGCTTCACTTGATAACAGGACCTGCATTGCTATCTGTGATGGACACCAGAACAATGTGTCCAGTGGTCAACACAGACATCTCAGGCAGGCTCTGTTCCACATCTTACCTGGTGGTCAAGAATGGTCACATTATTTATTGTTCATACTGGACCTTCCTATGGGGCCTCCCTGGTGGAAAAGAGGTTCTGGATCCTGATCATGTTACAGCTTTTCCAGTCAGTCAAAGGTAGGGTTTGCTTTGCATCCATCACATACACCTCTTGACCACAGGTGCTGATTCAGCCTGGTGGTTGAGTGAAGTGTCTGAATTTCTGTACCCTGCCATTTTCTCTAACCCTCTTGTCCTGAAGATTTGGCAAGACTATGGATGTGGGCCCAATCATTTTTTACTTTTGTAGCCACCAGAGCCTAAATTACCTGTCTGGCTGACACTTGGCTGTTCCCAGTCTGAGTTCAATGTGCCGATGGCATTAATACTTCATTGACTGGGACCAGGATTCCTCTCCCCCTCTCTGTGCACACTGCTCCTGGATATACATGTCTGAACACTGTTGCCATATTCACCCCTGTCAGCAGACAGGTTGTGCTTGTGGTCTATGCTTAACAGCCAGACACTGTTGCGATCACATCAGAGTCCTGTTGGCCATTTGACAGCTGCCTCTCAGATCTGGCCTCTTTAAACCTGGGTCACGTGAAGCACTTCCCCAATAAGTAATGATTACATTCCTTTTCAGGAAAACCTGGCTATGTTAATAACCTAATGTTATTGTAATTATGTTCCAGGTTTCTATCTGACCTTGAGAAGAGATTGGAGAAAGGAGTCATGATCTCAGATGTGTGTGATATCGTGTATGACCACGCGGCCAACCAGTTCCATGTGTTCGTCACCTACGTGTCAAACCAGAGCTACCAGGAGCAGGCCTACAGGAGAATATTGTGGGTACAGGTTAGGACAGGGGAGAACAGGCCAAAACTGGAACAACAAACAGGCATCATTGAGCACCACTGTTTTTAGGAACACACTAGCCTGACTCTGTTTTAATAGTTGGACTCTTCAATTATTTATACTAGATCCACCCACTACGGAGAAGCCAATTTGTTTGTTTTTCACCTCTTGGCTTGCATCTATGAACCCCGCGACCGCACATGGGGAGGTTGAAGAAGTGTAGGCAGACTCCTCTAACTCCAGTAGTTTTTGTCTTGTAACACGGCACACACTAAGCAGTGCTGTGCCAGGGATTCAGCATTAAGGAGGTGTGTCCCTCACCAACAGGTATGACATGCCTGCATGGCCCAGGAGGCCAAAGGAGCCACTGTGGCGCAGAAAGCTCAGAGACCCCTGGCTGACTAGACCCAGCCTATTCTCTGTGGCACTCAGCTAATTGTGTGATGCAGCTTGGGGAATCCTTTTCACAGTCAGCTAGTGAGACCGCCCAGGCTCAAACTGGCAATGGTAGAACTCAGCCTGCACTTTTCTAAGAGCTTTTTACCGGCAGAGCAGATGTCTGACTCTTATTTGTAAGAGTATCTCTTGGTGGAGCACATGGCTCCCATTGTAGTATCACCATTTAAAAGATTATCATGGTGAATTTACTTGCCAATTTCATGCATATTACCAAGGGTAACTTCCTTTTTTTTACTGTGCCTCACAGCACTAAGATACTGACATTTTAAGTGTTTATGATTACAGTGTGATTCTGCTCTTGAAAATGTCTATTCTTGTAAAAGCATTATCATAGTATATCAGAGCACAACAAAATAATGCTAAAACCATATTAGCGTGATGCGAGCTGGCTTCCCCAAGCTCAGGCATAAAATAGGCAGACTACCTGCAGGGTTCAGTAATGATAATTTGGTCTGTTTATCCTCGTCTTGCTGAGCACCAGGGAACTGACTTTTATGTGAGATTGACGTCAGTTTGTTGAAGTGTATCTGCTCTGAGGGGCTGACTGTGAGAATCAGAAGCAGGGGAGTATATTTTCCCAGGTTTGTCTGGGTTTTCTTTGGGTGCTCTAGTTTCCTACCACAGTCCAGAAAAATACTGGTAGGATAATTGACCCTGGTGTGAGTGTGTTTGTGTCCGCGTGTCTGCCCTGTGATGGACTGGTGTCCTGTCCAGGATGTATCCTGTCTTATGCCCTTTGCTTGCCGGGATAGGCTCCAACAAAATTGGAAGAAGCAGTTAGAAAATGAATGGATGGTGTCATGTAGAGAACATCCAGCAATTACTAAAAAGACTGTTGTTCCCACAGTAGAGTATTCTCGTAACTTACTTTCAATTTAATCTTTTGATGGTTTTGAATAATGAGAACTGTTACCATATTATTTCTTGGAAAACACCTTATTCTTGTTCTGTAGATGAACTGCAGTTGAAAAGATATATCAAAGATTATACATTACAAATAGGAAAAGTCCAAAGAATAATTGCAGGACGTGTCCTTTAATTATCTCTACACCTTACAATGAGGAATTGTATGCCTTGTCATTTGACTCAAATCATAAATGAAACTCCCATACTGTCCGCAAATCCTGCTGCTGACAGAGCACAAGACCAGGCATAGTTCTTGCAATCCTGCCTCATGCCTCACATCATAGCAACATGAATCCTTTCTTGTAAATACAGTGATTTGTGCAGTGGGCACTAAATTCCCTGTAAAGTGAAGTCTTTGCTGCACATTCAGAAGTGTCCTCTAGGGGATGTTGTTGATCCAATGGAAAGTTAAGTCAGTTTTAGAACTGGAAAAGTGCACTGCTATAATGTTTGTACACTTCTGGTGTATTATAATTTCTGTAAGAGACAGCACGCATCTCATTCCCTTTCAATTAGATTTTCCAGTTCTTCGTCAAAGTGCTTCTTCCCTACCATGGACAAAAGTGAACTTAAAATTGTCTTCACATCTCCCTACCCTGTCTTCTTAATGACTATTGAATATGTTCAATTATATGTAGTACTTTTCATTTTGGATGTTATCGATAGTTAAAGGGAGAGTCATATGTTGGCCCTTATTAACTTCTTGATATTTAAGAATTGCACTAAGCTGTAATTGAAAAGATTTTCAAAGACACTAAATTGTGAAGAGTAAAAGTTGTAAAAGTAATTACAAGGCTTGGAGACAGTGCTAATCCGTGCACCTCATTAATGTACATGTATTAATGTGTTTTTACTTCATTGCGTAGAGGTGTAGCCAAGCTTCTGTGTGTTTTGCCCCAGACAGGAAAATGCTGCTTTCCGGACTGTCATGGCCAACCTGGAGAATGATTCCAAGTGCAAGGGGCTGTCCTTCAATTCCTTCCTCATCCTACCTTTCCAGAGAATCACGAGGCTCAAGCTGCTGGTGCAGGTACCTAGACAGGGAGAGGCATGCTGCGGACTGGACACATACTGTAAATGGCCGTTCTTGACCATGATACAGAGTCTGACTTGACCTGGATTCATACCTTTACCCGACCTTAAAGTTACTAATTGCAAAGACACCTGCTGTATGTGACGTTTTGGAATTTGGGAATAGTTAAAAGGCGGGGATAATCTTATCAGAAATAGCCCTTGTGCCGTGTGTGGAAATATTGTATATGTTCTAAAGGCTTCATATGCAACGAACAAGCATCCATTTATAACAACATTAGAGTGTGGCTGGAACTGTGCTCAGACCTTCTAGAAACCAATTGAATTCAGAGCACCACAAGAGGATCTACTTAGTGTGCATCTTCTTGGGTTTTCTCCAGAAAATAGCCTTCTTCATAACAAATAAAACTTATTTCAAACCTTCACCAAACTGCACTGTGACTTCTTGCATCCTGTACAGTAAGAACAGTCACAAAAGAGAGGACCCATTGAGCCCCACTAGCCAATTTGGCAGTCGGTAATTTTAATTGATCCAGGAATTTTATCCAGCTCTGGTTTCATGAGAGAAACCAAGGTATCAGCTTCAACAACATGGACGGGTAGACTGTTCTGTACTTTCACAATCCAAACACATCACACAATATTGGGAGGTTCCAGCAAGAGCTGAACTCAGATTGCTGGAGTCCAGAGTGTTTGCGACTACACCATGAAACCTCTTGTGGAGAGCAAAATATTTTAACTTCCAACAGACTCTCAAGACAGGGGTAGTAACCTGGGACTGGAGAATGTTGTGCTCATCCTTAAAAAGTGTGTGAAAACTGAACCAAATGATAATAGACTGAGAAGTCTAAATTGTATTACACGTAAGGTAATGGAAATTATTATAAGAATTAAACTAGAGGATTAAATTTATGGAAATAATTTCCTAGGAAACAGACAGCACATATCGAACAATCAACAACAGTAATACAGTATATACATACAGAGCATATGATATGTTTTTCTGAAGGTCTGTGATAAAATTCCTTGTATGTGGTTAATTCTTAAATTGCAGGCAGTAGGCAATCATGAAAATGCAAGTGTTTAGATTGAGAATTGGTTATTAAATAGAAAACAGAGGCTACAGATAAGAGGTGGAAACTTAAAATGGAGTGATGAAATAGAGTTTTGGAGTCCTAAAATGATGTGTGCTAGGACCACAGCTCTTCCTAATTTATACCAGTGATTGAGATTCCAGCATAGTTAGTAAAACTATACTGGGGGAACCTGGCAGATGATATTTAATGTACACCAGCGCAGGGATTTTCATTTTCAACAGACTAGGAATCCAAAATGGAAAACTCCTTGCTAGAAGAAGTTACTTATGAAAAGGACTGAGAAGAAGGATATGAGGAAGAATAAAAAAGTCAAAGAAATGCTACGATTTAGAGTTAAAATCATAGAATTTAAAACAAAGGATGTCTTTTTAAAATTGCATATAGTCCTAGTAAGCCCTCATCTAGAATGTTTAATAGACTGTGGTCACCATGCTATAGAAGTTATTGCTGCCTACTCTTGTAACCTTTCTTACTGTATGTTCTTATCACTGCATGAACCCATACAAAGTTAAAGCAGAAATGTTATGTAAAATATCACAAGCTCTCTACTCAGCTACACATTACTTATGTGTAGATTATACATTAGTTATAGAGATGTTGGTTTTTGAAGGGGGTATAAGACAATGGCTATTTTACAAGATCTGAAATAAATGGTTGTGTTGTTTATTATAAAATAGCTAGTGTTGAGTGGGCCCCACAATCAAAGCAGCCCATTTAACAAACCAGGTCAGTCCTGTGACTTCTGTTCTCTGTCAATGTGACAGAACATCTTGAAGAAGGCTGAAGAGGGGTCAGAGATAGAGGCCAATGCAGTTAAAGCCCACTACCAGCTGGCAAAGGTAAAGTTCATTGCGAGTCCTCTCTTTCCTGATGAGAGCCCTTCTCACTGAGGTGAAAGGAGGGTTTTTATTTTAGGCTTTCCATTTGTTTTGTAGCTCTATAGCTGCATGCTGCTATTTCCTGCATTGGCATTTTTCTTTGTAGCCTTTTTCTCTTTATACTTTCAACTGATGTTTCAAGGCAATTTACTAGCTTAGAAATAAAACACAAAATAAATTATGTATTTTAATGTGATGTCTTTAATGTAATATTGTTTTTTTTTAATATTTTCTTCCTCTCTGCATAAAACTGTGGTGTAGTGGTTAGCAATACCTAGCAGCTCTGGGGCCCTGGTTTCAATTCCAGACCTAGGGTGCTATCTGTGAGGAGTTTGTATGTTCTCCCTGTGTTTGCATGGATATCATCCAGGTGCTCTGGTTTCCTCCCACAGTCCAATGTAGTAACTGAAAGGTTAACTGGCTTCTTAATTGGTGTCAGTGTGCATTTGTGTCTGTGTATCTGTCCTGCGATGGACAGGTGTCCTGTCCAGGGTGTATCCTGGCTTGCACCCGTTGCATGCTAGGATAGGTCTGGCTCCCCTGCAACTCCGTATTGGATGAAGTGGTTAGAAAATGGATGGATGGATATTGTTTCTCTTTGATACATGTATGTGCAAGCTCACATCTATAAAACTAATTCTGAATGATAACTTTAGGTGCTGAAGTTTTTGAAATTGTTTAGATTAATTATTGTCCATTAAGGACAATACAGTAGATATACCTGTTTAATCCCCAAAATTTTTTCTGTGAAGAAATAATGATGAAGTCTGCACAAACAGTTGCTTAATATACTGACACATAAAAGAAATGCAACATTTTGGTCTAATAATAAGAACACATTTTAAAGTAATTAAAGTATCAAACCTTTCAAATGTTTTCAAACATGAATTGAAAATCTCTTACATCTGAGTAGATTAAAACACTGAAAATCTTCCAGTTAAGCAGATGAATAGTTCAGTTAAGGGCTCATTTGAGTAACACACAGAGTGTACCGTATAGGTTCGTTGTAAAGAAAGCCAGCAGGTTTCCAAGGACTTGATTCAACACATCCGTTGTCTATCCCAGCAAGCAACGGACGCAAGGCAGGGTACACCCAGGACAGGATGCCAGTCCGTCATAGTGGACATAACACGTTTCTCGCTCAACACCTAATGAGATAAAAAAACTGACGAGGAAAAGAAGTCTGTTAAATTTCTCAATCCAACGGCTCTCTTAAAGGAGAAATGCGGAGAATATCGCTCGTGCTGACATTGCGCGAACCCTTGTCCTGTCGTGTGTTGGACTGGTGTCTTATTCAGGCTGTGATCTTGCCTCTTGCCCTGGGGCAGCAGGGTTAGATTCTTGGTCTCCACCACCTTACGTGGGATGAAAAGGCTCTAGATAACTGAGGGATGGATAAACTTCTCCAATAAAACACAGTTTACTTTTTGTGGTCTGCAGTTTACAGTAGACCTTTGTTGAGGCCACTGCTTGCTTGTGGGTGTTTTGCATGTGTTTCTCCTCCTGGGATTGAGTCCTGTACTTTTCTCACTGTGTTTCTGTAGATCGTCAGAGACTGCAATGAAGGGGTAAGGAAAATGAACCGCACTGAGGAGCTCATCTGCATTGAGAAGACACTGGATTTCAAATCCAAGGTAGCCTACAGTTCACAGGGGCACACTGTGATACCTCTGACTATCAAACTGAAACTGTCAAGAATCACCCTGTTTTGACGGCCCTCAGTCATATCCATTTTGAACCCCAGGCAACCTGTGCGAAGTACACTGTAGTATTATTGAGCATAGTCAACGAGCAAAACATGACTTTGAGTGTAACAGTTACAATTTAAGGACAAAATCCAACCCAGCATATCAAGACACAAAACAAAATAGGTTGGATAAGAAAAAATAAGATGGATGAAATAAATGCTACATAATTAGTTTGGAATAACACATTTTGAAATAAGTAATTAAAATAACAAGTACTTCTATTATATTGAAATAAGTAATTGTAATCTTTGGAGTTCTGTAGAAATGTGAAATTCCACTTTCTTAATTTATAAGAGGGTTTTAAGAGGGTTGTGAAACCCTCTTAAATGCAACACAAACAGCTCCTTAACCACTCATCTGAGATCTGCAGATACTGCTGCTTTAAAGAGGCTTGGAAAACACTGTACACACATAACACAGTGGTGTTTCATATCTGTATTTAATTAGCTGTCTGAGATGCATTTCTGTGATATAATTTCAGCATGAGGCCTCATAGACTTTTATAGCTGTCGTTTAAGACTTTGTACCTCGGTTTAACTAAACACAAGTGTGCCACCTGAGGGTCTTGACAAGAATTGAAAATTGCACTCATGTTAGGCTAGGGTGTAGTGTGTCTTGCTGTGTTGTGTCATACTGTACTCTTGCTGTGTTGGGCTGTGTTGTATTTTACTGTATCATACTGTGTTGAGCTGTGTCATATCGTCTTTTGCTGTGTTGTACTGTCTCTTGCCGTGTTGAGCTGTGTTGTACTTTCTCCTGCAGTGTTGAGCTATGTAGAATTGTGTCTTGTTGTGTTGTACTGTACAATAGTGTATAATGATTTCATGTGCTTCTGTTTCACATGCGATGTGGGAACAGTCAGTGCCAGTGATCTCCCACTCTCGCTGGCTCCTGAAGAGGGGAGCGCTCACTCACATGTCCAACCCCAAGAACACCAGGACCTTCCGCAACAAGAAGCTCTTTCAGCCCCTCTACCTCTTCCTGTTCAATGACCTGCTGCTGATCACCAAGAAGAGCTCCAAGTAAGCAGCCTGCTGACCTCCTCCGGTCCTCTTAGCTGAAATTCAGTAATAAAAAACTGCAATACTCACAGACTACAGCACTCATCTTCACTGCTGGTCCTGGAGGGCTGCCATGTCTTCTGGGTTCCACTTCACCATGGACTCTTGGTGACTTGATGGGAATCAGGTTTAGCTGGGCAGTATTTCCTCTGTTTCCAGGTCTTCACCCATTGAGGATTACAAGTTTCCTATAAGAGCTAGGAGGCTGCAGCCCTGTGGGACCAGGACTGTATATACAGTAAATGGTGGAAAGGCTTGACATTAAAATGATGTGCTTCTTATTTATGACTGTCTGTTATTCCATGGTGTTTGTCTGAAATGTAAATCCTCTTGCTGTGAAGCTAAAAAGCTAATCACTAATCACTCCTGTGAAAAATCACAGGAGCTAATCACACTCCTGTGATTTTTAATGTGTCACGGATGTGCTGTGCCAAGGGTGGTTAAACAGGCAGTGTCATTATAAGTGCTTCCTAGGTTCCATAATGCTCAACTTACACAACTTCAGCTTCATGTAAAATCACTGCAAATTAATTTGAAAAAATCTGACCCGCGCATGATTCCACTGAGATACAAACATAAGTGGGGACTAGTAATTGAAGCACAGGGCTTCTCAACTTGATTTCTTCTGTTTGATCCAGGCATTTTATTTTTACAGAATCTTTTAAATTAATTCTTTATTTTTCAGTTTAGTATACAGTGGATTCATGATGTTGTATATGTGCAATCGATCAAAGCAGTGCACTGAAAAGGATAGGAATCTGCTATTATCCAAGTACAAAATAAAAACCAATTTCACAGACTTATGTTTTAGAAATCTGTAAGGCGAAAATCTGCAAGCTGAATGTGAAATTCCCATTACTTTACAAGTAAGACCTTTCTAATTTGTTCTGTAGGGCTAGAAAATCATGCAATATTACATGTTACGTGTTTATAGCCTAACTCATGTTGGTTCATGAGAATCGCCCTGTACAGTGGTTAACGAGATCAAGTGTGTGAAACCCCTAAAAGCGCAGTGCCTGTTGTCCCTCACTCCCGCAGCGGGGAGAAGTTCCAGGTGCTGGACTCGAGCACCCGGGCCATGCTGCGCACTGAGGACAAGGAGGACCAGGGACAGGCTCTGGCCAACATCTTCTCCCTGCGCCTGATGGAGAATCAGAATGAGAGCGACGTCACCTACATGTTCAAGGCCTCCAGCCCGTGAGTGCAGGATGAACCGCCCTGGGTGAAGGCGAGCTATGGCAATGGGGGCAGGAGCAGTCAAACACGGGGCCTTCCAATCCAGATCAGTGCTACACAGACTCTGTACAGGACCGGACTGGAACTGCCTGCGTTTGACTACTCCGACAATAGGTCGTCTGAAACGATGTCATCATCTCAAAGGCCCAAGAGGGGAATGTTTTAATGTCGGGATGTAGAGCACATGACTATTGTCAGACATTATTAATAATTTAATTGAACGATTTTGGAACTTCAAATGGCAGCTGTGAGGGACGGCCAGAATGATCTCTGCAAGAAGAACTAGTCTGCGTCACTCCTCAGAGATGTCGCATGAGCTCTGGGTTTGCTCTCTGGCCTCCGCCGAGAGTTAGTGGATGACCAAGCAGTATAGATCTAGCTTAATAAGTGAGGCCAAGTCAAAAACCAGAATAGACCTGACTTCAACAATGCAGGCCAGAGCAGAAGTCAGAATAGGAGATTAACCCATGATTTGTGATCAGTAGATAGAAGCATATGAAGGTTTATAATTATATGCTTATATTTGGTGTAAAGCACATAAGACAAATGACATACTGTATAAGAAGCATTAAACTTGATCATAGCCTATCCCAGAGTCAGCAGTACTAGTACTGGATGAGTGGTGTTTCTGCAGGTGTTCTAGGTCCCTTTAAAATACTGGCACCTGAAGAACTGGGAGAAGCTGTTAAACTGGTCCAATTAAAACCATATAGAACTGATTGGGTTGTTTATAGCTCAGCTGGATTGAAAACATACAGACACACTAGTGTTATAGCACCAGAACCGGGGACTCTGGCTTAACCTTTGACTTTTGAATCTGAATCATTGTTGGAAATTTTTATTTACTATTCAAAAAACAATCCCCACATCTTAAACAAGTGTCACCTGGGGCGCATTCAAAAACCGTGTCATTGGTGAATTTTGTGATGTTGTACCACTTCAACAAGTTTCTTTGTTCTTCAGCAAAGGAAGTGTTGAAACTGGGTTGATAGACTGGTTTCACAGCCCTGTGTCAAGGTTCTCATGCTTATGACTCCTACCCCCTGTGCAGGAGTGACAAGCGACGCTGGATTTGTGCCCTGACGCCCAAATTCCAAACCCGATTACTTAACTCAAACTCCAAACATGGAGGTAAGATCAGGCCCTGTGTTTCCCACTGAGTCAGTTCTTAAAGGTCTGCTAATCCTACTGTACTACCCTGTGCGCATATGGGACAAATGTGATTTGTTTGTTGTTGAGAAAAACTCTATGCTGATTATACATTAAAGGACCTTTTGATTCATATGATGCAAAGAAATGATTGGTGTTTTAGATTTGTGAGATGGACTCTTACAAATGCTGTGTGATGCAGAGTCAGACTCCCGGTGCTCTTTCTGTACTTTCCTGCTTGCCATGATTGAGGAAAAAAAAGGTTCTTTGCTTAAAGCGATTTTCCAGTTTCAAATGTGCTCCCAAGCAAAGGAAATAGAAAAAAATGGATTAAGAATTTAAGAAAGTTTGAAACACAGCCCGTGCAACCATAGTGAAACTGCGATGTATAATCTTTCACCTTATGGTTGCGGGTACAGAAATTAATCATTATTTAAAAAAACAACAACTGCATCTACTGTACATTCCTCAGGAGATTTGTTCCGGCAAATTCACGCATTACCGAGACTGAGCTCCCAGACGAGCGAGATTAAAAAGATTTGTGCTGCTTCCCGCAGCGTGCTGGGGTTCCTGTCCGAGTTTCTGCTCTGGAGGAGTAGAGGATGTGTGAATTTAAGGCAATATGCACCCAAAATAAATGACACTTAAAGGATGGCCTCTGCTGGCCAGGAAAGGTACTGAATGAAGCTAAAGCTTACAAACCACTCCGGGGAATTTTATATTTCTTGTTACCTTTACCAGTGGTGGTGTGCTTTGTCAGTTTTATGGTTTCTATAGCAACACCAAAGGGGCAAGTGGACAGGAGTTAAACGGATGTGTAGTGGTCCAAAATGGCTCTCCACCTCTTCCATATTTTAGGCATTAACGTGTGGCTTCTTAGCTAATTGGACAAGTCAGTAAAGAGTAGATAAAACCTCTGAAGGCTCAGCCTAGGAAGCGCATGTGCAGGTCACCTTCGCGATTTCCAGACTTTACGTGCTCCCCTTGATTTTAAAGGGCAAGCTGCCCTAGCCGAGCTTAGCTCACTCATTGTTTCTCGCCACCTCAGACTCCCCCCAGGTGCAGTGCATTCAGTCCTACGCATCGCAAGAGCCTGACGAGATGTCAGTGGAGATGGCCGACATTATCAACGTCCTAGAGAAAACGGAGGACGGTAGGTGTTATATCAGCAGAGCACATAGGAAACAAATGTTCTCAGCCTTTGAAACACAATGCCTCCCCTTTCAGTTAAAACAAAACCACAGTCCCCCCTCTTCGGTGTATAGGCTAATCATTTTATGTATTGTTTTAATGATTTATTTTAAGTTGCTATTTGAGCACTTCAGCTTATATCAGTAAAATAATTTCACTTGGAAAAAATAGTGATGCAGATTGAAGGTAGGATGATCCAAATTCACATTTAAACTTTAGTTTATGTAAGGAGTTAAGAGCTCTAATGCTACATTTTTGCCGAACGCTTTGAAGTTCGTGTTTTGAAAGAAAGCACAATATGATTGATAGAAAGCAAATGAAACTGGCTTAGTTCATAATACTGCCTAAAGAGTGAATATTTGCTATTGTGAGATTTAATGCCTGCATAATATCTGCTTCTGTGTAGCTAACAGCACAGATACAAATTGTGGCAAACAGCCACTTTTGCTCAAATCCAAGAAAATGGTCACCATTCATGAAGTAAATGCTATCTTCATGGAGGGTTTTATTACTGGATTTCATTGTTGAATTGATGTAAGTGGTTCTAAATTTGTTGACAACATTTTGCTAACATTGTTTTGAAGAATATGCTGGTTAGCAGCAAATACAAGTCACTCACTAAGCACACAATATAGGGAGAAGCAAAATTAGAAGTTGAATATTACATTTCTACCTATAAATTGCTGTAGAAAAAGTTGCATTAAATTTGGAAAATTTCAGTATCTTGAACGAGCTGTTATAAAAAGCTCTGATCTGTGCAATACTGGTTCAGATCTGGATTATATTGTCAGCTGGACGTGACTGAGATAAATACCCTGTAAAAATGATGATCATTATTGATTTTTTCCATATCGTACTTTACAAGCCAAAAGACACAATAGCACTTAGAGAGTGAGCACGGGTCAGCCAGGGTTAAGTCTGCAGTGTCACTGAGTGTAACATCACTCCTCCTGTCGGTGCGACCTCTTCAGTCTGATTCTGTGTCAAATAGCGAATGGCCTGTAAGCTGCACACTAAGGAGGAGAGTGATCACTATCCTCACCCCCTCTACTTCATCCCTAATTCCACCTTCTCCTGCAGTCTGTCAACAACATGCTTCCCTGCTGCGAATGCAGTTCTGACACTGGCTCTCCCAAGGAGAGTTCACCCACTGAACACTATTCGAATTAAGATGGTTAATTAAAGGCTTAGATTTCTTTTAAAATCAAAACATACCTTTCCAACAAAGAGTGAAGTGAGGGAAAGCGACATTTGCAACTGCGCAGCTTTAAAAGGGCTGTGGTATTCTGACCTTTCAAAGGAGCTGTCTATGAGAGGTGTCCAAAAGAGCAGAGACTGGAAATACTAATAACTGGGGGGGCTGACGGAGTTCTATGCAATGATGCGCCCAGCGGCAAAATGCTTTACACACACAGCTGGTTAGATTTCATTGGAAAACACTTCAATCCTACAGGACCATGGGAAGCTATATCCAGTACCAGTGTCTTTATCCTGAGACAAAGGGATAGGCCAGTAGCAGGCACCGGGCATTGTTTTACTCTTTTGAAGTGCCATTTCTAAATTGTATTGGTTGACTGGACTGCTTTACACCCAGGCTGGATGATGGGCGAACGCCTCCATGATGGAGAGAAAGGGTGGTTCCCCAGCAGAGTGGTGGAGGAGATCCAGAACCAGGAGCTCCGGGCCCAGTACCTGCGGGAGTGCCAGCGGATCCAGCAGGCCGAGGGCAATGGTGTTAGGCTGATGGCATCCAGGGGCAGGCGCTTGAGAAACATCCAGCCGTGACCTCTGTACACCTGGACTGGCAAACATAGCTCCTGCTGTAGACTGAGGAACACATTATGGTCTTCCAGCTGTTGTGGCCAGATCTAGGTTTCTGTGGATTTTAGCCTGTTCTCCGTGGATGAACTCTGGGAAGGTTTAAACGTGAACTAAAAACTTTATAATAAGCTTATAGCCATAACATGACACTTAACATGGCTTTATGTAAGACAGGGAATACCTAGGTAATTCTGTCCTCTGCAGTCCTTCAAAGTTGATTTTACTGTTCAAATGGCATGGTCATCATTCGGAAACACAAACCATGTGCATGATAAGATGAAATACGCCAAAGCAAACTGCCCCAGAACTTATCACCGATTCCAACGCCATTCAGACCTGCAGGGAGAAACTTCAGCTGCTGCACTGCAGGATCCTGAGACGCATCAGGTCTGGACCTGGCCGAGATTGAGGAAGACTGGCCCTATTAGAGTGGAGCAGGGCTACTGGAGAATCCTCAAGGAGGTGTCTTTTGTTTTGGGCTAAAAATGGAACTCCCCATGAAAACCCTCTTTAATCTGGAGTTATATAATAATTTGGAGGGAAGGCTTGCCTTTTGTTTTAAGTTAACTTGGGCCTTTTGGGGCCAAAACAGAGTATCTAGGTGTTGTACATGTTTTATTGCATCTGTAAAAAAAATATTTTAAAAGTTTTAGCGAAAAGACTCAGGAGTGTAGCCAATTAAGCACAAACCGAGAAGGGAGTAGGCATTCTAAAGAGAGAAGCCGGAGGATGGATATCCAGGTAACTTTAGACATCAGTCCCCAGAAAATCCTACAGAATCTGCTTAACATTCATGTGACCCGAGCTTTGGAATATATGAACAAAGTGCAATTGACCTATGGAAGACACATGCAGTGTGAGTGCGTGCATCAGGTGCACAGAGAAGCACTAAATGACTTGGAACAATTCATTTCTGCAAAGGCTTTAGACTTAGCTCATCCTAGGATGGTAAAAAAAGCTATTTATTTTCAATAAATGCCAAAGTAAGATTTAAAAAAATGAGTAGAATGAATTTCCATATCACAAACAGTATTCTGCCATGTAAAACATTCTAAAGATTTTTTTTCTGTAGTCTCTATAAGATTACGACACTCCATCACAAGATCACTAGTCAAGTGACTGGTGTTTCAGATTCCTCAAGTGGCTATTGTTCCCCTGAAATGAAAAAATAGCTCTTTCCCTGCCTTCTTCTGGGATTGATACTGCATTCTCATCTCTTGGAGTGGGGAAATATGGAATTCAAAGGCTTTTTTCTACACAATTCAATATAATACAAATGGATCAGATTGTAACATGCAGGTGCAAGAGACAGAGCTCTGACAGCTCTATATTCTACCAATATAGAGGGCCTTCGAGGCCTCTTGAGAATTATTTAATGTACTTGAGCATTATTTCACGGACAGCACGCCTCAGTTTTGGATGAACAGGTGCAGGTTGAGCCCTGTAATCCAACTATAACCTATAGTCCTGACAACATTGCAAAGGAACCCGAGGTGACTGATTGGTGAGGGCACAGATGTGCCTACTAAAAGTTCATAGCTTGCAATGCTTTCTGGGAGAGCTGCATCACTGCTCCAGTAGATTCTCTTTCTCCTGCTTGCAGACCTATGGTGTGAGAAAACTGCAAATGGCTATGCAGAGTGTAAGGTATCGGAGAAAAGAATGCACAGCCCTCACACTCCAACACTGGGGTCTAGTGACCCAGGTTGCAATGGTGAAGTTGAGCTGTTGAACAATTTGCAATTCTAAAAAGATAGATAAAAAGATAAATAAAAAAATGGTTCAACAGAATTTCCAATTCCATTTTCTTGTACATAACTGCATAATATAGCAGATGCAATACGTGCTGTTGAAATAGACCACTGGTTTTCAAATAAGTCACTTTTCTCAGTTATTTATTTATGAGATCAACTGGATATCTGACAGCTTTCTATTTTAGTTGCCAGAATTACAAACAAAAAAAAAGTCCAAAGAAAATGTTTATAATCCCAATTCTTGACCAGCTTTAACCAGTCTGACTATAATTGAAATTGCAAACAGTACAAGATCACAACCAGCAAATTTTTCCATGCATTTTTAAAAAATGATTAACAACTCTTTTCTTGCTGTTGTAAACAAGTAGAAACATCATTGCCTAAATACTACTGCTCGTCATGCATGAAATATGTGAGGTGTGATTTTTAACCTTGGCAGCTCGTGAGGTGATGCTCTTCTACTCAACCCAGAGTATTTTCAAAAAGCCGAAAGATTGGTTTTAAAAAAACTCATATTGGACATGTATTCTTCCCATGTAAAAATTGCTTTATTTTCCCTTTATTCTTCCATAAAATCAAAACTGAATGGTCACATCTGCACAATAGAAAATGCCCTTTTCCAAAATCTGCTGTTTTTTCTGTCTTCATCTTTCCATGGCTATTATCTACAGGGTGAAATTCACAGCTTTTTGCCCCAGGGCCCTTGAAGCATTTTCCCCATACACATACTTCTCTTACAATGTGATACCTACAAAACATTTTAAATGACTTTTTCAGAAAAGAGGAAGAAAAGCAGCTTGAAAATCTGTTTATAAGTTTCTTATTAGAGGTCAGGGATACCTGGAGCCCACGCCAGAAACACAGGACACAAAGAGGGACTACTTGACATTAATCAATCTCAGTGACAATTTAGAGATGCCAATTAACCTGGCCTGAAAAGAACATGCAAACTCCACACAGAATGCAAGTCAGAATCAAACACAAGATCCAAGAACTCTGGCAGCAGTGACACCCAACCTGCTCCAGTACTGCCCCCCTTAGAAAACTGCTCCATTAAGTCTGAAAGAAGTGACAGATGCTTAGGTTAGCTGGAATACTTACAATTGAATAAGTAATATGTTTATTCCATGCTGAAAAAAAGAAGAAAGAAACCACAACGTTTTCAGCCGTGGAGCCTTCTTCGGGTGTGAGCTCATGAAGCACTCACACCTGAAGAAGGCTCCATGGCTGAAACGTTGTGTTTTCTTTCTTCTTTTTTTCAGCATGGAACAAACCTATTACTTGTTCCTTTGCAGCCTACGCATGCTGACGCAGCTACCCACCTGAAATACTTACAATTGGTCCATTTTGGTCAAGTGAATGACAATCCTTTAGACAAATATTACAAATATTCTGCACTATACTGAGCAACCACACTAGAATATTCCAAATTTTATTTGGGCAACTTTCCTTGCTATCAGTTAACAAATGTTGTAGTGCTATCTATTGGAACATTACATTACATCTGTGTCCACTGCCTCTTTTTGAGTAAAGAAAAAACATTGGCAATCAAAATCTCAAGGACAAACATGTTTTGGGTTTCTCACCTTAAAAAACCCTAAGTTTATTCATTAATACATCAAAGAATGTTGTGCTTACAAATTAACAATTTAGCATACCATTTATTTTTCCATACAAAAATAAATCCTGCTTAATGATTTACCCCAAAAAAGGCTGCAAAACATTTAATTTCAGAAGACCTTAAAATGAAATGCCTGCATTGTTCTACTTAAGAGTCAAAATTTCTGTACAAAAAGAAAACATTTTATTTAAAGTATGTGTGTAATGTTCCAATAGAATCTCAGCCTCCTGGGATTGAAGATGCTGCAGTACAGTGTTCATTCCTATTTATCTTCCACCCATCTTCTAAATTGCTTTATTCCATTCGGGGTCACGAGTATCCAGAGCCTATCCTGACAAGCAACAGGCACAAGGCAGGATACACCCTGGACAGGACGCCAGGTCATTGCAGGGCACACACACAAACAACCGCACACATACTCGCACCAGGGCCAATTTTCCTAGAAGCCAGTTAACCTACCAGTATGTTTTTATGACTGGGGGAGGAAATGCACGTGGACATGGGGAGAACATAAAAAACTCCACGCAAATAGCACCCCAATTACATCTCCTGTTTATCAGTTAACCCACCCAGCTGTCAGGCGCAGCAGAACTGAATCTGATCTTGACTGGTGTTCTGACAGCATAATTTCCAGGCTGCAACTCTAAAGCTTGGCAGGAGGTCATAACTTCACACACTCAACAGAACAGTCTTGGGGTGAATAAAAAGACTCAGTTCAGAATGTAGAAGTCAAAGTGCTTATTTTGTCCCAATACTGGCATCATTTCAGATTTCTCTATCTCGTACAAAAACAATCCTAAAGCATCAGATACACTCTGCAGACTAACAAGTGTGCACAGACTGGCTTTGTTTTGTACTCAATGCCTGGAAAATGAAATTTGACTACTCAATATACAGTAAGTTGCTAGAGAATCATTCTTTTTGATGAGGGCTACAGGTTCACAAATATACAGTTTTAAAGGATTAGCTGCCTGGAATAAAACATGCATCTACTGTCCTACAGTTCTGGCAGGCTCTCCCCTGTGACCCCAGAGTTGCTGCACTGAAGTGCCTGGTTGTGAATATACTGGACTGGGTCTGAAACAATAGCACATGCACAGAAGAACCCAACACTAAGGGGACAACTGGAATGATCTAGATAACACATGCTAGTAACACAGTTGCACCAATGTCTTCAGAGGAAGCCTTTATACTGTACAGTACCTACTTCCTCTGCTGTGGCTTATATCATGAGCATCCCCACTGCCGGGTCCAAAGCATTGGATTCAAAATGACATCGATGGCTACTCATTTACTCCCTCAACAAAAGCAGAAATGCTCAAAATAAAATATTGTAAACTGTATAAATTAATAGTCATTATTAAATTATATAAAATTAAAATCAAATTGGAAGCATGATTTTAGAGGAGTCGACCAAACAGGCTTATGATACATCAACAGATTAGACTGATTAGAAGGCTCCTCTTGGCTTCTGTTTTATATATAAAAATACAAAATAAGAAATGTCCTTTTTTTAGAGCTATATGATATGACATTGCGAACAACCGTTGTGGTAGGGCACTCGGAATGCCGGAGAGCCACGACGATCTTATTTGGAAACGACAAGCGTCTTCTTTCCCGTGGTGCTGTGGAAATGGGGAACAAACCGAGGTCCTGGACGAACGCGCTCATCCGCAACCTGGAGCTTGTGCAAGTGTCCGGAGTGAAGGAGCGGACTAGGGAAACGGACTCCCGTGCAGGGCGGACCGGACTGCGTGCTATCCGCCCGGACTGAAGCGGGAGGGAGCCCGGCTGTCAGCTCTAGGCGGTGGTAAATCTCTTGAGCGTGATGACGACAAGGGCGATGAGCACAGAAGCCCCCAGGATCACTGCAATTACTATAGCGGCTATGGCCCCAGGACCCAGCACACCTGCACAAGACAGACGCATAGAGAAACCGTTCAGCCAGACGTACCCGAAAGCTCGGAGTCTCCAAATCCACTTCATAACTAACATTACTGCTTTTAGAACAGGGAAAACAACTTTGTTTCCGCTAATTACTTAATCATCATAGCTAGAAGGCTCAAAGCTGTGCAAAAGGTAGACACAGCCCTACTGTACCCGAAGCAAGAGACAAGTTCAGAATCACGCATTAAATCTCAGATTTCCGCCTTTCTCCCTTTTCCTTTGAAACGTTCTAGTTCTTTGCAAACATATATTCATCTGAGTGTTTTAGAGCTCAGTCTTGCCGCCGAGGTTAATCCAATTTAAATTTTTTTTTTTTGAATGACACGTGAAGTTGAAATAAATCTTTATTCCCAGCCAGTACAACTATCTCAGGAATGGACTGCTTTTTAAAATAACGCAGCGGGATACATGTGGTTAGCCGAGGTGCAGCTTGTTTCTTTCTAACCCAGGCATCATGTGATACCTTTGTTGTATCATTGTATACAACAATTCCAACTCGGCTGTGGGAGACATCTAGAGACGAGGAGCGCCTACAGTAGTACGGCAAGCGTGAGAAGTCTTTACTTTTTATTATTTTTACACTTCTGAGCGATGTCAGGACACAAACCTCTCTCATGTAAAGACCTCAGATAAGGATCAGAAGTACAGTAGGTGGCTACACAAAGTCTTGTGTAACAGTGAAAAACATACCAAAAACACTGTGTGAGACTGCCTGAAAAGAGAGCTTGAAACCTTTCACATCCCTTTTAGAGCATCGGACAATCCCTACAGTGCTGTGAGACTCCTGTATACAAGAAGGTAACAAGCTGAAACCACCCCACTAGGCTGCAAGAGGCAAAGACCTGCCACAGGGCCATGTGGGGCAGGAAGAAGGCATTATGGGACAGAAGAACTGTTACTCATGTCTATACTTTGTCAAAAGGCTGCATGAGACTTTCTCTATGACTCATTAATTTTGTTTCAAATTAATTTTTGAAGGAACAATAACCCTGGTGGCCTTTACAGAGAAGGACACCTAGAAGGAATGCTTACCATCTCCGCGGTCCATAGGCTGAGAGTGGGTGGTGTCTTCATACTCGAAGGTGAAGGTGTTGTCTGTGAGGTCATGAGGGGGGTCCCTGGTAGTGACATCATAGCTGCCCCCTCCCGAGCACGTCTCCTGGCTCTCGCTTTGCGGCGTGGGGGCAGGGTCAGCGGCCGTTTCTGGGAAAACACCAACCCCAGCAATACTGAAAACTGCGGAGTGGAAGATTACACACTGAACACACAGCGAGTATCCCTGACAGGAAGCTCAATCTATCCAAAGACTAACATTACTACTTGGCAAGCTGGGTTCAGCACCTACCTTGCTTTGATGAGGGCATCATACATTGACGGAAAAGAATCCTACATTTACAATGTAAATTAAGATAGCCCTACTGGCTACCACGATAGTTCATTTGCTCTTCAAAAGGAATTTCCAATTTTTTCACCATTCCTCTTTGATGAAGTTGTGAAAGATTTATTTTTTCTCTAGTTTGCTTATGCTCGTGTGGAAGGACTGTTGTGAAAGGGACTCTTTGTGAGAAAGCTGTTAAGTGCCGATTACAGGTTACTTTCCCTCTCTCTCACGTCTCCTGGTCAGATTCCTTACACACAACCCGAAAGCAGAGAGGACTGCTTTCCGAAGAAGAAAGTGTAAAGGGTAGAGCAAATGTCCACATACTTGTCTGTATATCACTACAAAGACAGAAAAGCCCAGAGAAGACCTATTACACTGATTCTGGGGATTCTAGACAGAAAGGAACTTGTTATAAGCAACTGCTCCAGTAATCCTGAGCTTTTACAAATTTTAAAGTCAGAAGACAGAGTACAAGAATACAAGGAGGAACTTTGTGAGAGAAGATCATAAACCATAAGTAGTAAACAGACTAAACTGCCAAACCACACTGCAGACCTTTGTAAATTTACTTCAGTGCTGCAATAGAAACGGTAGGTGTGGAGGAAAATGGCAGACCTGTAATGGATTGGATGTCTAGATCTTGTCTTTTCAAATGACTACTGTACTGAGGCTTTCAGAACTCTTCTGGCACTCTTGTGAGAGTGCAGCTGACGGTTACACTTTCCAGGATTTGGTTGACAATCTTTTAGTTTTATCTTTTTTATAGTTTTAAAACAATAACTAATGTTCCATTGGTGTCATCTGTGGTCAGCTATAGGTAAAGTGATAATGGGGTCTCTTTGCATGTTCAAAGATATCACTAAGTGTAAAATATTTACTCACTTTTAAATTAAAACTGATTCAACCCGAGGTACAATGTTCACTGTTAAAGAACGGGGTGGTTTAAAAATACATACTCACAAACCTAAGAACAGAATCAGTCAATAAACCGATTTTATTCCAAAGTTGCAACCTTTAAATTCAGAGTAGAGTGTTGCACTATTCTATCACAGCAGTCGTGTTAGTGGATCTCCCAGAATGTAGTGTTTCAGTAAGCTCTGGCTAACACGTACACACAGTTTATATGTAATGTGTTGAAATGCACAGCAGTTACAGTGAAAACAGCCCTGATGTCCTGTATTCTAACACCACACTGAAAAGTTCACCGTACAAGGGTGCATACTTGAAAATGAACATAAAGTTAATGAACAGTTCAACTTAAAATGAATGATGTAGAACACTAACAGATGCTACAAATTAAGCAAAGAGAGCAAATGCATACTGTGCACCATGCTCAACACTGTGCATCCTGTAGTGCCTGAAGCAAATGGTCATGCAGAGGTGTGAATACAGAGTGGTAGGGCCAGTGTATTCAGTGATACAGTGTATTTAGATCTTCAGGAGGCTTTTGACAAAGTTCCTCAAAAAATGGTCAATTCTCCAGTTGCAGGCAGTAGGTATTCAGGGAAACAAGACTGTCTGGATTGAAGAACTGGTTATTAAATAGAAAACAGAGAATACATATAAATCACCAAACGCCTTATTTATCACCCTAAATAACATCAACAATCTAGATTTTGCTGTAGTTAATAAACTAGTCGTGCTTGTAGACTACTCAATTAGAAGGATTAGCAAACACTGCAAAAGCAGCAAGTACATTTTAAAAAGATTTAGATAAAATTCTCAGCTGGGCAAACACCTTGTTGCACTTCCAGACAAAGTTGGGCAGAAATTAAAAAGGTAAACAATGTGGTAGAATATATAGTTTAAAGAGTAGTATTTAAATTAGGAGATGTAATGGTAAAATTGTATAACATAGTAGTAAGGCATAAATTATTTCTGCTCTGGAGTCCAGATTAGAGCGCGTGGAGCATAAGAGACTACGCTGACAGGCTGAAGGAACTGAACCCTTTTAGCCTTGAACAGGGAATATTAAGGGGGAACCTGATACAAGTGTGGACATCTTCAGTATAAAGGGTGAAGTGGAAACCAGAGGTCATAGGCGGAAAACTATGTGGAACTGCATTTAAAAATGAGAATAGGAAGCACTTCCTTACACAAAAGGTTGTGGGAGTGTGGAACAAGCTACCCAGCCATGTTGTTGAAGCTGATACCCAGGCTGGTTTCAGGAAACAGCTGGATGAGATCCTGGGGTGAATTAACTAGTAACTACCAAAGGGGCTAGGTGGACTGGATGGCCTCCTGTTGCTTGGAAACTTCATGTTCTTGCAAGAAAATTAGGGTCTCAAAATGTAGCCTGTTTGGTGGTGGATATCAGTGTGTAAGACTATATGGTATCCACACCTTTGAAAGAGAATACAAAAGGTACTGCAGGTGTAATATCTGCTCCCTTCCACTGCCTCAGCACACTGCCAAGTTCATGGCTCCTGTCAGTTTTACAGAAACCACTTTTCAGCCAGGGAGCTACAGTAGTAAAATGCCACCTGTCCCAGGGGCTGTTTTGCACACTCGGTGTTCAGTGCATGTCCGGGATAGAGCCGAACCCAATTCAATCGGAAAGGCTGAAGGGGGAAAAAAAAGATCAGAAAGCACCTGTGAAAGACAAACTGCCAAGAAAACCAGGCTTCTCACTGCAGAGACCGAGAAGACAGTAAAAGCACAGTTAACAAGCAGCTGGCACCTCGCATGACGATGATTTGGAAAACGTTTCTTAGTTGCTGAATCTAATTAGGCAGCAGCGCGCACAAAGCTTTCCTTGGTTGTGTTCATCCACACTTATTATTGGAAGATTCCTGGTCGACACGTTCCTTACAGCGGTTCCTGAAAATAAAGTCTTCCCTGATATATCGATTCAGCTTGACTCGCTGCCCGAATTGAGTATTTTTAACACAGAGCGCAAGGCTGGCTGCTGACTTTCTGGAGTGCAGCCTTCCTGTACTGAAGCAAGCCACAAGCAGGGCTGCCTGGTCACCTGCCAGGCCCTCCATCAATGGGGCCTTCTCTCGTCGGGCACAAAGGAGAGCTTGTCCAGCCGAGGAAGCCAGAATGTCCAGACTCTGAGGACCACAGATTCTGTGATGGCATTAAATGTTAAACAAACTTGTTTATGAAAGCCGTGTAAACGTTTTTTTTTCTGTTTATTTTTGTTCTCCACCCCACCCCCGCCCTGACAGCACTTAAAGTAACCGCCTCAGGCTGCGTGAGTATTGTCGGTCCTGGTCTGGTTTCATCTCCCTCGCCGCCTCGCTGCTTCAGCCCTCTGCATTTCAAACATCTTGTGACTCCCCAGTTCTTTCTCGCCAGCTCTAGATGGAACCTGATGTTTGCAGGCTTAAAGTGAAAAGCTTTTTGGTAATGACCCTGCTCAGTAAACGTTGTTCTGTTGGGTCTATCCCTCAAATTGGCCCCTCCAGTTGTCTTACTATTAGAGAAAATGCAGATTTTGTGACCAAAATGGACACACCTGTGATGGTGCAAAAATCAATAGCTGTGCCTTAAACATAAAGCAGCAGCATTACTGTCTTGGAGTCTGATCTCCTCAAATCCTAGAATCTAAGCACGGTTTGGCCTGTGATGGGAGACCTGCAATTATATTGCTGGTGTAAGTGGTGTTCATGGACCAGTAGGTGGCGATCTCTCCCTGGGCTAGAATTTCCAAAGCAACACAATGAAGGGGACAGAAGACACTTTGCTGTAGGAGGTGTCATTCTTCAGATTAATTAAACGGAGGTCCTGATATCCTAGTCATGAAAGGATGTATTTTTTTGCTAGGTTTGCTGGTTGAATTCCACCTGGGGCTTGCAAAATGTAATGTTCCTTAATTCAGCAGGTGAAGTCATTTCTCCCTTTTTCACCAGACCGGCTCTGAAACATTTTGCTGCTGTCTTGGCCCACAGTAGTCAGCTCTGCGGTCTCCACAGCGCTAGATTCCAGGGTGCCAGATCAGGTCCTGACTAGTGCGCCTTCTGTGTGGAGTTTGCATGTTATTCCTGTGTCTAAAACACACAGTGGCTAGAATAATTGGTGCCCCCAAATTGTCTCTGTATGTGTGTATTTGCCCCATGATGGACTGGCGTCCGCTGAGGGGTGTAGTCCCGCCTCGCACCCTGTGCCTGCCAGTTTAGGCTCGGTCTCACTGCAATAGGATGAAGTGGCTGTGGACTGAAGAATATAAATACCTGCCATTTTCCCTAAACAATATTAAGGGATGTGAGACGTCACTGTGCAACACGCCGATATTTTGAAGTACATTTACTTGTACGGCAATCCAGATACAATGTATAATTTCCACTGTGCTATAAACACATGCATTTCCAGTGTTTTTTTTATACATCAGAACATCCTTTTTAGTTACCCTAAATGTCATGTTTAGGAGAAGGACACTTGGGCACATAATGAGACACAAAGGAGATAAGACTTTAACCACTCATCACAGAAGGAATATTCTCATGCTCATCTCTCCGAGAATATCACACATTTATTCTGTCAGCTAAACTAGTCACGACCAGAGTCAAATAGTGGTGCTGCCTGTTTTTACCCACTTTATTTCTTAACATAAAGGGATTAAACCCTACTATTATAGTCTAGAAGAGGCACAATGATCCGACAGGTACTTAAACATCCTTGAGCCATCTCTGTGAAAAGATTCCTTGTGGTAGGAAACTTTTCTTTCGAAATTATGCCAAACCTGCTTGTTTCTTACATAAAGGTCCTCTTACAGACATTCATGTTTACATTAGAAAACTGACAAAAACAGCGATGAGCACATTTCCTGGAAGGCCCTCTCAAACAGCAACATAGACACATACAGATGAAGGCAAACAAGCCAAGCAGCTTTTATTTTTGCTGAAGAAAGGGTTATGAAACTGAGTGGAACTCAGATTTAGTTTCACCTGTTTGTCTCACACAGTTGTTCCCCTCATTGACCTATTCGGTTACAACCATAGTGCAGATACAACAGAATTACACACATTGGACTTACATTACCCATGAAACAAGCATAAATTCCTATGTGTCCAGATGAATTTGTGTGTGTACAGATGCCATCAAAAGTTCTTAAGTATCAGGCGTATTAAAGCCTATAGGTGCAGCTGTTTTGAGAGTGATTTTGCCTGGCTGTGCTTCCTCGTTTATACTAGACTGCTTTTAAAGGACACCAACTAAGGCTCAGGAGTGGTCTCATTTTTCCATCTCCTCCTATGCTGGAGGTGTTAACACACCAAGGATTTTACACACAGCACTGGGAGTGGAGCTCAGGAAGGCAGAGGAACGTAGCAGAACAGTCCTGTGCAAAGGCCCAGAGGGCTGCCTCACTCTGTGTCCTCAGCTCAACCTGACACGCCCCTGCTGATGGATTGGCATGGCAGATCGTGGCCAGAGGGGCCGTCTTCGCTCTCTTTCTAAATGAGGGCATACAGAACACAAGCTTTTTTCTAAAGTTTTCTGAGAAATTATTACGGTTATTTCACCACCCAAGGCTGTACTGGCTCAGACCCAGACGTACGGCAGTGCAGACTCCGTGGCACTTGGTGCCGCCAGCAGGGGGCGTCTCTGTGTAAGATACCATACCTTTACAAACCAGGACATCTGTGACGGTTGAAATCTGACTGATTCTTGAGTAACACATCTGACAATGAAAATTCCTTCAAGGTAATTCACCTGTAAAAGGCTAAGTCATTTTACAGGAGGCATGAGCTGCTAGATCACAAGCTCTATTTATTTCACAGAATAAAGGGATTTTATCTGGAGATGCACCTCTTACCGCAGTGTTGAAACACACAAAACAAGTGCTGCTTATAGCACAATCCAATGACATAAAGCAAGGAACTTGCAAAATCAGAAAGGTTCTTAACATTTATCTCAGTGTTAAATCATTTTAAGCTGACCTACTGTATAAGAAACTTTAGTAAGTTAGCAATAAACTCTAAAAAAAATTCAACCCGATACATGACTTAGCTGTAGATCCAAGTAAAAAAAACTTTAAAATTGGTTTTAGGAAAGCATGTAAAATCTTACTGTGATCTATGTTTATACTATTTTTATCAGTGAATTTTTACCTCCCACATATTTCAATTCATTTAATCTTATGTTCCTCTACACTACGGGATCAGGATTTTCAAGACTGAACTCTTCATCAGTGATCTGAATCAGACTACAATTAAAACTACAAACACAGCAAATAAAAACATGCACTAAATTGAACTCCTTCAACACCTCCGTCATAAATCCAAGATGTGGTGGAGAAAAATTTAAAAGAGAGAAGACTAAGTTTTCTAAAGTGTGCCTTGTGTAACACACAGAAATAAAAATTAAATGATCTGCCCTGTTTTACTGTGTTGTTTTATCTGTTTATCGAATCTTAAGATGACCGATGTTGGCTTCTAACTTGGCTATTGATTTACACAGGATGTTTAATTACAATTAAGTGCAATTAATATATAGGATATCCGTACTAACTCTTTTAACACATTAACCTATTCTTCTGGAATTTCCATGACCACTATCTGATAACTATTTTCTGGTTAACAATCTCTGGGGGGGAAAAGTGCTTCATGTTGGTTTCCAGCACAGAAGACGGCTGTCTTAGGCCGGGAGTACTTGCTTTAAAGCGATTGGCTGTTCAACGTGGGGCTGCTAGACTGAAGTCACTGAGAAACAGCATCTTCATTATGGGCGCAGGGTTTGAGCCTTACATTTCCATCTTCTGATGCACTCTGAGGCACTCGACAATTTTTAAAATTGAGCCCTTTGAAAATCCTGGAGTTCTGGATAGTGTAACAACCTCAACATTTTGCTTCAGGCCTCACTTTCTTTCTCCGCTTTTTGGCGCTCTTCTCTGACATGGTTTGATTTATCTGTGCAAGGAAGCGTTGTAATGAAACTCCCTACTGAAGCAGCTCTGATACACCCTGATTCTGGCTACAGCAGATGCAGAGGGGAGAGGAGGGAGTTTTTTTCGAAAAGCTTTATCCCTCCAGCAAGAAAAATGCCTCTCACCAGTTCTGTTGGGAAAGAAACATCTTTGGTAGAGGTGCACTGCAATTTCCACATGTAGGGTCAGAATGTGTTGAGCAAATAACTTGGAAAATAACTCATGTCATGCCAGACTTTAAGCAGTGGAGCTTCTGAAGTTAACCAGTTGCAAGAAACAAAGGTACCGTTTCTTCTAGGAACAGTTCAAGCATGCATGATACAGAGAGGATAAATTTAAGAATTACAGGTACATATAAATCCAGTGTGCTCTCTAAACACGTATTTATAGTAATAGCTTTGAACCTCCATGAAATCAGGTTTGTTCAGGACATAGCAGGAGAAACTTAAGAATATTCTGTCGAGCCACAGCCCTGTACTCAATCGACACTTTTTTAGTTTTTTGCATCTTGTAAGCCTGTAAGTGACCTAGAAAATGGGGTTTAGGTTAAATCTTTCAGCTTTGTTTACGGGGCAGGGAGCTGAAAAGCTCCTCCTGAGATGTTTTGTGTTTCTCTTGAGCCCCTTTATTTAATGTCAGTTCACCAGAATGTGTGTTCCATTACTTCCTCAAAAAATGTGAATGTTGTATTTCCTACCCGTAGTTTGGATGGGGCAGGCTGGTCGTGGAGAAACTATGTGAAGCCCTAACTCCTTCATCTACACCAAGAACCTAAGATCAGCTCCGCGCCCGAGCCGGACACCTGAGCCCTACCTGTCCTCGCCGCTGCTGTCCACAGGCCCAGGAGGAGGAGAAGGAAGAGCCTCGGGCTTCTTCTGGGAGTCATCTTTCCTCTGTGAAGGCTGCGGGGATCTCCGCCACTCTGGGCGCACTGGTTAAAGAGAGGCTGTCCTGAGAAGGAAGGAGAGAAGGAGAGGAAAGAGAGAGAGAGCGGGAGGAAAGAAGAGGGAGGGAGCAGTACTGTAGATGGCTGGAGGGGGGCCACTGGCTGTACAATACCGACTTTGTCAGGACCTCTGACTGCCCACCCACCTGAAACCTTCGGACACGCACTCAGGAACGGTCGACCAGGAGCTGGCCTGTGAGAGAACCAGCCTGCCCCCTGCGCCCCTCCTCACTGGTGACCCAGAGAGGGAGGTTAACTGTTCCCTGTCCTGGAACAGAGCTGGCCCACAGCACAGAGGCACTATCCTGAAGAGCCCAGGGATGGCCAGGCGTCCCTCCCGGGGCACAGAGTTAAAAACAACCAATACCCAGACCTGCCTCGTCAAAATGAGCTACCATGATAGAGATACCATGCTGCTATTAGACCTAGGACAGAGTACCAAGCACAAAATGGAGCAGACTAAAATATTCAGAATATGGCAGCAAGTTGCCGCCTCCAGTTAATTACGCAAGCTCAACTGATGATATTTAAAGCTTTATAAACAAGAAAAGAATCTTGAGTTAAAAGGTAACTTCACAAAACCCTTAGAGAAACAAAATTGCCTTTCCCCCCCCAAACCAAAAATCAAAGTGAGGTCAACTTTTCAAAGCAAATAAAAGTTTTGACTGTGCCATGGCCAGGTAGTCTGGATGCATGTTTGTTCCGAGAATTTTTTAAAAAATGTCTGAAAGCAGAAGTTACAAGACAGAACAATTCAACATTTTTCTGAGCGTGTACCCCACTGCAGGCAGCCCCACAAGTCTAGGGCTCTCGAAATCGGATTGCAAATTGCCAAGATTAGAACAGCATTAACAAAGTGTTCAAAGCTGTTAATAGTCCTGACTGTTCTCAGCAGGGTCTCAGCACCAGAATGGCTGTGGTGCCACTTGCAAGCTCCGACGAGACAGGGAGACGTGGGGTGGGCTCTGGGACACTGCACGGTCACAGCTGGTAACCTGCAAAGGCAATGCAATGCCTCCTGATGAAAATAGATTGTCTAGACAGTGCTGCCCAGGCTAATGGCCGTCTATTGAATGGAGGCCTCGCTTTTAACATACTGGATATAGCAGATGTCTACCTTGCCTTATTTTTTTAAGCAAAGCAGAAAAGGCAATTCCAGGAGAAGCACCACAAATGAACCAAACGTTTGTTTAGAATATTGTGTATGATTTTGATCTTGTAAAGATAATCTGCTTTGGAATCAGTCCAGAGAAGAGACCGCATGGAACATAAAGGAATGTCCTACCCTGACAGGCTGAAGGAACAGAACCTTTTTAGACTTGAACAGTGAAGAATGAGAGGACACAAGTATTCAAAATACTCAAAGCGCTGACAAAGTCAACTCAGTGGACTTCTTCAGTGAAAGATGAAACAGAGGGAACAGGTGGATAATACACATCCCAGGTGAAAGATGTGGGAGTGTGGAACAAGCTACCCAGCCATGCTGTGGAAAACAATACCCTGACTTCCTTCAGGAAACAGCTGGATCAGCTATTAAAGACCCAACAGGCTAAATGGGCTGAATGACTTCCCATAATAATAATAATAATAATAATAATAATACCTTTTCCTATGTTATTAGTTATCCTCGGGACACAGTAGCTGCTCCTGGAATGGCCAGCTCTATCATATATAGACAAAATGCTGCTTTGCATTAGGAAAGGTGGAGCACTATTGTGCTAAAGGCTGTATTGTGCTGAACAGTAAGCAGTTGTCTGGATACTGATGAAGAGGAAATTGCAGATATTGGAGAATGTTTTGGTGAATATAAAAATGAGTTAAACCGAGAGCTGAATTTCTCAGAGAAAATCCTGCGATCTTCAGGTTCACAGGGGATGTTTTATGACGGCTACAGTCCAGCAGGTGATGACAGGTTTGCCTGCACTTCACTGAACACTGGAGTCTCGCACCAAGCGATGATCCCACTGGATCAAAAGCTCATCCTGAATATGTCGGCAGCTGTGAAAGGCTGAAAAATCAGCAAAGCACAAGGCATCAACACATCAAGAACTAATACCTCATACTTTAACTCACTGGGCAACCATGAAAGATGACCGTACAAAGATTTTTTCAATCTTCTTTACCCCTCATTTAAGACTTGAAATGAAAAGCATTTTTCCATTCTAAACAGGAATAGAAAGCTCCACACTGAAAAGCCCCAGAAGAGAAGACACCCAGAAACCAGGCACTACTCCTTCCTCAATCCCCTCTCCTAACACACAGCAAAAACGGGACCCGAGTTTCTGAAGACACACAATGCAGCTGATGTCAACAGTCCTTAACTGCCAGACTCGATTTGGAAGGAGTTGCTTTGAAAATTCAACACCCAAGGAAAAAGGTTCCAGGCTTCACCCCCTCCAGCACGATGAAGAAAGAAAGGTGCACCCAGATGGCCTCCTGGAAAACATTAGAAAGTGCACTGATGCAATCGAGGAAACCCACATTGAAGAAACTGGGATGAATACCTTTTCCTCCTTGCGAGACTATTGATAAATAAAACCTCGTGTCATAAAAACGAAATTATTTTTGGTGAACATCACTCAGTTTCAATTTGCTTAGTTTGTGCAAACTAACTTAGTTAGCTCCTGCTGTAGCTGTTCACAGCTTTGTTCCCTTTGAAAGGAATTCGACAATTTAATAGAGGTAATGCAGTCATTTAGCTGTGGAGCTGCCTACATTTAAGAAAAATAAATGAAATACCACATGCCTACAGAGGCTTGGTAACCCAGATACAATACAAGCAGGTTTTGTACAGTTCAGGACCCAGATCTGCCATTGTTATCCTGAGGACAATGCAGTGCAAATCAATGAATCACCTGCCACTGCCTGTTCTGATAGACTATTCACTCCCTCGCATAGGCATCACCAGCACTGTGTGTCCTACAGTAACACCACGGCCCAACTCATTCAGGGACGAGGGAGCAGTCACTCTTCGCTAGTTTTCAGAATTTACAAGCGGTTTTTGCTCAACTGTTTTGCCTATGTATACAACCTGAATAAAAATAATCAAGGATGATCATACTGCATATGAAAACATCCGTATTGGACACAAAATGCTTACGTGTTCAGCTGCAGACATTAGGATTGCCATAACACCCTGCCTGAGGGATACCAAGTGGGACCTCCAGGAACGCTGGCTGCAAGGATGTCAGTCCAAGAACATGTCAGAGCTTTAGAGTTCACGTATTGATCATCTTTAGGCTAGAACAGTGTCGCCTGCACACAGGCAGTAAGTAACCACAGCCACCACCCACCTGAGTCAGCTAGGGGTAATAACTCCATATCAGAACTGCCAAATGAGCCAGGAGAGGCAGAGTCCCTGAATGGCACACATATACCTGGCTGCTATCAGGTGGGTCTGTAATTTAGGACTGCAATGCAGGCATCTGTTCCCTAAAGCAAACTTTGTGTGTACACCTTAAAAAAAAAGCCTAATTGCATGTTAATAAAGAAATTCTTAAAACTTTCAACTAAGTTTTTTTGAGTTGTGCATTTCTGTTTAGCGACGTTTTTAAACAAACTTTACACACTATGAACATTGTTAGCCTAGCATTTAGTTAATGCCTTATGAGTGCCTTTTAAAATATGCATATAATCAAAAATATTAATCAGAAGAAAAAATCCAGGGTTCCTAAGAATACCGATATGAATCTTGATGAAAAGGCAAGAATGACTTCTATCTAGTTCTTTTAAAATAAATTTATAGAAACAATGGACTATTTCAGAAGTTATTTAAGAAATGGTTATAAGAAAGCTTGTATCTTTTTTGGCCTGAATATACTGTATGTTGGCTCTGTATTTGACATTAATATGTTGTGTAGGAAAGACAATCAAAAGGTCTAATGTTTTACATTTGCTTTTTGTATTTTACAATTCAATGAATACAAAAAAGCAAAGCTCTCCCAAACTCCTTCACTTTGCCCACTGTCATGACTGATCATTTAATGTTTTACATTTTCAAGGTGCAGGTCAAAGCATTTCTATGCTGGCATGCTTTGTCTCCAAGAGCCGTTTTCACAACCACTGATCTAGACAGCCTACTTGGACGTGGGGGATCTCCCCGTTAGGATTTACGAATTTGATCGCTATAAATATGAAGTTGATCTGATTAAACACCAGTGGGACAGTTTGGGAGGATATGGGCCAGCAGAAACCAACACTTACCAATGGAGTCGACTTGACAAGGAGCTGGCAGGAGAAACGCAGTACTGTATTATGGATAGTGAGCCAGCTCAGCAGGTAGGTCTGTGCAGGACACACTAGACACCTGACGCGAGGTCTGTAGCACTTGTGACTATAATTTATAACCTCAAAGATGTACTGTATTGATGAAAGAGTATCAAGATAGTTTTTTGTAAATATATATTCTTTCTCTCTACACCATCCACATGTGATGTCTCTGAAGTGTCAGTAATTTAAACCAGGCACAATGAAAACTGTCAACAGGATGACAAAGAGTCATGCATAGCTGTCTTGTCTCAGGTGCGGACGCCAGGATTGTCATGGCTCCAGAGCAGCTAGAACCCACACCCTTGTCTCATGACCACAGACCTGGAATGGCATTAACACCCACAAGTATCAAAGCAATCTGCACCGACATGAAGGGAACAATATATACATTTGTAAGAAAACACAAAAAGCCTGTGTTCTGTGAGAGGATGGCTTAATTAAAGGAGTACAGTTCTAAATATAGGGCTACTGGATTCTGTAAGGCTGTGGACATGTGGGAAGACTACAGGGAGATATTCATGTTATACATTATTAAATCAAAATGGGAATGTAGTACTACCTCTAGACCCCAGGTCTAGACTGTGATCTGTTTAAAGGTTAAAATGTTAAAAACCGTAATGCTGTGCGTGATTCCAAACACATTACTTTCATTTCCATGCTTCATCATGAGGAAGAAACACATCTACCGCGAAAACGAACTTTACACGATTCCAAAACACGTTATTTACACCATATTCAGATTGTCTTCCAAAATGAATCATTTATTCCATTTTGGAAAATAAATATTTGCGGATAGAAAATTAACAATTATTGATACAATTGCACACACCCATGCCTACAATGGGAGTATATTTATACAATGGCAGAGAACTGCTGTAAAATGGCCTACCACGAGATTCCCTCCAAAAATAAGAAAAATAAAAAATGCTCCATCAGCCCATACTTTTCTTATTTTATAATACAGTTGCAGAATTTAAAGTTTATTCTTTTAACAGGCTAGTATTTTACAAGAAATGGTTAGCTACTTGGATCTGTTTGAACACGCCCTTAAAACAGGACATCCTTGATCACACAGTTACAGTCTCCCTTGAAACAAGTGGCAGGAGAGGGAAGGAGAATTAAAAAAACAAAAACAAAAACAAAAACAGGGCAGATCAACAGCTTTCAATAAATATAATGGGTAATTTCCAATGTCTGTTAAAGAACCTATTTCTTTTTCTGTGAATTGTCCAAATAAGATGCCAGCTTATTCCCAGCTCTTTTTCTAGGGGTGTTCAGCCAAAGGCTGAATCACCACCAGTAACAGAGAGAATGCTTCCAGTGTTACTGCAGTTGCTGGGAGGCACAGTTAGAAATCAGAATCGAGATCCTCTGGGTTCCGGCCTGCAGCTTTGCATCACACCGCCAAACCCAGTTGCGGCCTTAGGTTCCGGTTTCTCTTTTTCACTTGGCCGCTGTCTGAAGCGGAGAGTGTCAGCTCTGGCTGGCTGGAGGCTGGATCTGTCTCAAATGAGCTTCAAATAGAAAGGGAGCTGCAGCTGAACGTGTGATAGTGGGGACAAAAACCGGAAATGGTCAGCAGGTAGGCAGCAGTCCAGTGCTCCTCAATAATCCTCTACGGTTTCGATTTCACCCATATTCAACCGTTCTGAGGATGCATTTACAGAAAAACCTAGGGAAAAGAGAGCAAAACGGGCACAAGTTAGGGGAAAACACCAACTCAGAATCATCTTGCAAAACATACATGGTTCCCTCTCGAGAAAGCAAAGTGTCTGAAATATGATTAACAGCAGGTCAGATATTGCAAGTGAAGCATCCAAAGGTGTTTTGAAGCTCACTCTTGAACTTGCAAGAACTTCTGATGTTAGACCGTGGTCCCTTTAAAATGTGCTTCCAAGAATTTCACTAGAGCAGTTTTGCTCAAGATGGGACAATTTCATTAGCACTAACAATTATAAGGTAGCCATATAATAATAAGAAGAATAATAATAATAAACATATTATTCATTAAACTCATCTTACAGTTTTTTTCCTATAAATAATTGCGGGATTATCAGTATGAATATACAAACAACTAGTTGCTAGCACAATGAATTTGAAATGAAAAGGTGTTACTACCACAAATGAGTCTGGTTACTGAAGGAATGTTATAAATTTTATAAAAACTAACAAACTGCTTATCTTTTAGTTTCCTAACTGCTTATAACCCTGGCAAATGGAAGCATACCAGGGGACATCTATAGGTCAGTGGAAAAGTACAGCCCATGTCTTAAATATAGTAAAAAGAGAAGTAGAAAGTCTTGTTTTGCAAATGTAAGCAATAACGAAAGTCACAATAAGGAGTTGTTTTCTGCTATTTAAGTTTGACTGAAAACTGATAATTCATTTTAGGGATTAGGTAATCTATGTTTAAGGTAGGAAGTTTGTCTGTTGCTGTGTATAAAAAGCGCTGAGCAACATCTTTCGGAGAGACTAGCTTTTACAAGCTGCTCTCCTGTATGCATACGAATAAACAGCTCTTTCACCAACACCCAGACTCTGACATTTTAATGTTTCTACATTACTTATGCAATTAATTTAATTGTTTTTTTTTCTCTTCAGTTTCTGCTGACATTTACTTTTAACTTCTTACCCTTAGAAGTCTTCAGCTTGAGCATTCATGTTTTAAATGAAATATCAAGTTTAACAAACGTGTACATATGACAAAATGGACATTATATGAAGGGTCTGAATAATTTCCCAAGGAACTACACATTAAATTGACTGATTATATAAAGGGAGCTTTTTCAAGCTGTTTTAATAACTAAAGCAATAAATAGCTTAATTGAACATGCTACATATGATCACAGTTTACTAATGAAGTAAAATGAAATCGTGGTCAATGGTATTAGATATAAATAATTTCATTAGAGAGCATATAATACTTGACAGATGACCTTCTAAAAATCACTGCCAGATGCTTGTCATCAACACAAGCAACTCACAGGAGCTTCTTTCACTGGCTTGTCGAAATTAAAGCTAATGTTCACAGATTGCTGAACTTAAGTCCAAATATATTTGCATTTACTAAAAATGTAGAATAGATTAAGTGATCATGTTCCCCAATTTCATTCATCAGTCTTTTCCACTACAACAACTGCTAAATATACTGCTATAGTTACCCCCCAGAAAGGTAACTTATAAGTGAAGACAGTGCTGCATGATCAACACTCTCCTGGGAGAGAATCCATGAGTTACACCCCCCTGTCCCTCACGAATCCTTACCTAGCAGGCTGGGGTCAGCTCGCACCATCTTCTGCTTTTTCTTTTTCTTCCCAGATTGTACTGTTTCAAAGTTGGACTGCTGGAGAACGGTGTGATTCGTCTGAAAGACTGACTGCATCCCAGCTTGATTCACTCCCCAGACAGAATCCTGAGAGTCATTGGCAAATATCAGTGTATCAGTGGGAAAAACAGGGCATTCTTGTCACAGGAGGGAACCCATAAAGTAGTATATGCTAATTCCATCGTGAAAGTAAAACAAGGTTAATTCCACAGCCAAAAACGTGTTCCTTTTCTACACTTCAGAGAGGAATTTACCACTCTAACCTCATTGATAAAACTGTCTTTTAACATTGTTGTACTTTCTTATCGGGTGTAAGCTCTATAGCTGCACCTCCCAGTGTTAAAGGAATTGAGCAACACATGTGGTTTTAAGAAACTAATCAGAAACCTTTTTTTGCCACTGGTGATGGCCTTTGAACATCATAACCCAGCCCCTACTATGCAAAGAATTGCCAAAGCCAATGAAAAGTCTCCATCTCTTTCTCGGTCAGATTTAGCCACCTATTAAGCTTCACTAGCTAATCTTGCCTTTGTCAACAGCAACCAGACACCCCACCCTTGTTCTGCCCCCAACTCTGTCCGTCTCCAGGACCCATGAAGGAACAGTCCTGGACATTCTCACCTGCTGCTGCTGCTGTAGTTGGCGCTGTTGCTGCTGCTGATTGGCTTTCTGTTTGGCACGGCGCTCTAGGAAGTGCTTGGCGAAATCCTTGGCCTCAGGTGTGTCTCCGAGGTAGGCTCTGACGTAGTCATGGACCTCATAAGGAGAGTCCACCTCTTTCAGGAAGGAAACAAACGTAGGAACTGCAGAGAGAGAAACAGACGGACATCTGTCCTGAATCTCCAATGCTCCACGGCTCCCTTTTATACCAGAGTGCTGTAAAGGGCTAAGCAGCAGGGTTGCACATGAAGTGCCACAGGCCACAACCCTGAAATCGCATATCATACATTTCTCTATTGATGGTAACAGTCACTTACAATAATTATTTCTGCAAACATACTGATCAAACTAATCAACAATCTCCAAAAAGGTACTGCTGTGCACAACTGTTCAGTTCTAGAACAATTTCTTTGAACAAATCAGAGTCAAATTAATACATTCATGAATCCCCAGACGATTTGTTCATTTGATTCATGGAGCCTTTCAGCTCAGCGAGAGAAATCAAGCATCAAGCCAAGCGAGTCAAAGAAGGAAATAATTCTGTTCCAATCCCAGAGATCATAGGTTGAAGGGAGGAACAAGAAAGCTCAAGTTGAATGTGATACAGTAAATATTAAGCAACCGGAACTCATCAAATTCAATAAAAACAGACGGCTCTCACAAATTAGGTGTGAAGATTTGAGAGCTGTGTGTATTTTATTTTGTTTCATTGAGACGTCTTTATTAATTTGACTTTCCTGAAATGCATGAGACTAATAATGATACATTCTGGATTTATCTACTGGAAGACTGCATACTGTCTTCCACAGTGATGCATACATACTATTGTATGTTTTTAGGTTTCAATAATGTATATATTATGTTTTCATCTGTGAATGCAAATTACCTCTAGAACAGGAAAATTAAATGTGATGTTATATTCCTGTTTTCCATTATAAATTCCACTGATTATTAAGTTGATACACTTAGTGTGTGGTGTTAAGAAATAGTAATTCATAGCAAAATTCAAATTAATTCACTTAATTAATTCAATTAATAAACTGTCATAATGTTATCGTCCCATGTGGAACAACAAAAAGTACCAAGACAAAACTATCAATTTGATATTATTTTACAATAATTATTTCTTTTCTTGTAGCTTCATAAATGATTAAGCCTCATTTCTGTAATTTAGGCTCTGAATAAAGTATTCTATGGTGTTGTGTTGTTTGGTCATTTGTTCTAAAAATGCAATAAGCATTAGAAAGTAACATTATGTTCTACAAGTCCAAAACAAGCTAAACGACTCCATGCAAACATTACTGCATTAACTGAATTTGAATACTTAGTTCTTATTAATGGTATGGGATGTCGAAGAATAAGTATAATGCCACTGGAGAAAAAAAAGTTATAAATTAATCAAATATTCCTGTAAAGTTTATTTAGATTTTTTGGGGACCAAGTATTAGACATTTAACACAGCGCTCAAGTTAATACTCGAAGATGCTTACAGCACTGACTTTGTGCTCACGAGACACTTCAGTTCATTGTGTGTGCAAAAGAATCAGAGGGAACGTTTGAGAGACCTCCAAATACAACCATTAGAAAAGATGGTCTGCCTGGGTGCTGAAACCTGGACAGGTAGTGTGTCCAGTGGGCTCTCACCATCTAGATTGTTGGCGGTGTTGAGAGTATGCAGCATCTGCTCGCACCACTGGGTGAAGCTGTCTTGACTCTTGGTCACCCCCTGGAAGAGCTTCAGCAGCTTCTCCTCCTCGTCCACCTTCTTGCTGGCCCGCCCACTCCCTCCGAACGAGTTACTGTATGGGCAAAGGAGGAGGGGCATCAGCTGTGATCAGGACCCACACAAATCCAAGACTTCAAGGACCCAGTACTGAGAACGCAAATGCCATGAGCTAGTGACTTTGCACTACAGCCATAGCGCACCATACATACAGTATTCTAAAGGCTTGTTATTGAAGTCAAATTCTAGCAGACCACTTAGTGGGTGAAGTGGATTTTTTGGGCACTGTATCATCCTTTCCAAGACATAAGAAATTCCTCCTCACTAAAGATAAACGGTGATCTTCAACTTAACCCAATTATTCTACAATAAATGAGACCCAATCCAGTAAAAACATTCAAGATTGTACTCTTAACTGTACCGTTTATCAGCAGTTTTCACAGAACTCATCTGAATTCACAGCCCAGCTTCACTTTCAAACGCAAGCAAAAAGCAGGGCTCCCTGGAAAGAATCAAAGCCCTCCGTCTTAAGATCAGGGCACGAGCTGAGACGTCTCACCTCAGGTTGGCATTGCTCTTGTTGTTCTTGGCTGTGGTGTTGCGTGCCGGGGTCGGTGTCTCCTTCACAGCCTCGTCCCAGAAGCCCATGTTGGAGTTCTTGTTGTCAGAGCTGCCCCAGATGCTGCTCATGTCAGACGTCCACTGGGAGGCGCTATTGCTGATGGAGCCCCACACCGAGTTACTGAGGCTGCTCTGCATATTGGAATGCTGCAGCATCAGGGAAAGGGCCAGGAAAACAAAAAGGGAAAAAATGAAACATTCATCAGCTGGAAAAGCAGACGAATCACGGAGCTAAGCAGAGTGCCAGTCATGTTTAGGGAACAGGGTGGGGAAGACGCCATTCCCCACTGCTGCCCAGAATCTTAATCTGTGTCAATGCTACAGATTTACTAAATTGTATTAATGAAGACACTAATGCCAGGACTTACTATGCCTGAATTTTTTACATGTTTCTTTAAGAACTGGGCACAGAAGTCTCATCTGCTAAGTAAACGAAACTTTCATCAAAACCAGAGCAAGTCAGATGTGTCTGACCTGTGGGGTAACCTTGGCTCCAGTGGAAGAATGCAGGTTACACAGCTGACCCTCCAACTAAGGACAAGGTTTGAAAAAGAAAAATAGTAAAATTACAGAAAAACCAAACAACTGCTCCTGTGTTCATTAAGGCAATTATTTTTCCATCCCCCCTTGCTTTTAGTACCAGGAATCCCGCTGTTTAGTCAGCAGGTAGAGGAACTGGTTCCAAGCCCCTCTTCAGCACTAATTGGAAAGAATGAGGTTTAGAAAGAGAGGCCAGAGACAACCTGAATTCCTAAAAAAAAAAAAGCTAAGTATAACTCCACAAACAGCCATCTCAGACAGGAATACCCTCCATAGAAGCACTTTGTGCATTAGCGAGTTAAGAGACTGAATTCAAGGCAATATTTGGCCTTGGATTGCAGCATCTGACAAATGATTAAATAATAAATTGAATATGCCAATTAATTATTTCAAAATACAGCTAGGATAGTTTTTTATGGGATAGACAAGTTTTTGGGATGCTTATAAAACATTATTTTCTTGTATCTGAGATACTATTTCATGTAGTTTTACCATTGTGAGGCCAAAAAACATTTTCTGGGTTAATCTGGTGTTCTTGGAAATCAAATTTATTAAGATAGCACAGTCAGAGAAGAACAACACAACTGCAGTAAAACGTATGTGTGGATTGTCAGGTGCAACAAGGAAGCTAGTCTGTAGAGAAAAAATAAAAACTCCAAATAAAGGAGCAAAGTGAACTCACTGCTCTGTTCTGGGCTTTGCTCTGCTGGGACACCTGCTGGTGCTGCTGTTGCTGTTTCTGCATCTGCCTGGCCTCCTCCTGTTGGATCTCTAGCAGGGACTTTGTGGCTGCTGGCTGCTTAGGTACATTACCCCAGCCAGAGAGCTTTGCCTGCTGTTGCTGCTGTTGCTGCTGCTGTAGGACCTTCATTAGCTCCTGTTGCTGACGTCTCTGCTGTGGAATATCAGTGCCAAGTGAAGATGACCAGTGAACTAATACATGAATATAATCACACTTGCATGCAGCTCAGAATCACACACAAAGGCTCTAATCATTATCATTTCAGCTGTGTGGAGTCACTCAATCTTCACCTACAAGCATCATCACAAAGTTACCCTCAAACCTACAGCACACATTTTATGTATAGAAATCAAACTTCACTTCTAAAAGATATTAGTAATCTAGTAGAAAACCAATATTCCCCAAACGGTACCAATCATCAGTGGCTTATTTGGAAGATTAGAGCCCATGAAAGAAAGTTAAAAGTGCTGTTATATTTCAAGAAAAGCCCCAGAAATTAATTTTACCTCTTCTCGGGACTGACGTTCCCTTTCTTCTTCCAGTTTCTGGATCTCAGCCAGTGACAGGGTGTTCTGTGTTTGGGACAATACAGAAGACGACTGCTGGCCCCACTTAGAGGATGAAGGGAGCTGATAGAGACGAAAAGAAGTGTGTAATAAAAGTATGAAAAATAACCCATTTCCAGTTTTGCATTTCATTTAATTAATAATAATATAGCGCTTTTCTGGACACTTCACTCAAGGCGCTTTAAAGGTAATGGGGCCTCCCCTCCACCACGATGCGACGGCAGCCATATTGAGCCAGAACGCTCACCACAAATCAGCTATCAGTGGGGAGGAGAGCAGATTAATGAAGCCAATTCATAAATTGGGATTATTAGGAGGCCATGATTGGTAAAGGCCAATGAGAAATTTGGCCAGGACGCCAGGGTTACACCCCTACTCTTTTTGAGAAACACCCTGGGATTCTTAATGACCACAGAGAGTCAGGACTTTGGTTTTACGTCTCATCCGAAGGACGGCACCCGTTCACAGTATAGTGTCCCCGTCACTATACTGGGGCAGTAGGACCCACATGGACCGCAGGGTGAGTGCCCCCTCTGGTAACCCACTAACACTTTTTCCAGCAGCAACCTTTCCCAGGTTTTTCCCAGGAGGTCTCCCATCCAGGTACTGACCAGGCTCACACCTGCTTAGCTTCAGTGGGTTGCCAGTTGTGAGTTGCAGAGCGATATGGCTGCTGGTTAATTTAATACGACAATATTGTCTTTGTCGGCACCAAAGAACCTACTCGCTTAAAACCTACCAAGTCATAAAGTAAGGAATGTACTTGAAACGTTTAAAAAGCACAAATAGGGAAAAAAAAGTCTTTACTCAAGTGCTTTTCAATTTATTGCACAATCATTATATTTATAATTTCTGATCATGATCGATATCACAAAAAAAGAAACAGTACTTACAGAAAATATAGTTTGAGAACATCTGATTAAAAATTACTATGTAAACTTTCTTCATGAATCAATACAAACACAAAGCAGAAAACTTAATGGGTATGGAGTGCACAGATTTTTTTTGTTTAACCCATTAATTGTGAAATTTAAATACCAAGAATATGTACAATCCCATAAGCAATTGCTTTTCGTTGCAGAAATCAACTTCCAATTTTGTTAAAACTACAACCAAAATTGGATTTGTCAATTGAGTTTTTCATGATTTCGCTGACGGCTGCCTACTATGCAAAAACACCTGGGAAAAAAATGAGGAAGTGTAGGAAAACTCCAACCCATGTCCCTTCGTCATTTATCTTTTTTGACGTGTCCCAGACTGTGCAACTCAGAAGTCGCAGGTATCACTGTGTCATGAAGGACTGAGAACAAGGGGTGTTAAACTCCTAGGTGTCGCTCAACCAATTATGCGCTTCCCAGACTAATCCCTGGATCACAGTCTTAATGCAGGCATGTGCCTTTACTGATAAACCCACTCAGGAGCCCCCAGGAGATCAAGATTTTAAGAACGAGCTTCGTTTCACAGGCAGATTTAAAGTTTTGGGGGTATTACCCTCATGGGTAAACCCTTCAAATAACCACGAAAAAACAGCCATCCAGGTGTTCAGAAGCAAGGCAGGTAAGCTGTGTACCTTCATCTGTGCCAGCTGCTGCTGTTGCTGTTGCTGCTGCAGCCTCCGCAAAGCCTCTTGCTGCTGTTGCCTCTGTCGCTGGAGCTCCTTCTGCTTCTGTGTTTCGGCCTCCTTCTGCCGCTGCAGCTCGGCCTCCCTCTGCCTCTGCAGCTCGGCCTCCCTCTGCCTCTGCAGCTCGGCCTCCCTCTGCCTCTGCAGCTCGGCCTCCCTCTGCCGCTGCAGCTCCAGTTCTTTGCGTTTTCTCTCCTGCTCTTCTTGCCGCTGCCTGGCTGCCTCCTCCTCCTGCCTCTTCTGCTCCTCCATCCTCTGCAAAGCTTCCAGCTCTTCCCTCTGCCAGCGGGCTGCCTCTTCCTCCTTCTTCCTCTGTTCCTCCTCCTGTCACAATGACATAAATCCAACAGGCACACTGAAGTGGGTCCCCCCAACATACTCGAAGTTTGCTACACACCCAGTATCAAACAGGGCTCCCTTTTCCATTGTTTCCCAGTTTCCATCCTCAACAGCCCGCGACATAATTCTTCAGAACTGAACATCTTCCTAACAAACAAGTCAGAGTGTTTATTAGTCCTACTTCGAACCGCACTGATTCAGAGTACATCATCCTGAGAAAGTGATCACATTTTCCTGAGGTCAGTGCCACAAAGTTAAGCTGGGACGGAAGGTTCTGGTCATGGCATTGAAAATTGTTGAGTCTTCTATGCTACTTGGTCACAATGATATTATTGAGGTTACTTTGCAGCTTTATGGTTTTGACACATCGAGCAAATTCACATTCACATGATTTAAAACCTTATTTTCTCAGATGAAAGAAAAGACTGGCAGACCAGGGCTCTGTGCTGTTCCTGCTTTTGAGAAAAGATGCACCAAAGAAGTCTGACAAAGCAAGCTATTCCAGGCCATACAATGGTGTGGTTCATAGTTTATATCTTTGGCAGCATTACTGATTCAAACACTGGGCCAATGCCATAGCCTAAGGCCTACTCAAAAAGCCACAGATCCTACTATCATAGCAATGTGGGTTTTTACTTTTATTGAATACACACATTCATTCCATTTTTGCAAAAAAGAGTAGCATCAATTCACATACAAATATAATGTTGACTCAGGAAACACTTTTAAATGTGAAAAACATTTTTAAATGGCTTTTTGAAATAATATTGTATATTCCACCTTTCTCCCCAAACACTTGCTACAGTAAACTCCATTAGTATTTATACTGGAGTTCTCACAAATTTCACCACTCATCGTTTTCTTGGAAAGTGCCACTTGATTGCACAGTCACGAAGAACCTTGCCTTCACACTGTCAGCCTAACCGATGATGCTTGTGGATAATCTCATTGATTTCATACTTGCAGCACAAGTTAATAATAATTTTAATTATACTTATATAGCACTTTTCTGGACACTCCACTAAAAGCGCTTTAAAGGTAATGGGAACTCCTCTCCACCACCATCAATGTGAAGCAACCACCTGGATGATGTGACAGCACCCATAGTGTACCAGTACACTCACCACACATCAGCTATAAGTAGGGGGGAGAACAGAGTGATGCCAATTCATAGATGGGGATTATTAGGAGGCCATGATTGGTAAGGGCCAATGGGAAATTTGGTCAGAACGCCGGGGTAACACCCCTACTCTTTTTTGAGAAACACCCTGGGATTTTTATTGACCACAGGTTTTACATCTCATCTGAAGGACAGCTCCTTTTTTCAATATCCCTGGTCCCCATCACTATACTGCACTATACTGGGGCATTAGGACGCACACAGACTCCAGGGTGAGTGCTCCCTACTGGTCTCACGAACACCCCTTCCAGCAGCAACCCTAGTTTCCCAGGTGGTCTCCTATCCAGGTACTGACCAGGCTCACGCCTGCTTAGCTTCAGTGGGTTGCCAGTTGTGAGATGCAGGGTGATAAAGCTGCTGTCATTATCTTTAAAGTTTAAGTTCCCTTTTCAATATTTTAGCATTTTTCCTCAAAGTTATTTTATTGCTATGTCTACCAGCTCAATAAGTGTGGAAAAGTGAGATTCTGGGAGGTAGGTAAGGTAAGATGTTTGGCATTTAGCATTTTAAAACCTAGGCTGTGAAAATGTAAGATAAAATCCCTAAAAGCACTTGAGTATATGGTATTGTGTGGTTGCCAGGAGAAGCAAGACACTACTTTTCATTAGCTTGCCTGGCCTAAACAATCCCCAGATCTCAATCCTACTGAGAAGTATCACACACCATTACCCTCATCACAATCTCTGTTGAAGGGAATCCTGCAGGAAGAAACAGGTGGAGCTGGACAAGCTGTGCATATCTCATAACCTTGTGATTACGGCTGCACACAGAGGCCACAGAGAATGGCCATTGAGGTCACGACTGGGTGTAAGGTGAGGCAGGGCGCTGGAGTGGTCACCCACCTGCTTGCGGAGCAGCTCTTCCCTTTGTCGTCTTTCCTCCTCCTCTCTCCTTCTCTCTTCCAGTCTCCGCAGCGCCTCCTCCTGCTGCTGCCTCTCCTCCTCCTCTCTCTGCCTGCGCAGAGCTGCCTCCTGCTCCCTCTGCCTGCGCAGAGCTTCTTCCTGCAAGTACAGCGACACGTGGGCATTTTTATTTGAACTAATCAATAAATACAGTCCTGTTAGATAAAAGCAGATTAAATCCAGAAGCAGCAACTCAAACATGATCATCTTGGTTTGCATGAAAAACCTGTGCATTCATTTTTTAATTTTTAGAAGAGTTAGAATCGGTGAGGTGATTAACACTCAAAAGGAAATAACAGTTGCAAGAGCTGGTATTGATTTGCGTCGAGAACAAACTACCAACTACACTGTTGAAGGTGATCCCGAGTAATCCTTAGAGAAATGGCTTTCGAATGAGCAAGATGTCTTGAACTGTTTGTGACCTTTCTCATGCTCGTAGGATAAATCAGCAGTCTATAGGATGACATGAAAGAAGTGCATTCATCTGGCCAGGAGAGAATGCTGGTTTTCATATGAAAATGTTTACATGTTTTATTTTGAAGCCTAAATCACATGAAAAACATTCAAATTTAAAATGGACAATTAAGACATGAAAACATTTTCTCCTAAACCTCACATGAATAATATAATGGTTGTGTAGTTCTAAATAAAGTTCACTGGTTAACTGGTGCTCAAGCATGTCCCAAGTGTTATTTTGTTGTTATAAACAAACCTCTAGGTAAGTTTGGCAGTAACTATATTATGCCATATTTAAAACTGGTCCACAATTTATGTAAATCCAATTCATAGATTACCTTTCAACTATGTCAAACTCTTTAGCCTGGGCTAAACAGAGTCCTGAACTTCACATCTTTCTTTCTGTCCTTTGTGTTTTCAAAAATATTTATTCAGTTACTTTTATTCATAGTTAACCATTACACTCAAAGCATTTGAAGGAATAAGATCTGGGAGGTGGCGAGTGTAAATGTTGAATATAAAATAACTATTGCGTAAGAATGAAGTATTATGAATTTCCACCGAATTTGCGGATTCCTGAGATTTAACATGTCTCACTCCAATAATTAACCCAAGAACACAGAGGTCTGCGAAGAAAGGGGACCAAAGTCTAAAAGACTAAGACCGACCAATCATAAAGTTTGTTGACGAAGATAAAGTGTTTCAATGGTTTAAAAACAAAGCCCATGCACATTACCAAACTGCACAGAGAGAAATTTTAGTTGGAACGGATTTGAAATCTCCAACAGGAACAGTACTCCTTATTGCTGGCTCAAAGGCTGGTGGCTGCATCTTTCAGAGATTCAGGTATTTAAAAGTTGACTTTTATATTACTAATGTTCCTTTAAAAGTGAACAGTCCTGCTAGCTGACTGAAAAGCATGAAAATCATCTTTTACCTGATATTTTGCTGGAAAACTGAAATGTGATAATTTTATGGAAGCTGTCAGGACTATTCTAACTCTCAGCACAACTGTGGTATTTCCCAGTTTCTGTTTACATGTCTAGCAGCAATTATGCTTAATCTCAGAGCATCAACCTATGATACTATCACTCTTTTGAGGTCTGATTGTGGTTTCTTGCCATAGTGATGGATTGTATAGTTATTGTTTTCCATGGACTGTTTAAATTAATTTAAGCTTTGAGACATTTCTTATTGTACTGACAAACGTCCCCCTGTGTATGAATGTATGAATTTCAAGTGATGCAAAGTTTTTTTTATACATATAAAAAAGCAGAATCTATTCTGAATAGACAGTACCGCAAACCATCTGTGTACCGCATGTAACGGTGTGCATTTTGTAACTCATCTACGAACCCAGAGCACTCTTTTGTGACAGCCAGGTGGTGATAAGGCTATGGTGCCTGAAAGAGATTCGTTTCACAGCCAGAAAATGTTGTCCAGTTTTCAAAGGCTTTTCAGTTAAAAAGTGGAAAGGAAACAGGGTTAGTAATTCCCCTTTGAGGTGAACTATGCTGTGAGATGAAGTGTGAGGATTTGTATGCTTGCCTACTCATTCTGCGTGACAGGATGCCAACACATCAGGGGTTCCTGTGGGTCTCCGAGAGCAGACGGCCACGTGCGCAGCCAGTGGCCTCTCTCGGCTCTCCTGCCGCAGCCCTTGCTTACCTGCTTGCGCCGTGCCAGCTCCTCTTCCTCTCTCCGCTTCCGCTCCTCCTCCTGCTGCCTGCGCAGAGCCTCCTCCTGGTGTTTCCGCTCTTCCTCCTCCCGTTTCGCTCGCAGGTCCGCATCGCGCCTCTCCTGCTCCAGCTGCGCCACAACGCAGGAAAGAGGGATCGATTGCAAACGATCACTGACAGACCGCACCTAACCAGAACTGAAAAGCCTTTGCAGGGTGTAAAGACTGAACCTATCAGGCTATGCTTTATTCTCTAAGTAGGACTGTACTGTCCTTAAGCTCCTTAAGTCATCACTAAATGTTTAAGATCTCAAAACTTTAGGCCGTCTGTCAAGAATTATTCAACAGGTAATATGTTAGAAACAAAGCTTTTACATCGACAGTGTTTAGTACTGCAGCAGTCTTCTGGAATGTTATTTTGCTAACAGTGTGTCGCAGACTAGTCTATAGAATGAGCTTTTCTGAAGCGGACGACTTTTTTTTACAAAATAAGACAAACATACTACTGTTTGCTAGGTTTTTTTTAGATCTGCTCAGGCGTTACAACAAATATACAGAGGGAAGGAAGGGATTGCTGCCATCATATAGAGGGAAATCAAGATCTGAAACTAATGTTTGCACTGAGAAGAGCCACAAAATATTTCAAAGTGTTTTATGAGTTGAGACAAAACAGGTCGGAAAAACTTTCCAAAAGTATTGCCATCTGTTTTAGGAAACCAGATAAGACTCCCATTGCATTGCAGGTCAATCAATATCTGGTTTTACAAGTTGCAAGTTTTATTTGTTTAATTGTGTTTTACTTCTACCAATGAAGCAAAAAGTATTTCATACTATTTTAACTTAATGTGCAAGTGAATACACCCAAAATGAGGAAATCTACCTTAGAAAGAGAAGCTCTTGATCCCCCAACTAATATCTGTATATAGGAAGGTGAAGTGAACAAGGCAATTTACGGTACAGAATGACTCCTGATGGCTCAAAACACAATTGCCAAATAAATTGGAAATCAAGCAAGCAGCAGCATCTTGGAACGCTGAAATGACTCTACTTCTGGGTCAGTCTGATTTCCAAACTCAAGCCATTTCAAACACCTGGAGATCACGGATGTTTTAATGTTACTGCATGTGTGCTGCTCAAACTCTTTATTCATTGAGTACTTGTTAAAACAACAATCAAAGTTTCACCTTTTCTCTTCCTTTAAACATCCCACACCTGGTACTGGTTTATTTAAAAACATGTAACATGTAAACCAGAAACTGATCACACGACAATGGGTCTTACGCTTCCGTATGTTAATGGAATATTAATGGCTTTCCGGCTTGTCTACCTACTTCATCTTTCTTTGCTAGGATTGTATTTCTAGGAAAAATGGCCTTACAGAAGTGTTTTCTAAGTCACACGCAGCCAACATCATTTGCTACTAAATGCTACTCTAATTTCAGAATGAGATTTAGCAAAGTTGGATCTGTAACATCAGCTATTCTGATAGTTAGAAAAGTCCTTTCTCACCTGAAGCAGTCGTGTCTGTTAAGCACAGCTGAATCCTCCCCTTTTACGTCAAGAGAAACAATCTACACAATTTCCTATATTGCACCCGTTTACTTTACACTGCTCCCACTAACACATTAGTTTCCTCTGTTGGAAAACTGAAAGCCCATCACATCTTTACTGCTACTGCAGTTTATTTTGTATAAGCAACATAACTGAAATGTATAACCATAAATGGCTGCAATGTTTCCTCCACAGAATAGCTCAGCTCAGAGTGCAAGTTGTGAAGGTGGCTTTTGGTTTCAGTTTTGATCAGTTATTAAACTATTAGCAGGAAGGTTTTTCTACTTAAAATTAGGATGCTCCAACTAAAGTTAGGATAGGAGAGAGCACTTAGGAAATTCTGGATAAGTGTGACTTAGGAAATGTTGCTGTATTACCAAGATAGTGTAAAATCTTCTCCTAGCAACATCTGATAAGACAGGCAGGCCAGTGTAGATTCAGTGTATAATAAGAGACAGTGTTTGTTAGACGCACAGAGAAGGTTCTACCTTGGCAGCCTTTGCCTTTTCCAGTTGTTGCATTTGCTCAAGGGTAGGGGCTGGAGCCACAGAATCAATAGGTAAATCCCAGACACTGCTGCCTTCCCATGCTAAAAAACAAAATCACATTTTTTAACCTAAATTGCACATAGAGACTTTACTTACACAGAAAGTAACAAATGAAAATACATGTTACTTGTGCTTCCTCTTTGGCTATCTTGGTGTCTTAGTATTTGTATTTCTTCTATAGTTAAGTGTTCCTTTCTTTTGCAGTTAAGAGTGACAGGCCCATTGTACTTAGCAACATTACCCCCTTAATGGTTAATTTATGTAATCTCCATTCTTCTCATCAATATCATGTAAATAGCTGATGCTTGTCGTTGCAGTCACAAAGAAAATGAGGAAGGGGATCTGAAGGAAAACGGACATTGTCCATTGTCAATAAATAGCTTAGACTCCCTTTTTTCCTGACAACCACAAGCAGATATTGCAATCTCTAGCATCCAGGATTACAGAGTTCAAAGAGACCATTTACAGGAACCCTGCTCAGTAAAGGTTGGTGTGACACCGGCAGTGAATCAGCGCCAGGGTACTGAAAAGCCATTTCGTCTAAGATCAGCAAATCATATTACCCAGTGCCTGCAGCAACAGCATCCAGAGAGAACACAGGAGCTACATTAGCCACTACTCACATTACTGTGATGCCTGGTCTACATCTCTTCCTGACTTCATGTTGGGAAAAATCTTAACATTTGGAATTTGGTTCTGCGACTACTCTGGTATCTTATTAAATGGTCTGGGTCATGTGTTTGACATGTTGTACCTGTGGGCTGTGAGGATGGGTTCTGGAGTTCCCATATGGAGCCTGTGTCAGGTACAGACATAGATCTGGTCACAGGAGGCACAAGGCTCTGTTCTGACGTCCTGTAAGAACAATGGTGGAGGTTAAAAGATGACTTTTGTTATATATACACACACACACAACATATTCTTGTATATTATACTTGTAATTTGCAATTTTCAGTCAGTCCAACTTGCCCCACTTCAACTGAATAATCAATGCCTTGTCTCTACAAGAAAAGCATTTAAGAAGATGTCTGATGATTAAAAAAGCAGTGGAGATGTGTAAAATGTCTTTCCGTACTGAAAAACTGAACAAACGCCCAATAGCTAACAGCACTCCTGGATTTTACTAAGCCCCTCAGGTGCCCATCAAGCAAAAGGAATGCCGTCAGGCAGTTGTGCAACACACTACCTTAAATACCAATACCAATGCAACTAATGGCAAGGTCTGATCACCAGAAGTGAGAGCATTCTCACTTACCTCATTTTTAAGGCCTGGTATTGCTGCAATAGAAGACTGAGTTGATGCTGCTGCTGCTGTTGTTGCTGGGGGGTGCTGAGGGCTGCGGCCTTCTGATGCTGCGCTAACACTTGGGCGTACTGCTGTCTGTGCAGAAGACACAAAGAAGCCACATGAGCCCCACCATTCTGCAGTGCAGCCTGTTAGGTGCACATAAAAGCAGCATGTTAGTGAACTCGCATGCGATTCACTACCCCAAGCAAGCCAGACAGGCTGAATGTCCTCCTGTTGCTGATAAACTTTATATACTTAGGCAACAGCAAAAAATGTGACAACCCCTTAAAATAAGCGTGTCAGCGTCATTTGCTATGTTGGAACATATTTAGATGTACTTCATGGCCTAACATACCATGAATCGGCAACATACTGGGCACAGTATTATTTGTAGAGTTTTGGCACGTTACCTCCCTTTGAAATGCAAAATTTTGAAAAAGCAGTCATTGTGTCAGTAGATGACAACTGAGCAAAACGGACTCATTGCCCTCTGAGTATGTGATGTTTTTTAGATTTAACTACATTTAATATATTGTGCACTAGGTTGAAAATAATTGGCAGGACATTTCATTGAACACCTTGTGAAAATAGATCTGCACCAACACCTTGCTGGTCAAATGCTTGAATTACAATTTTGCTATACTGACAGCTTTTGGCAGCCACTGCCCTTTTGATCTTGCTTCGTGATTTTTTGTGCTGGACATCCCCCCTGTTTGTACCACCATTTTGGCAAAACATGTTTCAAGTGCTTCAGGTGTTACAAAATAAGGAAAGCATCTCCTCTGGCTAACAGAAAGCATTCAAAAAGGTAAGCGGTTGAACGATATTTGCATTGCCTTGACCTTGGCTGCACTGTGCTACCGTTCAACAGTTTACTACTTTCACTCATTATCATAAACACACAAGAGTGTTCTTATTTTGACAACTCGGGGACCTTAAAGTACTAATGAGTAGTGCCAGGCCGTTTTCAAGATCCAAGAATGAGTTGTAAGTTTTACATGTGAAGTAACAGGAATGTAATTTTCAGTATACAAAATTTGCAATAGTCTGAGGAATGAACAAACTTTGAAAACCAAGGAAAGGGTTATATGCATTTAAATCCGTAAACTAGATCTGAAATTCAATTTATTTGGCCACTGGGATTAGAGATCATCGATTGTTAACTCTCCTTGAGAGCCTGATAATGACTTACACAATGCCAGTGATAAGTGAGGAGCAACTAGTCTTGTTTTAAGTTTTAAAGTTCTTAACTAGTGTTAGTACTTGTGTTAGTGCCAAAATCACAGGAAATGTGGAACAGTACTTGCTAGACATCAGCAATATAAAAAAGACAAATTTGGAAATAAAGTAAAGTTACAAATTTAATAGTCAACAACAAATGCAGTTGGGAAAGTAAAGCATGCTTGTTTTCCATTCACTTCTACGAAAACATGTAAATTTCTCCCATTCTTTTTTTCTTCTTTTCTCTAATTTAAGTACAACCTTATTTCTTATTACACAATTATCCTTTTGAGACAATAAAAAAAACACTATACGCACCACAATGTGAGAAAAACAAAAGATTTGTGATTTGAGCAACATGGGACAAATCACACAGCAGTATTCTGCTTCCTTCATCCTTGATCAAGTAACTAAGGAGTAGGTGTGTAACAATGCAGTGTGTGCTTAATATTATCTAAAGAAATTACCTAGAATAATATAACTTTAGTTAGACAATGTAGGTGCAATACGATTATTGTTGGGAGCTCTGGAATGTTCCACAATGTGATCTTGTCACACACTGGAAGGCAAACCAAATTAAAGACAATTGGCATTTTTTTATTTTAGAGAAAATGTATCTTTTTGGCTAATAAGGCAACACTGTGAGGACTTTTTTGAAAAAGATGCTCTGGAGCATAAGGCTATAATAGAGTGAGCTTACACACTGAACAACATATATATGACTTTTCTACATATCACTCATGATCAGTTTTACTCCGGAAACACTGGTGATCTTCCAGACTAGCAGTAAATGATTGAATTGCCAGCATCAGTTCTGAAAATGGGACAAAAACAGCCAAAAATATTTTCTTAGCTCTTAATGTGATGGACACTCAATCATTCCCCTTTTTTGTAAGTTTTCACCTCAGGTATGGGAGAGACATTGCAATTTTGTGCATTCTTGAAATTCACATGAAAAAACTTGCAACCTTCCACCAATCTGTAGCATTCACAGGAGCAGGGATGTAACCCTGGTGTCATGACCAAACAGAAAACAGCTCCTCAAAGGCTGATTGTTTGAAGAACTGCTTACAGTTCAGTTCATGTCAGTTTACTACCCCACTCCACAGAGCACAAGAGTACCGGGGCTGTATGTGCTTAGGAATAGATTTCTGATGACAGGCTATGGACGTGACGCTGCTGTTGTTAAATCTGATTACATGTGCTTACATTTGCAATGCCCTTGGAGACACCTAGCTGACTTACCTCAGGAGATACTGGTACTGCAGCTGCTGGAGCTGGAAGAGGTTGATGGCTGTCAGTTCTTGCTGCCTCTTCAGCCGTTCCTGGTCTAGGTCCCCCTGAGAACAGAAAAGGTTAAAAAATTAGGTTAAAAAACCAAAACATCCAGTTCCAAGTGTCAATGCCCTTATGTACTTTTTCCTGACACAATGGAGGGGCAATGCAAATTACCCAGCTATTTTTTTGTATTTGTGTAAGAGTATTTAAAATTGTTATTCATTCAAAAAAACAACTGAATAACAATTGAAACACTTTCTAACTATAGTTTTCACGTTGTCAACTTTCCCCCAGCTTAAACCCAATTGTAAAATGACTAGGATTGGTGGTTCAGTGACTAAAAAGTCAGGGGAGATTAAAAATTCAGTTTTGGACCTGATTACTTTCTTGTCAAGAATTACTTTGACACTTAACCATTAAAATATAAATATTAAGATCTGTGGTGGGTAGGGGGTGGGTATAATTACCTCTATTCTTTACTAGTGCACAAAAACAAAGCAAAACTGCTTTGAGCTCTGCTCTGTCTTGGAAACAACACTATGAGATTAAAATGTGACAAGAGAGACATGTTCTCAGTACCAGTAAGGGAGGAGGGGAGGGTCCAGGTGCAAAGGGCACCCTCCCCCACATCTTAATGATCTCTCCCAGGGGCTGGAAGACTTCATCACAGCCCCGTTTCACCAGCAGCGTCATGGTGAAATACCCCGCCTGGAACCACTCCACCATCTCCTGATTTGCAAAGGGACCTGCCAAACACAAAGACCTGTCAGCGTTACCGCACACCTCCATTTAACGATGAAAGGATTTACAAAAACAACATATACAGTACTACATTTAATAATTTACAGCTTTATGCCAGCATGGATTTACATCCATGGGAGATGGGAGCTTACATCTAGAAATACATTTAGCAAAAACCCAACAAATAACCAAAAATATAGACAAAAAGGTTGAATAGTTCTAAACATACATTTTAGTGTTTCAGGCCATAGCTGTTATTTCTGTGGCTAAATCAGCTTTACTGACTAATAACATCTCACAGCGTTCTCCTTTACTTCATCCCAAATCCACTCAAACAGAAATTCTCTCGTTTCAAACCAATCCTTATTTTATGATAAAAAAATGATGTGCCTCAGATTGATACATGAAATAAAGAAATTAATCTTGGATGATAACAAATTACTTGACTCCTTCCAACACTAGATACCATCCAAACTCAGGTACTGCCCAGAGTGGTCAAGGGATAATGACAGCCCGAGGACATGGCATCAGTGACCAGGTAGCTTATCTGATGAGCCCCTGAGCTGATTACAGTTTTATAATATTCTGATTAACATCTGATTCTGTACTGAAGTTTTGCTTTTTTGTGTCTGCATGTCTGAAGGTACTGTTTTTCATGATGAAGAAAAAAAGTGCCTTTTCTTTGTAACAAGTCAGTTGTAGCATTAGCTTTTAGGTAATGACATGATTTTAGGGAAATACAAAACAAATAAAAAGCCTCCTGTTTAAATATATTAAAGACACTGATTACGGGACCTGTGAAAGTATTTCAAGTCCTGTCGAACCCGATCAAATCTCCAGGTCTAACACAGCAATTCATACAATACACAATACAACTGTAACATCCAGATCCGGCTTGTATGCTTACAATTCGCCTCGGACTGTTTCTACTGTCCAGTTATGAGATGGAACATTTTACCACAAATTATTTTCATGAAGGACATAATGTGTGGTATAAAACTACCAGTTTGTACTTTCCATCTTTACCAAAATGTTGATCATTTTCATTCTGTGAAAATATTTAATTTACTGCACAGATTGCTATTAATGCTTCAATAATCCCATGTTTTAAAACCCACTCCCACACAAACTTGTGCAAACCAAAATGTTCTTTTTTTAGATTTGCATTGCTTACCCAAGAAGCAGCACAGTTTAAGAACAAACTAGAAAGTAAGCCCTCTTGTCCACTACAACCAGACGAACGGCTGGTCCTCTTGGCTTAGTTTACCAGTTATTTTTTATTTTCTCCAAAAGATTTCAATATCCATTTCCAAAAAAACATACACCTGTCCTGTCCATTTCTGATATCAAACTTTCCAGTTTGATGTAAAGGTTCATCAGCATATTGGAAATGTTAACAAAAACAAATAAAATGTTTTAATTTCAATTTCGCACTACTTCAGTGGAATACCAGGGCACTGTTACACCCATATCAGGACACAGGCAATCATACTGCAGTGAAGTAATTCAGGAACAAGCAACTGTGGCTCCACAACACTGTGCTGCTTGTTCCTGACTTGCTTAATTAAGTCTGCAGCTAAAAAAGAATTGCTTAAAGATTTAAGGATCGCTAGGAACCAAGTTTTGCTTGAAAACACAAAGGAAGAGTCAAGGCTGACCTGCCAACGACCTGCAGAGAGAAGACTTGTTCTTCTGTTAATACATACCCTGAATTTCTCCCTGCGGGTCTTTATAAAACCACTTCAATGCTGCTTCATGAGACAGAGGCAAGGCTGTAGGCTTCGTTCTCTCCAAACTCTTTGCTGATAGCCTGTCGTCATCAAGAGCGTTATCCTGAAGATATGCCACCATTTTCTCAGCTTCCTGCCATAATGTGCATTTAAAGAAGGTTGTGTTTCAGGGAAAAAATGCACCTTTACTTGCTTCAGATTTAAGATTTAAGGACAAATTGTAATAGTAACAATTGGCTGCATATGGGTTTCTATACTGAAGGTTATAAGATCTCAAAGCAATGTTAATGTTAATGGTAATCAATACTTAATAATATTGAGTGATCATCTTGATTCCATGTTGCAGCATTTTCTTCATGCTGGGAGAGGTGTCTTCTAGTATAACAATGACTCCCATCTACACAGCATGCGTGGTCACCCAATGGTTTAATGAGCATGATACTAATGTTAGACACAAGTCATAGCCTTCTCTGTCACCACATCTGATTTCAATCAAGTCCAATGCAAGAATTTATTCACTTTCTTGTAGAAGAATAGTGCTTCATTTTTCCTGCAGAATTTCAGACACTAGTAGGCTCTACGTAATGGGGCATGCAGTCTGTATTCACCACACATTGTGGCTCAACACCCCATTAAGTGACTTTACATTGGTCTTTCTATTGTTCTGTCCACTACCTCTATCTAATAATGCAAATTAACTTCCAAATATGAGGCTTTAGTTGAAGACCCACCATGGTAGAAGTGAACAATAAACCTGAGAAAGGTAAAAGCACGTGGATCAAGTGCACCGACAGAGCTCACTGTCAAACAGCAACAGTTTGGGAGGTGTAAATGCTTGGAAAAGGGATTTAAAAAACATTTAAATTCACATTTTTAATTTGAAGATACAGTAAGAAAATCTCTATATGTAAAGAGGTTTCCTCAGGCTCTCAACTTGTGTACCTGCTCAAAGTTTTTAAGCCCTTCATCATCATCATTGTCAGGATGTGGGGCCACGGGTATGCTGATTGGAGCCATGCCTGCAGGCAAGGGGACAGATGGGGCTGGGATGGGCATATCTGGAGGTTTCTGTTGTGTCACAGGAGCAGGGACAGACACTTCTGCCAGAGAAAAGGGAGATATAGAAGGTTAATAGTAAAGATTTTGCTGGTATCTATCTGTATTTCATGAAAGTGGATTTGCACTGAAACAATGTTTCAGTATTGTTTGGGTTCATTATTTGCTTTCATACTGCATGCTATAAAAGAGGAACAGGGATGAATATGTCATAATGATTAACGATTGTTAATGCACTTTTTTCATTTCGTCAAAGCACTTTTTCAATTTCAAAGGAACAGCTGCATCAGGGCTCTTTTGCTTATTTCTAAGATATGCAAAAAGGTTTAAAAATGTGCTACAGTTGCTGGTGTATTCAAATAATGGTGTTTAGCAGGGTTCCTTAAATCAGACATTTGGACTGATTTGTCACTTTGCTTGCAATCTAGGAAGCCGCATTATAGCTCAGCAATCCTAAGCACCCCAGTGTTCTTAAGCTTTTCTGAATTAAGAGAATCTGCATGTACCTTCAGGGATACTGCTAGATGCACCTGAGGCCCGCTGTGGTATACAGGGCTCCTGATGAGCCTCTAGTGTCGGTGGTTTTTCTGCCTTCTCGGGGGAACTCTGCTCCAGTTTCTCAGGCTGGCAGGGGGGCGTGAGCTCAGGAGCCTGCGGCTCCGCTGGGGCAGAGGCAGGCAGGGAAGGAGCGAGTGCACAGGAGTCGTCCATTCTCGCTGAATCTATGTGAACACCAAACACGACAGCCATGAGGCGACATGCTAGTCGGGCAAAACAAGGAGACAGAAAGAGACTAAAGAGAGCAGAGGCTGGTACACTGCAGCGCTGCTCACCATCCTTCTCTGCTTCTTTCCTGGGTGTCTTGCCAGACTCCTTGGTCTCCTCTATGTCGCTGTCCTCATGCTCAGACTGACCCTCGCATTCATCTGACGGCTTGAAGTCCAGCTCCTGCTCCTCAGGGATGGGCTCCTTGGGAGCCTTCTAGGGGAACACAGACATCGCCTATATAGGGAATGCACCACAAGCAGCAAAACCCATTTCTAGTAATGCTTATAGCGAAAAAGGTGTGTAAGAAAGCCAAGGCATCGAAGGGGCATGAGGTACCATTCACTCAGTGCCAGACAGTGACAATGTCTAAAATGGTGCATCACACTCCTGATATCACTTGCGGGTTCGAATGGGAACATTGTCTGATTCTCCCAAGGTCACAATTTACTCTTCATAGAAGCACTCGCATACAAAATGTTTCAATATTACAACAAATATTTTTCAAGCTGTTTTCCCCACAAATGTGCTAAGGGCCACATCTCTATTAATAAAACCATTATTTAGATTCTCATTCTATAATAAACGTCAGCCACTAAAGTACAGCAGTACAGTAAAGTAGCTTTCATCTTGCTGTAGCCCCAGATTGCTGTAATGCATCCACAGTCTTTACTAAATTGCAATGGGAACAGCAGAGTTTGAGAAGAAGAATCATATTCATGTGAACATTGATTTTGAGAAACATGTCTTGCTTCAACATTCTGCCAGAAGTGCATCATTGACTGTGGGGAAAACCTTTTACAAATAAATGATGCAAAAACAGGAGACGCTTTACAAATACGATCTGTTAACATCATCTAGTTTCACTATTAGAGTGAATAGCAAAATTTGAAATAATGTATGTAAAAATATGCACTTCTACCATTATACGATTGCAAAACTGCTTGTTGCAATGTGGGTCACATTATTATACAATGAATAAGTTTTATTTCAACTTTTTTAATCCAGCCTTTACATTTTTGCTGTAGAGTTAACATTTTCAAGTTAACAATCCCCGTGACGTCTCAAAACACTGAAGGTAACCAATGAGCTATATTCAGGCCAGAATACCATGTGGGCAGCAAAGACAAGACTAAACAGAACATTTACAACTTAATTTCACCTACAAAATGGCTGGAATTAACATCCCAATACAGCAGAAAATGTATTACAAAGCTGGTCCACAGAGCAGCCACTTAAAAGTCTAACATCTTAAAGGACAAACATCCTCAACTCTGTGTGCAGCGAGTGTAATAGTATCCCGGTGCTGGGTTTGGCCAAACGTGTGCACCCCGTGACCCTGGTGAGATGGGAAGCCTGGCAGCTCTCTTACCTTGCGTGAGGGGAGGTTGGAGAGCTCAGAGCCCCTCACCTTGAGAGAGAGGAATGCCCCAGAGGAGTCGAAAGTGCCCATCTCCTCTTCGGCATCCTCCAGGCACCACTCCGGCAGGCTGTCTTTCTCGTCCTCCAGACTGCCGCTGCCTGAGCGCGCCCGTCGGTAGCCCCGCTCCTCCTCCCGCGACTCGAACACGAAGCGGCGCCGCTGGTCGGGATGTTCCCGCCAGCCTGCTGAGCGTGGCCCGTCTGCAGGGGGAGAGAGGCGCTTAAGAGCAATATCTCTTCCACCATTTACTGGCTTTTCAAGAGCAAGTCTTAAAGGCATAAGGATCGAGGTCTGTGAATAATATTCTTAGCTTCACGTGTGACCACAAAAGAAAAACAATTCAAAATTTGAATTTGAATTTAGTAAACTAAATGCCTTGAGATCTCAAGGAGTGAACATGACAGCAAAAGCAAAATACTATGTGGACACGGGGGGTGAAAAAGCTCACAAATAGGAATTTTAACAACGAACCAAAAGATACTGTTCAGAAAGATGGAGGGAGCTTCCATTTTGTGTAGTCTTTCAGAAGGTTGTGGACAAACATGTTCCAGTAATTGGTACTGTTGCCAGATGAATAAATCTATTAAAAAACTATCTATTGAAGGAATGGACCTCTCCTGTTCTTTAATCCTTTCCCGCTTTGAATGGCTAAACTTCATCTGTGAACTACAGATGCTGCTCCCTTTCATTGTCACCCAACTTATGCCAAGCTTGGCGAGGCAGAGACCAACAGGGCTTTCCAGGTGTTGCCACATGGTGGGTCTGGCTGGCGCACCTGGGCTGTGGGGCCGCCACCGGTCGCTGTCCCGTCGCGAGCCAGCCAGCCGCCAGCCACCGCCCTCCTCGTCCTCACCATTCTGCTCCTCGCGGGACATGCGCCAGTTCTCGCTTTCAGAGCGCGTGAATTCGTGCTTCCGGGACCCCGCCGTCCCAGCGTCTTCATAGTTGGACCTTACTGTGAAAGAGAGAGAGAGAAGAGAGTCAAAGGGCAGAATGAGCAATGGCGCTTCCTCATCAAACGTGAAGGAAACAAAACCCTTAGTCATTGTGGAAGGCCAGGCATGTAGAGGATGACCTATTAAATTGCTTCAGGCTTTCCTTCAGCCTGAAGGTATGGTCCTCATCACCCAGCTCAGTGCCAATCGAAACCGGACTGTTTTAATGGCATTCAAGAATTATATAACCACTTGCTTTTGGAACAAAGTGAAAACAAAACCCCAATTACCATGGCTTTAAAGCACTCAAGCGCTTAATGCACATGACACTGACCCTGAAAACAACCTTAGACAGTCTCATTGAGAATCTGTGAACATGACCATAAAATGCTAAACAAGGAGGGTGCATGATCCAGGAATCCTAGTCTGTTTCTTCAAACATCTTCAAGATATGTTTCGTCAATATGGCCAGATAGTCGGTTCCAGACACCTGTTACTCCACATTAAGTATCTCCTGTTTTTAGTCCAGAGTTTTCCTGTACTTTATTCTCAGACCCTCGAGACTATTAGTGTTGAACTAACTTTCTTTGTAACGTGTGACTTAGAGATACCAGTGCTCCAGTAATTTACATAAGAAATCACCTTTAGATTGATCCAACAGGAGGATAAGACTGGTGTGAACTTGTGCTGAATGATAAAAACAAAGTTGAAACTTGTTCACAATGACCAGATTAGGAGTCCATTTCTTACCACCTGCAGATAACGGCATCGGTTCTCGTAAGGTCAGTAAGAAAGCAACAACTAGCACTTTCAACAGACTCCAACAACATGTTTTTTTTCCCCCCACATAGAAGAATTAATTGGCCACATGTAGAGTCAAGTGACCAGTCGAATCAGCTTCGGACAGGAGCTACAGACTGGAAAGAGAAAGGTGGGATCAGAACAGTGCTACCAGAGCTGAACCATCTCATAGACCCTGGGGTGGTATTATTCACCAACACCGAGGAACCCTTAAGATTTCTAATAACTTTTTCTTTGCTTCTGCCCCCTACCTCCTATCGTCACTCAGGTTAAAGGCCATCACCACCACGAAAGATCCCCACTCTGCAACTGGTAAGTAACTCACAATTTGGACGGTCTTAAGTATAAAATGAAGCGCTTGACTTCAAGATACACATTATCAACTATCCAGTTAATATTTCTGATTGCATAAGACATTTAAATTAATTTATTTTCTAAATAGTAGCTGCAGAATACGGTTTTTGAATCATGTTTCTGTTTCAAGGGAGCCGTGCACACTCGTTAACAAAATTTAATGTAAACTCTTTGCAATTACTTATTACAAAAGTAATATATTGCATGTATTGTAAAAGCAAATTACTGCATTCTGGTTTTCAATAGAGGAAGGTTTTAAAATTGATTTTAACTGCAATTCTTCATTCAGAAGGGATGCATTGGGTTATAAAGTCTAAGATTAAAGTATAATCTTCAAGAATTTATGCAATGTTTTGCTTATATCCAGCAAGAATTTTAATCTTTAATTAAATTATTTGATCTTCGCTTGCGAGCTCAGTTGATAAGTAAACAATATGAGTAACTAACAGGAAACCCCTGAACGTACTGACAATTATGTATACCTCCTGCCTGTCTAAATTCAAAGTTCTCCTTTTGCTGTGAATTTGGCTTTAGAGAGTAATTACCGAATGTACAGTGAAAAATCAACTGGGAGATATTCATACATGCTTCCTAAAGCCATGTTAGGTTTTGGTTTTAGTGTAAACAAACCCAATAATGTTACAAAATTAAATATGAACCTTTTAAACATAATGGAGGGACTGTTCACTATGCATTTTTATTTGTATTAGTAAAACATTTGTAAATTCAGCATGTTAAAAATTAAGTATATTTCAGTCTTGAGATTATACTGCTGCGTACATTATTTTTGGAAATTACAAAATGGGATCTTGCCACCTAGAGAACCTCCAATACCAAAACAGGCTTCAATCTAAAGCTTAAAGTAACATTCATTTAAAAAAAGTCCTAAAGCTGCTGTGACTATTAACATTATCTTTTATATACCCATCTATTAAAACAGAATAGGGGCATGTGTTACTTTTACCCAGAATCAAAAGCTAGTCTTCACAAACTGTTACTACTCAAGATGGTTGTAGCCCAGTGTCAAGTATATGGGACACCTAGAAATTTCTCTGCTTTCCACTCAGTCTGTTAACCAAGGTTAGTGTTCCTGGACTTGAAAAGCCATTGGCACTGCTGGTATTCGTTCTTTTCAAGACCTTAATACTTTATTTAGTCAATACTTCAGTTAGTTATTGACTTAACTGGCGATATTTTCAACTTTTCCAAAGTCTCCGGTTACTGAAACGTTTGTGTTCCCTATAATACCAGTTGTTTTAGAATACTTCAATTTAAAATTAACCTAAAATGTTTGTAGGTTTCGTATGTTTTAATTGATTCAAGGCACGTTCTTATAACCTGCTTTGAATTAAACCTTATCAGTGCAGAAAATTTACACCGGATTAGCGCTTTCTGTCTTCAGTTTTATCATAATTAAAATACACACCCCTTAGTGTTTTCAAACTGCAAAATGACTTACTGTTAATTCGATGTCCTCAAAAAACACAATCTAGAGTAAACAGACACAAAAGGGCTGCTAAAAACAACTCCATATAGTGATAATTGATCAAATGACCAAGAACTGAAACAGAAATCCACTTATATTGCTTAAGGGTGAGAGGATACTATAGCCTTTAAAGGCAGATAACAGACACATTTACTCACTTTGCTTTTTACAACCCCCATTTTCCATTCAAGTTAGCTTTTGAAGTTACGTCGTTCATATCTGCATAAAATAGTTATGAAATGCATCCATAGTTACAAAGAGCTTTCTTTGCTTATACTTTCTTCAGGGTATAAACCATGACGCATCTTACACAGGTTCCTCAGGCTACTGCTCTGACAGAATGTGATCTACAAGTACAATGTGGTGAAAAAGTACACCCCCTTAAGATTTTATGGTTTCAAATATTTAGACATATTTGACCTTCACCTAGTCCACACCAAGTCCTAACAGTAGGTAAAACTAACTTCATCTGACTAATAACACACAAAAGTTTTATTTTATTTAAAAATAATCAGTGAGCATTTAATATATTTGTTTGAAAAAGTAAGGGCACCCCCTTCCAGCAGCGATAAATTGCATCATTAGAGTTGAATGTTTCTCACATCAGCCAGGAGGAATTCTGGCCCACTCTTCCTTGGAGAACTGCGTCAACTCTGATGTTTGAGGGCTTTCCCGTATACACAGCTCTCCGAGTCCTACCACAGCATCTCTATGGGTTTTAAGAGTAGACTTGAACTTTTCCAAAATCCCCCATTTCCTCTTTTACAACCATTCTGTTGTAGATTTGCTTGTGTATTTTGGATCATTGGCCTGTTGCATGATCCACTTTTGGTTCAGCTTTGGCTGTCAGACAGGTTGCCTCTGGTGTAGTACGGATTTTCTGCTAGACATTATAACAGCAATGCATCCAGGTCCTGAGGCAGAAAAGCAAGCCCAATCCAGCACTCACCCCTACCACTGTGCTTGAGGGTTTGTATGAGGTTCTTATGGTGAAAGTCAGTGTTTGGTTTTTGCCAAACATAACATTTTGCATTATGGCCAAACAACTCCACTTCTGACTCGTCTGCTCAGAGCACATTGTTCCAGAAGTGTATTTTTTCCAGTCAAGTGCAATTTTGCAAGATGTGCGGTGATGTTAATCTTGGAGAGAACGGGTTTCCTCCTGGCTATCCTTCCATGAAAGCCATTCTTATTCAATGTCTTCCTGATTGTCATAACTCATAGATCTCGGGATATAACCCTGGGGTTCTTTGGGAGTTCTAGGGGCATTACGATTAGATCTCTGAGAAACTCTGGTAGGACGGCCACTGTTAGGTGAATTTAGTTTTCTCGAATTTTCAACATTTGTACACTATCTTTCTTACGGTGGAATTTTGGACTCCATATTGTTTGGAAATGAGTTTGTAACCCTTTCCAGACTAAAAAGCAGCAACAATTCTTTCTCTAAACCTGGCACAGATTTATTTTCATATGGGCATGATGAAAATCTCAAACCTGAACGCTTCAGACCAAACTGACCATTTCTGATCTTATGTACAGGTGGAATTACTTCCTGATGACCATCTTATCATTTTGCATATTTTGGTGTACCTGATTCCACATACTCTTTTGGGAAGGTAGAACTACAGGCGCTCTCACTTTTTCACACAAATGTATTGAATGCTGGTTGATTTTCATTTACATAATGACAAAGAGTTACAGTTTATGGAAAAGTAGGTTAGTTTTATCTATTATTAGGTCTTGGTGTGAATTAGGTGAAGGTCAAATATGTCTAAATATTTTAAACCATTAATTCAAAAAAAGGAGTGTATTTTTTCACCACACTGTACAAAGAATGGCAATTCCAGTAGTGTATATCCAATATCAAACCTGTTTTAAGTTGTTCGCAAACATTTTTTTCCAATCAGCACGTTCACTCGAGTGTGAACGTTTTATTCAGTGGCTTTGTTCTGTCATAAATGTCTCCTTCTAATAAGTTTAACAATCTGCCTGTCTCCTTTCTGCTTTAAGAATTTAAATCATACTATTGAATTTGGACTAATTATATTTAAAACGTGGCAATTTTATATCGAGTTCACTTATAAATGCTTCCATGGGTGGTTCCCAATCAATCTTTTTTCAAGTTAAGGTTTGGTTTGTTTCTGTCAATTCCACGTGTTGTTCTGGACTTGCACTGTACTTTAATCAAACACACTCGGTCCTTCTGCACTTTTCTTGAATATCATGCAGTATTTCTTTTGAAAAACATTTTAATTCTTATTGAAAGATAAGCACAGTGCCTTTGTTTAATTTGGCACCTCAATCACCAAATAATCTACCACTACCAAGCATCTGCAGAAGACTTGAGTGTACCAAAAGACCATCATGTCTATCTGGGAAAAACCCTGTGGCATTTTAACAGAGATACTAATGGAACTGGATTATAGGATGTTCCAAAGAAGCAAATATTAGAGAGCCATACCTTTGACTGACACTTTTGGTTCGAAAAAGTTGTCACAACCTTTTCACTCAAGCTATGAAGAAAACTCAATTGCTTCTTGCTGCAAATATTCTCATTTATGCTTAAAAACACATTTCAGTAATGAAATTGCACCCATTTTGTGTCAGTCTTTAATGGCGAATAGTTGCTTCAGTTAGTAAAACCATCATATACATAACAGCACATTTAAAAGTAAATGACATTCTAGTGCAAAAATGTGGCTGTATTGTAGGAATGTCTGTATAATCAGTGTGTGATCAGATATGAGATCAGTTCTCAGAAAAGCAAGGTATATCAGAGCTGATCCCTCTCATCACCTCTGTTCTCAGTTTGTAATTCTCCTATCACAGAGACAGTTTACGGTGCCAAAAACAAGTAAAAGTATTTATATAATGTCCTTGGTTCCCTGTGCTATAAAAGTCCTCAATAAATGTACATTTAGACAAATTCTATCAGAGGCCAAATCTTGCATACAAAGTGAAAAACTGAAAGATGAAAAGTTTTTTACACCACACCACAAAGCGCCTTTGAAATTTGACTTAAAAAATCTCTCACTGCCTTTAATTGCACAGGCACTGGATACTTAACGACACTACACTATTAAGTACATGGCATCCCCATAACAAATGGTAGATAACCTTCTACAACCGCCTGCAGCTCAGTAATAGATAGATAATACTTTATTAATCCCGTAGGGAAATTTATGTGTTACAGCAGTCCAGCCCGAGACAATCAAAAACAGACATCAGAATAGTTATAAAACTAAAGACAACAAAATAAATACAAATAAATACATAGGTGTATGCAAAATGTGCATAGGTTTATACAGACTGATTGTCGAAAAAGTACAATGGAGTAAACATGCTGTCCATAGACGAGCAAATGAAGGGCTAACGTTCCTAGCCTAGGGCAGCATTAAACACTCTGACAGCCGCCAGGAGGAAAGACCTGCGGAAACGTATTACAAAACGTTTTGTAATATTACAAAAATTATATGTTTTGTAATATTACAAAACGTATAATTGAACCCACTCTTGACAGCCACAACTCACACAAAGCAGAAGAATGACAAAACCATGACTTGCAGCTATGGAACTTACTTTGCCTCAGTTGCGGAAACTCTTCAAAAAAAGGCAGATGCGTGCAGTAAGTCATTATGACCTTTATAGAGAGCTTGCACTCGCAGGTAAAATGACTTTCTATCTTGAATTCTCCAATGGCCTTCAGCTCTGTTCTTTGCAAACACAGCACATGCGCTTCATGTGATTTGACCTGTGATCCTAAACAAAGCTGTTTTATGCATATTACTGAAAGCCAAGTACTAGCTTGTCCCTTGAAGGAAAAATAAACAAGGAGGCTATTTATTCCTTTTTTAAACCTCCAAAGGTTAAATTAGCTCCGTTCCACACAGCAAACAAAACTTATCCAGTGCAGATTTTTCTAACCAATATTATCATTAGGGTATCCCTCACAGACCGGACTGAAGCTCAAGTCTGATGTTGTCATGAAAGAGTTTTCACTCAAATCTCAAATGCATTTGAAATTTCTTTAGAGTATTATAAATTTAGAGTATTAAATTGGTCTTTAAAAAATCGGAATTGTCAGAATAGAAGTCAATGCACGTCGCAAATCCAAGCTGTAACTGATTCTGACAAAATACAAAAGCATTTGGAACAAAATGGAACCATCCATTTTCTAACTGCTTCATCCAATTCGGGGTTGCTAGGGAGCCAGATTCTATCCTGGCAAGCAACAGGCACAGGGCATGGTACACCCTGGGCAGGACACCAGTCCAGTCCATCACAGGGCAGAAAGACACAAACACAGACATGCACCCTCACACCAGGGTCAATTTTCCCAGAAGCCAATTTATGTTTTTGGACAGTGGGAGGCAACCGGGGAACCTAGAGGAAACCCATGCAAACCTGAGGAGAACATGCAAACTCCACGCATATATCACCCCAGGACCATAACTGAACCCAGAGCCCCAGCACTGTGAGGCTGCAGTGATAACTACTGTTCCACCACTGATAATTGACTAAATTAACCATGTAACATCCAAAGTTTTGTTTTCAATAGATGTTTAAGTGGAAAGCCTGTTGTTGTTGGCTCCTTTAAGTACAGTTTAATTAAAAAGCAAGTATTTAATCAGATTACCATTTGCGAAAAAAATACTTGTGACTGCAACCTTTCCCTGCAAAGTAGTTTTCCAAAACATCACATTACCACAATTTTCTTTTGTCATTTATTGATCTATGTACAAAAACTGAAAAAGTACTAAAAAAATACTTTTGAAACTATTTTTAGAGAACAATTACCATTACACTATTTTGCAGCATAGAACTGGTCATCCACAATGACTAATTCTCCTTAAAATGTTCTTTCAAGAAAAAAAAAATCGGGAAGTGTATTCTATGCAAATTTAAATAATCATTGGAAAAAAATGATTATATAAAAACGGCAGTTTTCCAAAAAACCCACTTAGACACAATGGCAAGGCAGCATTCTTAAGGGGATTACTTAAAATTGTTATTAATTCTTTCTCAATCTTATTTGAGAAGTGCAAACTACAGAAGAATTTTAGAAAATGCTGAACATGTTAAGACACTCAAAATTGGTTTTGCAGTAAATTAAATAGTGAAATTGGTTTATAAAAGAAAACAGTATTTATTGCTGAAAAACATCTTATTTTGTACTGCTTCCGCCTTCAATGGCTGTTCGCTGCACTTAAAATGTATTTCATGGACCATTTTCTATCATTCTAAAAAGCGTGACATTAATGTTACATACTGTTCAGCTTTATGTGTGTTAAGACACCAAACAAGAAATGACAAAAATGACCTGAACTTCTCTATTCAATACTACACATGTACAAAATTATTTTTTAAAAACAAAGTGGTCCACAACTGTTAAAGTATTATCCCCATTTACTTGAAACACTGCTAGTAATTAATGCATTTAGTTAAACTATGCATTCTTTTAAAGGTTAAATTAAGCACTTTCATCCTAGAGGGCAGCAGTGCAGCTACTAGGTGAAGTCAATAAGCTCAGGCAACTGCCTTAGCAGTTGTGTGAAACTAATTTCAGCAAGAAAAAATGTGGATACATGAGGAAACATTAAAAAGTCAAAATTAGGATACAAAATTATCTGTGAATATTAATAAACCGTGCTGTAGAGAAAAATAAAATCAAGGATTTTCCAAACTCCAGTCTAAGATTATGGTATAATTGGACAGTTCTCATTATTCTATGGATCTAAATTAAAAATTGGTTGAAATGCACTTTCCTAATGTTCTTGACTATATGGTTTACGAGATATCCAATTACTATTACCAGGACATCTGAATAGCATTTGGATGTTTTAGTGTACAGCAAGAGCTATCAATCACATTCATCTTGTGCACTATTTAGGTGTTTTCTGTTCCCTGCAACCGAGCAATTCTGATTTTTCATACTGATGGACTAAACCTTTTAGACAGTTTCAGAAGTAAATTTACTTTTCTTAAACAATCTTAAAAATGTAATTGCAGAAAAAGTAATTCTAAAAAAAGCATTAACTTAACTCAGTGTACAGAGCTACAGAACTTCTACGGATATAAAACATTTCAACTTTTAGATTTCAACAGATCAAGATCCAGAATCACAGAGCCTTTTTCAAATATCTCTTCGACACTGAATTAAGCAATAAATCCACCCTACTCCAGAACCAATTTCAAGCCATTGAGAGAACGACATGCCTAAAACCAACTAAGAAGCCATGCCCTGTCGTAAGGCAGAATTACACAATTAAAATACTGAATTAAGGCAGTACATAAAACATTTTTTTAATCAGTATGGCAGCTTTTATCACTTCCATAAGCAAATGCAATATTCCCCTAAAGCAGGAGTTTCTTTAATTGAAACAGAGCCCTTTTGTCTTACTGCCCCCGAGAAACAAAACATTAATGGTTCCAAGAATAGGCACCCCACCCCCCAGTATTATAAGCTGACTCTCTTTGCAGGACAGGATCACGTCGAGCTCAAGGACTCCTAAGACGCTGCTGCTACCGAATAGCAAACAGGGGCTGGGAGAGGTTCCAGCACCACTCAGACAGGTTCGGACCGAGCACTGGCTGCTGCTGCTAATACAGCACGTCCGGAAGGAGAGGTAAGACACTTATTCAAGATCGAAACTGAGCTATACCGAGTGTGTACGGACATTTACAGCAGGGAATGGTTCGTTCCACAAAATCATCATTTTAGAATTTAAAAGTGAAGAAAGCCAAGAAACGGATAAAGAACATAGTCCGATTTAACAAACTTATTTTTAAGAGATGAATGGATTTTTCCAAACATCATAATTGTTGTGTAAAAATCTTCAAGGCATAAAGCAGTAACATAAAACGTTGTCTACAGCAGGCTGCAGTGTTAAAGAAGAAGATCATTCTTAAAGTGGTTCAATCTATCCACCCATTTTATTAGTTTTGAACATGCAACAAATGGAAAATGAATAGAAAATGTCTTAAAACTAGTAAATAACAGAGCTACATACATGATGAACTGATAAGATCTTTATAAAACCATAGTGAAATTATGTTTCGATTTTGGCAAAAGGGACACTGAGCATCAAAAGTAACTTAACACTATGCATGCATAGTTTTAGAAAACATTTACAGATTCTGACTAGATGTTTCAGATTTATTTTGATTTATTAATGCTTCATGACTATGATCTACACAAGAGTTATTGTTGCATAAACACTAAAGAGTGTTTAAGGGCAACAGGTGATGACTAACAACAACTCTGGTTAAAACCAGGGGGAAAAGATGCCAATATTTGGTTTAAGTAGGAGTGCATAGTTTATACAAAACTCCACTCTTATTGACAGACAGTAATCTGACTAAAGCCTTCCTTCAAAATCAAGATGTGACCACATTCATACTCGTCCATTATCTGTTTTGGTAAGACCTTCCTTGCAAGAATGTGTCAGGTATGCTGTGGATGCCCTGTTCACCACACTTGAGGCCCGCTGAACATTTAAGAGAGGGAAATGTGTGACATCTAGGGCTCAGAGTCCAGTAAAACTCTGATGCAAATCACACATCACATTCATATAGCTAGCATACACATACGCTACTAGCCCGGAATGTTCGAGATTCCCTGTTACACCAGATTCCCTGTTAATGACAAATGATATTTAAAATGACTTAAGATAAAATATCAGTGAACCAGCTACAAAAGATTATCAACGTGATGCAGTTAAAAGTGTCAAGGTCCTTTTGATGATTGGTATGCATTCCAATTGTGAGCAAAAGGGGAATAGCACTGGACACAAAAAAGTCAAAATTAGCAATTTAAAGAATGATTAAGTCTGAAAAGACCTTCCTCTTGTAAGATATTTAATCTTCAGGCATACAGTTGTATGCAAAGGTTTGAGCACCCCTGGTCAAAGATGTTTTGTTGATTTTCTAAGTGAGAAGAAGTTAAGACAACCTCTGCAGCAAACAAACTTAAACCTTTGTTTTTTAATGCACAGGTACTATTTATTTGCTTAATTTAACAGACTGAAGAAAATAAAACCGTAAATGTGGCATGAACCTATTTTTTTTTTACTTTTCAGTAATATGCAATTTGATAAACTGATCATACTAATCTTCCTCTTTGTCACTGACAGATGAACTCCACGATTGCTCTACACTGTTGCAGTAATTATTTGAAAGGAGAACTAATACTCATTCAGACTCTTATTTGTTGATTTCTGCACTTTTGCAAAGTTTTACCATGAATGCTGTTCCAGATTATAGGCTGCTAGACATGGCTGCCAAAAGGAATGAGGACCGGAAAGCCTCCACACCCCTCATCGCCCTGCGTCGCCGGCGGCTCGTTACCAAAGATGGGCACTGCACCCTGAGAAACACCAGTCATGCCAGCGCCCCAGCCAAGGGGCTGCTTTACCTGCAGGATATCTGGAGCACACTGGTGGACCTACGCTGGCGGTGGGTGCTCCTGGCTTTCTGCATCTCCTTTCTGGCCCACTGGCTCCTGTTTGCCTGCCTGTGGTATCTGCTGGCCCATCTGAATGGAGACCTGGGAGTGGACCATGACAACCCCCCTCCTGGGCACACTGTGTGCGTGAAATACATCACCAGCTTCACTGCTGCCTTCTCCTTCTCCCTGGAGACCCAGCTGACCATAGGTTACGGCACCATGTTCCCCAGTGGGGACTGCCCTAGTGCTATTGCTCTACTTGCCGTGCAGATGTTACTGGGACTCATGCTGGAGGCTATTATTACAGGTACGCTTAACTATATTACACACATTCCAAAACAGAACTCCTCAACTCAAGGTCTTGAAGGCCAGTCTAGAAACCTTTTATAGTCCCTACATTATCAACACTTTACAGACTGTAAAAAACAAGGCGGATAATGAGGCAGAGTACAAAAATAAACAGAGGAGGTAAATTAAATTAAAAGATCTGAAAAGCAGAATCTAGTCTATTACACACTTTAACCTTTGGAAACTATAAATACCAGCAAAACCCTACATTCCAGGAAGGGGTTGGCAATTTTATTAGCTTGCATATAGCAAAACTATTTTAAGTTAAACTATGTACAAAGTCTAGCGTTTTAAATAATCAAGGCACTGCAATAGATTTTTGTCATTACAGTATGATTTTAATTCTTCTCATGCTTCTGTCCAAGGTGCCTTTGTGGCCAAGATAGCCAGGCCAAAGAAACGGGCTGGAACGATCAAGTTCAGCTCCTCTGCTGTGGTGGGGCATCACCAGGGCGAGACCTGCCTCATGTTCCGTGCCGCTAACATGCGAGACAGCCCCCTGACGGAAGTGCGAGTGAGCGCCATCCTGTACCAGGAGCGTGAGGACCAGATACTGCACCAAACCAGTGTGGAGTTCCACTTGGACAGACTACGGGGACCAGAATGCCCTTTCTTCATCTTCCCACTGACCTTCTACCACCCCCTGACCGAGTACAGCCCGCTCTACTCTGTGCTTTGTGAGGGCAACCCTGCGCATTTTGAGCTGGTTGTTTTCCTCTCGGCCACCCAAGAGGGAACTGGTGAAGGCTGCCAAAAGCGTACCTCCTACGTGCGGGAAGAGATCCAGGTTGACTACCACTTTGCCAGTGTTCTGGGACTGGACCCCCATGGCTCTTATAAAGTGAATACAACCAATCTCAACAAAGTGCTGCCAGACCCCAGTCACACAACGCTAGATGGAGAGAAGGTTTTCGTCATACAAATAAATGGAGACGGTAATGATGGAATAGGAGGATAAATGAAAAACCCTCCAGAGACAAAAAACACTCCCAGCTCATCATTTATCTCAATCACTGGGCATTGAAGACAATCAGTGGCACACACAGAGACATGATGTGTTTCTCTAAGGTTCTTGAGATTTTGATCCACAGAGAAATTCCAGAGTGCCAAGGTTTTAAGATGCCTTTGTCAATTACAGCAATCTGAGAAACAAAAGCTCACTTACTGTGATTCAGCTGAAAATGTGCCGGGGCAGCATCTGCAGGGCCCATATGTGAAAGAAACAAACACACAATCAGGATGAGAAATTCTGTCTTTGAAAGAAATCTGCATACCATCAGCAAATCATATGGTTATATCAAATCAGCAACTGTTATCACTACATAGGCAGCCAAAAAGATGCACTGCACTGAATCTGTGTCTGTGACAGTGCTAACATATCTCTTTGCAGCCAATGAGGCAGCAATCAGGATACTGTTGTTCAGCTATTTCTCAGAGAGTTTCCACACTTTTTATGATGTTAAATGTTTGTAAACCAAATTTTCACTTAAAGTTAAGAATGAGTTAACAAATCAACAGAGAAATATATAATCTAAAAATATGATTAAGTTAATGTGAACAGAGCAGGTATCACACATTATAAAGAGTAGAAATAGTAAGAGTATCAAAGTAATGAGTATAGATTTTAAGAGTTCATTAATATATAGACTTTGCTGACACTTCATGGAAAAATAAAGTTGGTAATAGTTTAATATTTGAATGGCAATTTTGAAAATACTACAAAAATATTAATGTGAGAATCCAGACTGTGACTGGAGAATTCTATGGAAAGGTCACAAAACCAGATATCATAGACAAAACATACAAAATCAACTGGTCCAAAGATAAAATATTTCTTGTAAAATGATCTTTGGTAAGAACTGACACTGAAGAAGAGAGTTACATTCCTCAAGTACTGTCTAGCATGTACAAAAATAATTTTAAAAATATGAATTACTACTCAGTTGCAGCTCTCTGCATTGACCGAAATGGTTATAGGCATTAATGTAATAAAGAGTAAACTTTTCAATTCACGCACAAAACGAATGCAGTTTGTAGCCTTTTCATTTTCAAAATGTATAGTATTTTTTTTCTCAAAGAAGTAGTGGCTCCTTTCAAAAATGATTGCTTTTGGAGTGCAAATCAATTCTGCTGCTTATTTTATAATTCAAAAAGCACAAAAATACAGTTGGAAAGAGATGACAAATGTGCTTCTAAATATATGACTGTAAAATTCCATATGTTGTAAACTGCAAACAAGACTATGAATGTTAAGCATCAATCATTTGATGCTTAAATGGAAAGTAGAAATAAGTTAACTTTTTCATCCAAAGTCACTGGAGCATCACATTCTCCAGAAGGTGCTGCCTACATCTGAACGATCCACTTCTTCCACACCATAGGCCTTCTGAATGGCTGCTGCCACCTGTCTCCATTCACTGGTAATGCACCAGACCTGACTGAGGAAATGCTATGAGCCTTAGTTTAAAAGGAAAATCTGGTGCAAAACGAAAATCAAAACCTACATCAAAATGCAGTTCCTGCATTTAGGTCGTTGTTGATAAGTATACTCCAAATCCCTTGTATGTGCCAAAACACCTCCATGTTGTCACACGGTTGATCTTAAAAATCAGTACTCTCAGTGCTTCTTTCCCTGAGTCACAACTAGTCTTTCTCCAGTTCGATGAGAGAAGGTGCATGTAATGACTTATCTCACCCATTGCAGTGCTCGTAGAAACTTTCAATAGTCTTGGAAAAGAATACACTGCAATATTATATATTCAGAAATGTAATGTTGGGTCATCTATGCATGACTGTTAAATACTTTACAATAACTTTAAGGGGTAGGAGAATATAAATGTGTATTACAATGAGCAAATAAGACTTTTAAAATAATTGTGGATATTTTAGGCATTGTACCATAGCTGTGTGGGGTTCAGAAATGAAGGATTCAAAATGCAATTTCTTAATTTCATATAGAAAATGATAGTCCAGAAAGCTATTCAATACATAAACAGATTTTGCCCACATCAGTCTAAGCTGCTGTCCAAGCGGATATAAAATAGCCACACAAATTAGAGTTGAAATGAATAAAAGATCACCTTTTCATGTTCATTTTTTAGAGAGAATGCTTTCAAAGGTGACCAACGATAAACGTCCTTGAATTGTCTTCTACACTGTAAGTGTTGTCCCAAGCGTTTGCTATCTGTGCCTTCTTGTAAGCGTTAGTGAAGAAGTCCACTGGGTTGACTTTGTGCATTAGGGGATTCTGAATACTTGGGTTAGGTTACCTTGTAGTCTTCTTTGTTCAAGACTAAAATGGTTCTGTTCCTTTATCCTGTCAGAGAAGGACATTTCTTTATGACTAGCAATGTACCTGCATGCTCTTCGCTACATTAATTCCTAATCTGCAATATCATGGTGACTAATATTCAACAACATTCATACAGTAAGTGCACTGTACATCTTTAACATCTCCTAATTTAACTTCTATGCATTTATCCATGTACCCTACCATTTGTTTGTATTGTTCCCATACAATGCTTAGAGGATACATCACCAAGGTCATCACATAGGGCTTTTTCATAAGTAGCTTTTCAAGTTCAGTGCTTTAGTCTTATGCTTAGTTTTCTCTACCTCAGTGTAGCACACTGCACTTGTCTATATTAGATATTATTTGCCAAATGTCCTATCTAGAATTCTAACCTTTTTGATGTTCTTTTGCAACTAAAATGTTTGCTTATCCTCTTTTTTGGTCTCATCTCTGAATTCGACCATTTGAGTATTCTAACTATATCAGAATCTAGCCACTGGTATGTATTAGAAATAGCAGTGGTGCTAATAAAAGCCCTAATACGCAGACATTTCCTAACTAGTCATTTATGAAGAACTTTAATAAAGTCTTCTGAAAATTTAAATATACTACATTGTATGTTTTATATTTCCATCACTTCAACTGCTTGTTCAAAGAACAAGTTAGGCATTTCCAAAATAAATGCTATTTATGAGCACCCCATTTCCTTACAGATAATTCTCTAGTTTAATTCTGTTTCTCAAGTACCTGTATTATCCATCTTCTATGATAATACTGCTTTCACAAAATTTCATTTTTGTGATTTCTTCCTTCTTTCATGCTTTCATTTGATAAACTTTGAAATGAATCTCTTCTGTATTTCAAGCATCTCGTGCATGACTACTTGTATGCATTTAATAATAGCATGAACACCAAGATGACCCTCTGTTCCCTAAGGAGCCATTTCAGCATGTAATATATTGCTGTAAAAATGCACAAGAGAATTTCGAGAGCTTTATCCCCAAGTCAGACTTTGAAAACTATCATTTCAATGTCTTCTTCAGCATACATGGGAGTTTAAAACATTAATACCAAACTCAATAGGAAAATGGGATAACTGGAAAATAGGAAAATCATTAAGTTAGCCCCTGCTTTAAAGAACTTAAAGCTCTGTAGTAGGAGAGAGGATGGATGTACCTTGCATGAAAAAGGCAAAAGGTCTGTTTTTTTGGTATGTCAACAGCGAAATGTAAACTGTCCTGCAGGGAGTTAGGACACTAGTAGAAGGGAAGATATAGCTATATAGTGGAGTGGAGTTCAGTTTTTTTCCCCTTCTGTACTTTGTTTTACAACAAATGTGTGACTGGGCAGGAATACCTAGTCACCACAATCTCTACTTCTAGTGATCAGTGGCAATCTGACATCACATTACAGTACTGCACTGATCCAAGTCCTGGAACCTCACCTGCTGCCCATGATCATCCCAGCATGACAACAGCTGGGCATCACATGTCCTCATGCTGTCATGAAAGAACAGCTTTCTTGTAAGAAGGCAGTATTGGCAATTATGCCGTGGATGCCCTACTCGCCAGTCTTGAGCTCCAATGAACATCTGCGAGATAAGCTGGGACAATGTGTGGCAGCTAGGACTCAGACATCGGTGAACATGCTTGTCTAGGCACTACAAGAGGAATGGGACACAATCCCACCAGGCAGCATTTGCTAACCTGTGCACTGTCAGAAGTGTTATTTTCCTGTGACTTTCCTGGGAATACCACTGCGAATTTGTCGCAACTGTAAGTGGTAAAATTTCTTTATGCACCTGTACTTCTTTCTACTAACGTACTACGAAGCAGATGAATTGTTACCCACATTTAGAATAAAGCCAACTTTAAAACTATGAAGAAGCAACATGAAGAAAGAATTTGAAAACTCTGCCAAATGTAGATAGTGAAGAGGAAGGCGTCATACGACTCATTTCATATTGAGTGTATGCATCACATTCCAGTAATTATTATGGGTGAGAGCCAATACAGAGCCTATGGAGTGTCACAAGAAACATGTGTCATACAGTTCAACACTTCTTGCTTTGGGCGTTGTTATCTATTGTGTGTGCTCTTTCTTTCGATGCATAGAATACTGTGGTTGTTCTCTATTGTGTGTGCTCTTTCTTTTGGTGTATGGAATATTGTGATTTAAACTTTATCATGGACCCTAGAGGTGTCTTTTTATTAATTTTCCACTATACGAAAGGGTTTCTGGGAATTAATTCTGTTCATAAAAAGAGGTATGGGTGTGGTTCCAAAATGGCTTCTCAATGGCTTACATAGATATTCTGGTCCCCTTTTTTGAACATTTAGTGATTAAACAGTTATACGAGGAGATTTTGGCATTAAGTTTCTATCTTGTTTGACCAGAACATACCAAAATGGTCACAGAAAAGAGAGCTCCATGCCTAAGAGCACCGAACTGTGTTTCTGTTCTTAGTGTTGTGATATGAATGTGAATCACAATTAGTAAACCCCAAAGATTCATCTGGGATAGCAGCAGTGCCAGATAAACACTGCTGCACCACTCAGTAAAGAAGGGAATTCAAAAAACACCAAAATTTACACTCACCTGGATCTTTTCGACCTGGCTTTTCAAACCGTCTGTCTCCCCTTTAAAAAAAACAGTGCACATGAATTAAGGGGTTATACAATGTTCACATGAAAGCAAAGTCACACCGATAGATTTTATAAGACATTTTCATCTTATAAAGAGCGATAATTCCTTGGAGAAAAAGAAAACAAAACAGTAAACAAAAGCTTCAAAATAGCACTATTTTTCCTGAAACCATGTACAAACTCTTCATAAGGGTTTAAGTAAATACAACGTCCCCCTAAGGTTGCAGTAGTTCAGGTGGGTAGCTGCGTCAGCATGCGTAGGCTGCAAAAGGAACAAGTAATAGGTTTATTTCATGCTGAAAAAAAGAAGAAAGAGAACAACAAGGTTTTGGCTGTAGAGCCTTCTTCAGGTGTGTTCGTCTGTCTGTGTCCGTCTGACACACCTGAAGAAGGCTCCATGGCCGAAACGTTGTGTTCTTTTTCTTCTCTTCTTCTTTTTTTCAGCATGGAATAAACCTATTACTTGTCCCCCTAAGGTTGTAAAGTCAATTCTCCAACTTTAAGGACTGAATTAACTGAGGACTTTGCTGAATTAACATTATGTAGTACAGGAGTAGTGCAAATTGGGGTCTGTAAAAATACTCAACAGTCCAACATGCAAACAGGTTTCAAATGGTCTTTACAATAGTTGAACTTCCATGCAGATGTGTACAGGCACATGGTTCAAACAAAAAAATATATTTTTCAAAGGAAACTTAGTAGTTTTTATATTCTCAACAGAAGATTATGTCAACCCTAAAGCAATACCTCCACACTCTCCAAAACCCCAAGCTGATATAGGTTATTACCTTTCCTCCCAGCTCTGGGACCTGTGCATCTCTCGCCCGCCACGACCAAAACCTCCTTCCACATCATCAAAACTTCTTTGGTAAAACCCTCCCTCCCCTCGTCCTCGACCTGCAAGCAAAACCACAACCATGTCTGTAAATTAAAGGCACTATGAAAATCAAGAACCACATCAATGTATACATATATTTAGATATAAATATTTCAAGCGACATAGCTACATAATGGGAACTAAGAATATTTCCTTTGAAGCATTGCAAAGTAAAGCAAACAAAGGCAAAAAAAAACAAGTTAAAAAAAGTCTCATTCTGAACAGACATGTTGGACAATTTCCATGCTATTTCACAGGTCTGCCCAAATTTTGGGATTACTGCGAACACTGACTTGATTCACCATCACCTACACTTGCAGGTTTTATTCCATTTATTCCCTGACAGAAGTGGAAGTCTTAAGTATTTTGTGGGAAGGAGTGGCAATGAAACCTGCAGCTGTAGCTGTAGTTGGATCTTTGCTCTCATGGCTGCCTGCTCAAGGTGAAATTAGGCATAACTCACCTCGACCCCTTGAGGAACTTCGACCTCTTGGTGCCCCTGCCACTGTTCCTCCACCTCGGCCTGTTAATCGCAGGACAGCTGCACTGTTTACAGACATGGAGAAATTTCTCTGTGGACAGACAAACATTTGTTTATATCTCTCGCTTTCCATAAGTACCTCTTCAGAATGATTTCACATCAGGGACTCAGGGAGGTTCTGTGCTGAACAAGAAATAACTTCTGTCCTTAAGAAAATGTAAAACGCCAGAATCCTCACCACTATATATATAGACATATACCATCTGTATATTATATCATCAACTATGTACAAATGTAACATTATAGTGTTGTGACAGCTGTGCAGCAATGACAGTTCAGGTATTCTGATAAGACTTGTCTTTTTTCCACATTTTCCCCAAAACAGCTACATGTGACACAGTAGTGGGTCACTGACGATGTTGCATGACAAATTTCAGCAGGGTAATACACCCCACATACTTTAAATAGTGGTACAGTGATAATGATGCCCTTAATGAAGCCACACAAAAGTTTGGAAATGAAATAACCCAGTCATTTCTTTTTATTCCTTATCCAAGACTAAACAATAATGTACTGCTGTCAAACAGTATAGGTTAATACTTTGAAATCTCTTGAAAAATGACCCATTCTTCAAATTATTTTACTTACAGAAAAGCACTATTATATAGTGAGGATCACCAGTGGATTTATAGAAACATTCCAAGCAGCGGACCAGTTTTCCTTCACTATGTCACACAGTATGTAAGAACCTCCTTGCCTGTTTTGATTGCTTCACTACACCTGTGACTGTTTTCAGGTTGCTAAGCCACATGCAATTTGCGTTTTGTCCACTTTGAAACATCCCTTGTTACACAGGGTCATAAGGAGTGTTCTCACATAAAAATAGGATTGTGACCTGTGACCAAATTATATATCTGGAGTACATTAGAGATCCACTTTGCACATGGCACCTGGAGAATTTTTAAACCACATGGTAGATGCCTACTAGTTCCATCCTCTACAATGAAGCTGTTCTTGAAAATTAGTTTCTAAATTTTCATGTCTTACTTTAACTGCTACACTTTAAAAACAAATTAAGGCAGTTATTGTCTTCGATTTAAGTTCAGCAATTTTCTTGCAACTTCTGACATCATAGCATGACTCACTAATTGCCAAGTGTAGAAAGGGTGTAAAAAGCCTATGAATCCTTGAAAGAGTGTCTCTGCTTTTCTTGATCTTTTACAATTTAATCAGTCTGTTACCAGCTTGTAATGAAGGAATTCAATCAGCATTCTTTATAAACGAGCTTAGCTTTCAAAGGCTAAAGTGCAGCCCTGTCTGTATTCCTTTTCTGTATCAAACAAGGAGACACAAGAATAGTGTCAATTCAATCTGATCAGCCTTTTCTGCAGAGCTACAGTTGTAAGCCACGCCATTCAACTGATTTCAACTGAGGGAAATTAACTACAGATAGTACAAACAGAAAAGCAATTACCTGTTCTTCTTCTGTAAAAGGTACAAGTGCCAGTGGTGGCAGGGGCTCCTCTTGTAAAATAGGAAGAAATTCCTTATCTTGTAGGTCTACAGGAACCTGTCAATGGGAAAGTTCACAGAATGTTCATATAAAGCTACATTTTTTTGACAGAACCTACACGTTAAACAGATTTTTAAGACAAATACAGCATTTTTACTGCTTGAAGAGTAAGATCGCATTTATTTAATTTTGAAAAAAATATATGATATCCTTTAAAAGCAGTAAAAACGCTGTTATGCGTTTTCAAAACTTGTAGTTTTTTTATATTTCTCCTTTAAATCACAATTTAATTGCTACTGATATCAGAGAAGGACCAAACTGCGGTCATTTACCGTTTTTCTAGAGTCCATAAAATGTTTGAGTCCCACAAAAATGTTTGAGTTGCTTAAAGGATAAATGTGATTCTCATAATCAATACTACAAGCTCATTGGCATCACCAAGGCATAGGAACTGAGGATAACAAAGCCAACAAGCCTGCAACAGCACTAAAAGGACTCAGACACAAACCAACATTATCCAGACTAGAGACCACAACAATTGTGCTGTATGAAAACCTTTGCTATTTATCAAAATACTACAGGTAGCAGCAAGAGAAGACCGTGGACACTTTGAAAGAGGGTTAATTGTTCGATTGTATTTGGCTTCAGGAGTTCCACTGACTGTGACAGCTCAGCTTTCTGATATTTTATGAGCAACGGTGTCTATGTTGATGTCAGCTCGGAACTGTGAGGGAAACAAATCATTGACTGAAGGCAACAGTAAGCGCATCCTCCATGATCGAGAAAGTTGTACATTCATTTAAAGTACAAGGCAAAGCAGGCAAGCAACTGCACGCAAATTTCGAACTGCATCGCAAGCAACCAGGTTCATGAAAAACAGACCCCGGAGATTTCCGCAGAGCAAGACAGCATGGTAAGATGACAGGGTACCAACCTCTCATCAAATGGCTGCACACTTTTTCAAAGACAGTAGTACAAAGAGCACAGACATTGAACAATACAGTAGTGAAGAAAAGTGAGGTGTTATTGTGGCTCTGTAACGTTGTGGGGCACATTTTCCTAGCAGGACTTACATGCACTCTTTCCCTTACCACTGAAGGTCAATATTTTTAATGAGTGATCCATCATGTTGCAGCATTCCTTTCCTACTGGGAGGGATGTCATTCTAGGATGACAATGCCCCAGAGCATGTGGTCACCCAATGGTTTAATGAGCATGACACTAACATTATCCATAAGTCATAGGCTTCTCAGTCACCACATGTGAACTCACCAAGAATTCATGGGCTATTCTGGAATGATGCCCAAGACAGTGTTTTCTTCCTCTATTAATCAGGCATCACTTCATTGACTATCTCATGGAGGAATAGTGCGGCATCCTTCCTGCAGAATTCTAGACGCTGGCAGATACTTTGTCACATCACATGCAGGCAGTAATGGCTGTAAGTTTCCATTTCATTTTGTCCACTTCCTATACTCCTCTTTTTTAATTATAGCTGCAAAATCTCAGTATGCAACTTAAAGAACTACTGTGAATGACTGACACGACTTCCGTGAAACAAACTTACCTTATTATCCTTTACATAAAGTGCTAACATTTCTTCTCTTCCATAGCGGTAATCCGCTAGTTTATACTTTGGCAATGCTGGTGAGAGAGGAGGGGAGGTGACGCTGCCTCCACTGGACAAAGCACGGAGCCTGCAGGAAAGAAGAGCACGTGAGCATGAAACAGGCATTCAGTCTACAGCACACTGATCAACAGCTTGGCTCTTTTTTTTTTACTCAAGGAGTAGGTGACACTTGGCTAAATGGCAGAGCTTAAGCCAGAACTTTTAACACACCATTTCTACTGTTGCCTATAGTGCACGTGAAAAGAGCAACCCACTGCTCCAGGTGCCAAGATAATCAGGATCCACCTATCAGCTCGACTTTCCTCATCACGTGATGACATCAGTTCTGATCATCCGTAATGTGAGAACTGGTGCAGAGACACCTGACTGAAGGCTGGGTAGAAGCCAATTTGACTTTTGGGAAAAAACATAACACTACCTGCAAGCGCTTTAGTTATAAAAAGATAAAGAGTTAAGCAAGGAATTATATAAAACTGCTGAACAGTGAAAATGACTAACAGCAAAGTAAATGTGTAAAAATTTATGCCCACTCCCATTATATTCTTCTAAAAATCCCATCGTCTTCCAACAGTGGAACCAGGTCCTGTTTAAGACTAAACCAGCTTTTATGTAGACCACATCAGCTAATGTGGCACAAAACATTGCCAATCACGGTATATAGCAAACCCATCGAAGGGAAGCCCAATTTTAATGGTCTAGAACTCCACTTCAGGGGGCTGAGACCAACCCGACTGCATGTTGCGACTGCAGTGATCAAGTCCTTGGACCTCCCTTGCTGTCCTTCCCACACCCTTGTTCTCAGATCATAAGACTCCAACAGTACAGTGCATGTCCTCATGCTGCTCATGTAAAAATGACTTTCTTCCAAGGAGCGAATGTGAAAGGATGCCCTTCACGTTAGACCTGACTCCCATTAAACATTTCTGCATGTTTCAGCTAGGATGATGTTTCTAGCATCTAGGTATCAGAGACTTGGGAAAAGGCACATGCTCGCCCAGACTGTAAGAGAGTAACGGGACAGAACCCAGTTGAAAGCATCTGCCACCTGGTGCAAAGCTTGCATCACAGAGCTACGGTTCATACTGCTTTGAATGTTAGTCACACACACTACTGCCCTGCTAATGACAAATTACTCGGCTAAATACAATTAGATACATCATGTCTGTTAATGTCTGGAAATGTCTGTAAAAAATTGGTGTCAGTTCACCAATTACAAAAGATTTTGTGATTTTACTGATGACTTTCATAATCTGTCACAGTGAAACACAACAGGTTTGTTTTAATGCTCAGTGTATTCATAGCAAACTGCTACCATCACTGGCGCACAATTGGCCTTAGTGACAGAGAACTCGACTAAAAAGTAGTTTTGAATTTAATCAAAATCAGAGCTGACTTGGCTTTTTGACCGTAAAGTTTTAAGCTTTATCTTAATCCATAAATTCATGGATTAACTCTGGACACACAGAAAAATTAAAGGTGCTATAAGAAAAACTAACATTAAAATCCTGTCAATATTTGCAGAGCACTCTCTAAAGCACTGATTCTCGAAGTATAAGGTGCAGAAGGGTTAACAAGGAGACACTGTCAGAGAACCTAAGAAATAACAGACCATAAGAGGTAGGAAGCATGAGGGACAGGAATGTTTAAATAAGAAAAAAAAAGTAGCGAATGCCCTGTTAGGGTGCTTCCTCATGTTACTTAACAGCCGGAGGAGTTGCCTTACACCGGGTCTATGAGGATTGACAAGCAACGGATTTGCCATAGACATTCTAATTCTTGAAAAACACACATCCTGCAATGTAGTCTTAATGGAAGATATCCCATGAAAAGACCCTGTTGGCCAAGGTAATCCTCAAAGCCAAGGTTCATGTAAGGTAATTTACAAAAAGGCCAGTTGATGACCAAGTTTAATTAGAAAATTCTAGAATGTGAGGCTCCACAGTGCTCCCGCTTTGAGCACACTGAGGAGCACATGTACCACAAGCAAGCTGGTGTGGAACCCTGCAGTGCTGTCAATACCTTCAGGTCTACCCCTACATCCTTCATAAACCACAAGGCTCCTTTTCACCAAAGTGGTCAGAAAGCACTCTATCCTAATGACTCTAGATGCCCTCAGAGAACGTACACACCTTAGGGGTACACTCCCCGTGCAGAGGGCTGTGTAACTTTTTAGCCTGGAGCACCAACTGTCTGAGGACCTGCTGGTCTGTACTTGTCAATGAGAGGGGAGAGGCGACAGGTTTAGCAACCTGGTCTCCAAGCCTCCCAACAGCACTGTTCTATAATCTGTTATTTTGTTTTGGCCCAGACAAATATTTAGAATTCCACACTACTACTATGACAGCACATCTAGTGGTGCACATTTTTTTACACCAGTTAGGGTTTTCAGGGACTTCAGGTTACGTTTTATTGGAGACACCTTTGACTCAAGAGTGACAAGATCGCAAGATTGGCTTTGAAGGATCCCATAGGTAAAATAAATTACTGCATAGAACAAATTTAAAGATTTGATTAAGTGAAGGCAAACAGGCCCCTTACTTTCCTTTGAAGCTTGGTCAGCTCACTTTGTGTCTTCAACTGTGCAAATACCTATATAGGTATAGATATTTATGTGTTGTACAGTACTGTTTGTTGTGTTTCAATATTTGAAAAATTGCTAAATTGAAATTAGGCTGGAAGAGTTCATTCCACATTCTAATTTTCAAAATGTGCTAGTACAAACACTTAAGAAAATTAGTTCAGCACAGCTAGAAAATGAAATACAACAAGCCTAACTAGGCTCTCAAAGGAGGAGGGCTCTGGGGATCTGGTCCTTTGTACTAAAAAGGTTGGGAAAGACAATCTAGAATCTTTTGTGGGTAGTGCCGTGATTACCTCTACACAAATTAAAATGAATAATGTATCACTAAAATACACTGTGATGCCCCATGTATGCTAAAACCTCTAATGACAAAATCATCCCGTGTACAGTGGCTTGGGAAAAAGACTAAAAAGACTGGGAAAGATCAGCACTTGGGGATAAGAAAGGTCTCTGATGTTCCCATTCCTGATTCTTCCTACGTGTTAAACAAAGTATCAAAATGTGACTGCAAAACCTACACTCAGCTGTATGGAGAGCATGTGTTTGACTTGCACCTACATGAAAGTTCCCAAAGAACAGGCGGCTAATTTAATTATTCATACAAAATTAAACACTGCAGTGTAAAAGTAACACCACCCTGACTGAACATGCTTGCGTTTTAGTTCACTCCGAAACACTGGACCTTAAGGAGACCTACCTCATCCACAAACCTTTGAAATACACCATGATATTCCACTGTGTTGTCTGCAAATGGTGTGTGATATCATTAAGCTAAATATTCTGAACATGTCTCATTTAATTTGAGGAAATATTCAGCATTCAGGAACAGATTAAATCACATCAAAATCCACTTACCATTCTGGTCCAAAGTTAAGTGTCTGGGTTTCTGCCATTATATTATTTCTTGGAATTCTAATGGGAGGAAAAAGAAACAGTCACCATTTTTGAACAGTGAAATCAACATAACACAATCAAGTTACAACTGCAACTTCAGATAAAGTTATAACAAAATGAATCCCTCTCATTTTAAATATCCAGTCAAATAAGAAAAAATGAAAGGACCCAAGACTGACTGTGGTAATTAACTTTCAATCCAATAATACAATAATACAATAAGACACTTTGTCCAAGGAATGCACAACATATTTTTTGGGTCACTTCAGATCTTATTTAACAATAGCGCAACTTTCCTTTTGTACTTTTTTACAAGGTAAGATTTCCCTAATAGCTGCAGCTCTTGCACATTTATAAATAGACATGTTAATACTAGTAAACACAACCACCAGAAATTACTAGACTGTAATATATGAATTAATATTTACCACAGTAAATACTACTGCTGCAAAGTAAGACTGCAAACAACTTGGCTTTGTTTGATCTAAATGGTTAGATTGATATTCAGAAATCAATATCACATTGCAAAATTAATCTGATAAACAGCAATTACACTGAGTTATATCCGTACAACAAAGTATTTAGGTATGAGATCTGTTTACAACTTGGCAACAGCTGAGGATCTACAAGTTCCTGATTCCAAATACACATCTTATTCTAAGCAAGATCAAATACAAGAAAACAAAAGCTTTCTTAAGGCTCACATTCACAAAGCATAGAATCAACAGAATAAATGCAATTCAAAATACATTAAACCTTGACTAACAATACCCATTTTTAGCCTCTTTTCCCATTCTTCCTCAATATTTTGAAATTCCTAAATCTGCTGGACTATAGAATGGTGAAGAGCACAACACTTTCTCTATAGACTCATGAGATTTGTTAAGTCTTCACAAACACTCAGATATTTCTACAGATGCACTACAGAAAGTATTTGGTACAGTTTGGTAGGGCAATAGCTTAGCTCATGACATAAATAAAAATACAGAAGGTGGTGAAGACAGCTGAGGCCATCACTGACATAGAACTCCCTTTTATGTAAAGGAACAAGTAAGAGGTTTATTCCATGCTGAAAAAAAAGAAGAAAGAGAACACAACGTTTCGGCCGTGGAGCCTGAAAAAGTTGTGTTCTCTTTCTTCTTTTTTCCGGCATGGAATAAACCTATTACTTGTTCCTTTGCAGCCTACGCATGCTGACGCAGCTACCCACCTGAACTACTCCCTTTTATGTATACCATCTTCACTACATGCTGTCTCAGAATCGCAAGTAATATAATCAAGGCCCAAAACTACCCTAGGACTGTACTTTTTTCTATTCTTCCTTCTGGCAGTATAAAAGCCCGGACACCTAGGTTCAAAGAAACCTCAGAGCCAGAAGACTCCTAAACTCCACCTCTTACATCCCAACCCCCACTTACACTCCTGTTTTTGCACTGAACTCAAGATATTGCCACTTCTTGAATTCTGCACACCACTGATATCTAAATGCTGGTTAAAACTATACTGTAGCTGCTACCATGTTCCTGTCTCCAGGAATTGTGGTGTCATTTGTATGTCATTTTCTGTCATTGTTATGTTACATCATTTGTCATGTGAGGTCAACACACAAGTAAGCATTTCATCGTATTTGGGTACGTATGACAAACATGAATGCCCTGTCAAAAAAAATCCACACTATGTACACGAAGATACTGCATTATCCAAAAAATGTCCACTTTCCACATATTCATGCTCTATTTCAAAGTCTTCAGCCAATATACCTTGACTAAACCCATACTGCTGGACACGTCACTCGCTAAATATTCTGCAAGTCAATTGCACAGGTCACAGAACCACAGAACCCCTTTGAATACCGCTGCCAAGGTGAACTGCCACACTTCTGACTGCCTTCCAGACCCTCCTCAAAGTCTGAACAGGTGAGTTCATTTCAAATTCGGTACTTATTCAATACAAATCCTGTCATTCTTGTGCTTCATGTTGTATTGGCTTTTTTCATGATATTGCAATTTCTGTACCTTGTACTGTAAGTTATATTCCCTTGAGCAGTTTATAAACTGTGTGTACACCACCCTACACTACATTTTGGTGCTTCTGTCAATTTGTTGACAGCTCATTCCCTCTAGAAAACTGGCTAAAAAAAAAAGATTATAAAGAATGTGTTCACAAAGCAAGTCCCTCCAATGCACCCGGATGCCCCTACCCGTTCAGTTACCTGCTGAAATATGTATGGAGTTTATACTCTGGATCTTCCGGTCTCCACAGTGCACTCGCGCTTCCCAGTGGGATCCTTTCTCCCTATCCAATGTGCCAAAAGCAGGGCGGTCCCCCAGCCCTCCACACCGTGGCTGGAGTTTCAGTCTCTGCAGCTATTTTAGGAAATCAGAACTGACTTACCCAATTAGGAACAATGTTCTGACATGCCTGTCCCAACCGAGTCAACGAGAGGATTCCCCTTGCAGTGCCCTGGCTCAGTTGGTCTTGGGACAGTGTGTCAAAGTGACCAAGCTCCTAAATGGAGCCTCCTACTACTAATTTGTCTGCTACCACTGAAAGATAACTACGTTTTCATCCTCGAGAGAGCAGAGACTAACAAGTAAGGCCTGGCTTTTCACCCACGTGAATATCTTTGTTTCAGAAACTTTTGATATCAATCAATTTATTATGTGCACTGGAAACATACAAGCAATAAGCCAATTTATACCCGTTTAACTTACTACTCAAAGTAACTGAAAGCTGAAAGTTGTTCCATGTCCCCTCCAAACACAACTCCAAGGACTGAACGCTATTTAGTACTGTACAAAATAAAAAGTCACAGCAACAATGAGGATGACTGCATCACCAGCAGGGCCACTTTTTCCTGAAACACTTAACAGTCACTGTGGATTTTATCTCAGTATCTTTACTACACAAGATTAAAAGAAAATGTAACGAAAAAATCAAGACAAGCCCCCCACTACCAGATAGGTCTTCACAGCTCAGCCACCTGTACAAAATAAAATAGGTCAGCTGGTTACAAGACGACCTGAAAACACACAATTCCCTGATATACCATGCAAACTTCACTCCTTCTGAGATCCAAATGGCTTCAGCTACCACACTTCCTCATTTCCCAGAACATGAAGATAACAGGCCTACTTCCAACAAAATGTGACTGTTTTCATATTCCTTTAGAATATGAAACAGGGTAACCTTGTTGCCATTTAAAAGGACTGAAAGTGGGGGGAGGAGGCCTTCATCCTTTTCCATCTCCCTATAACAGAATTTATTCAAGATGTTTAAGTTGCAAAGGAACAAGCAAGGGTTTATTCCATGCTGAAAAGAGGAGAAACACTGTTTCGGCTGTGGGGCCTGCTTCAGGTGTGTGAGGAAATGTGGAGATGGGGAGCCTTCTTCATCACACCTGAAAAAGGCTCCACAGCCTTTCTTTTCTTCTCTTAGAAGAAACCTTTACTTGTTCCTTTGCAGCCTACGCATGCTGACACAGCTGCCTACTTGAACTATGTCAGATTGTTAAGTTACCATGCAACAAAAACTATTACTCTCATCACAATATGCACATGATCCACTGTTCTGATCCACTTTTTTAACCTACATAAAAGTAACTGTGAGCTCTTTCGGGGAAAAAAACACTTAATGCAAAGATAAAAGTGCCTTTACATTTCTGAAAACAAATGTCTAATTGTAAGACAGCAAAGGCTTTTGAATTCTATCTGTTTTTTTAAGAACACTATACAAGTTAACTTATTTTAATTTCCCAATCTCATTAAGGTCAAATCTCACCCTTTTTATGTCTAAGGAAAATGAAGCTTAACCCAGTTTTCCTTCCATTTGTTGCTCTTCTGCAAGAATTAAATGTGTGGCAAACAATGTAGGGGAAATGTTGCATGTGGACAGACATGGACAAACTTGGGCTGCATGTTAATGACTGGTTAATTCCAGATTAGCAGAAAAGTAGGATAAAAAAACAGCCTTCAAGGAAGTACTACTTTAGAGTAAAGCTCATCAAGGGTAAACTAAACATTAAGAAAAGGTCAACATTAAAAAGGTGAAGGTTTACGTTATGAGCCAGCCTGTCACTCAGATTTCCCACAAACATCCCACTGAAGCGAATCAGCACTTTACTGAGAACACTGATTAAGAGGGGAATGAATCTCACTGCCGTGGAAGAAGGAGGTGGCACATAACCAGGTGTAGAGCTTGCGGGCTGCCACTGAGCACTCAATTATCGCTTTCATGAATGAAATACAAACAGCACCAAACAAAAAGTTCAACCGTTTCACACAACTGTTTGGTAAATGTAACATGACACAACAGCTGCACCCATCAAGAGTTTGTATTATATGAATTCCTAAAGTATTAAAAAGAGTGTATTAATAAAAGGCACTGATTTTGGTAGTCTTTAAACAAATGCCAAGGTCCGCTTTCGGCTAATTTGTAACACTTACACAGATAAGCATAATCATTTTCCAGTTTTATCACTACTTCTTAAATACAACATTAACATCAACATTAATATTAACAGTAAATTTATGTTTCTAGCAAAAAACAAAAGAATGAAATTGTCACTCTATTCTTCTGTTCCAGAATAAATTCATTTTTAATTTTGTATTATATTTTACACTGGGGTACAATTTGAACAACTTATGGTCCCCCCAAAACCTGACAGTCTGGACAGCCTGATGTGTTATTGAAATAAATCATATCGGTGTTTGCATCAGTGGAAGATGGAAAAAATCCCATTTATTTTCAGTACTTTGCCTCACTCCTTTCAGATGAAACCTCCTTGGTCCATTCTGACCTGGGGCAGCAGACCCGACTGAATCAAAATCAAAACAGCTTCACCCGAGATCATCTCATCACTGTACAGACTTCAGCAACTGACCTCACTTCCGAGTCTGACGTTTATGCTTTGGGTCAGGTGGATGTAATCTGTACTCATGTGAACAAGTCTTGCTCTTTTAAAATGCTGGATTGCTGAATGGTCAAACATGACTCCACAAGAAAAAGCAGAACATTTCAAAAGTTTTTCATTTTCATTAACAACAGCTATAATGTTCAAGTCAGAAGTGAAAAGACTTACTAGCACGGGAAAAACAAAATGATCTGAATGACCAGGTAAAACTCCTCTCAACTAAAATGCTCACTCTATAGTGATATATATATATAATGGTGTTTTCTGCAGGATGGAGACAGCAATATCCTTCTATAACAAAGTTAATGAACTCACACCTGGTATCATTTTAGGCTCATGAAACATCAGAATTTTCAGCTTTCTTGGTCACTGAAGCTTCTGAAGCCAAAAATGCTCCAACAGCCACCTCTCTTTTCAACCTTGTGCAGATGCCCCTGCTTTCAATATATTTGCTGTGTCCTGGGTATTTCCATTTTTGTAGCCAACACCTTTGGTTTTAAGTCAGCTCTATGTTCTTATGGGGTGTGTACAGCAGCTGCCGAGTCCCCTGGGTAAGAGTGGGGTTCTCGTGTGCACACACTCAAACTCACCTCAACGTCTCACTTTTTGAGCACTGTTCTTGATGGAAAAATGGGTTTCCCTTTCCGGGGGGATCCCACTCATCCATAACGATAAGCTCAGTTTGGAGCAAAAAAAAACTCCTCTGATATAAAAGCAACTCATTTTAATGGGAAAAGATACCTAATAAGATTCTTTGAGCAGAACATAGGGTGGAGATGTAAAGTGATGATAGTTATACATATAGTTGATTGTAAGCCTGCAAATTACATTAGCAGAATTTAAAATCTAAAGGAAGGTTCTGTGCCTTATGAAGGTCTTTCGATTTTAAGTGCAGAAATGTATAACACCTGCAAAAGTGTTGTTTGAGCACCCTGCTAATAAAGAGCTTGACTAAAGATACTACAGGTTTTTATAGATGAAAGGAGAGGAACCATCCAGCCACCCACCAATTATTAACCACTTCTTCCACTTTAGGCTCCGGCTCCCCTGCGACCCTATCTCAGCAAGCAGGGAGGGCAAGGCAGGGTACACCCTGGTCACGGCGCCAGTCTATCACAGGGCACACTCAGACACGTGTTCACTCACACCAGGGCCAGTTTTCCCCAGAAACCAATTTACCTAACCTTCCACAATTAACTTGTTTTAGAATGGGGGAGAAAAACAAAGCAGAGGAAACCCGCACAAACACAGGGAAAACAAACTCCACAGAGGAACTGAACCTAGGACCCCAGCACTCCCAGGCAGTAATGCAAACTGCTGCTTCACTGTGCTGCCTATAGAGGAACCACTGGGAGTAAAATAACTTGACCAACCAGGTGATGAGTCTGACCCCGCTGCCTGTAGTAAAAATTGTATAATGTGTACTTATGAAACAAAAATGGCTTCTGGATAGCCTGTGTATCAGTTACCACTGTAACCAAAGGGCAACTCTGGCCTTATAATTGCTTCACTTGTGTTTTGATTTCTCATTTTCTGAATCTTACAGGAGAAGGCAGACACTAATAATCAGTTTCTCCACATTTACTCTTGTCTTAAAAAAAAGAACAGAAAATGAGTGTCTGTATATGGGGGAGTGAATCTGCTTGTTTCTGTTTTTAGAATTTGTTCAAATTTGGAAGGTAAGAGATTTGCAGTAAAAGACTACCACACTGCCTACGCTGTAAATATGCCTTGTGTGAATGCCAACATTCATTGCAATGTTAAAGAGATAAAATCATTTTAAATCAGCAACTTTTTGAAAACACGTCCTTTTTAGATTTCTGAAAGGACCTCCAAGAACACACACAGTGTACAGGAACACAACACAACACTGGTCCCAATTGTTCACTATGGACAAACTGTGGGCAGTCTGCCTAACTAATGCAATTACCAAAGAGTGGGCGGATTACCCACTGAAAAAAAAAAAGTTCTTAGTCTACAGGTTTCATTTGATAAACTTCCAGAACATATTCTTTATAGACTAATCACAAGTAGGGACTCATGCGTGATCACCATAAGGTTCCTAAACTTAAGAAATCAGAATTTGAATCCACATGCAAGAAAGGGCAGCAGGTGCACAAATTTCTCATTCCAGCCTCGGCGAAGTAGTGATGAAAAATAATACAGGACTCTTTTGAGTCCCTGTAACCGGTGACAATTAATACGTTCAGTCCAATTATATGCCCTGTCAGTCAAACGCAAAGAAAAGAATATTTGGTAAGGGTGTCATTCATTGATTTAATGACACCTGAGAGACAAACAGCCTTGCCCTCCGCCTTGACAGAAACAGAGTCACCTATTAATAGATAAGCACCTTTTTGATGTTTTTGCACATACATGTCTTTCTGAATCCACACAGAGACAAAAGAGACAAAACAACTGCATTTATATAGCACTTTTGATCATAAAGGATTCCATATTGCTTTATATATTTATGAAACGGGTCCCTTTGTCCGCCACTTAGGTGACACATTGAAGCCCCAATACACAGCAGATAAAGGGGAGGTGTAGGACTGTCAGGAGACTGGTGTGCCCTGAGACGATGATTTGCAAAACACTGGTTCAAAGAAAAAAGTGCCACCTACTGGCCCACTGACACCACCTGCAGCAGCAACATCGATTCCCATAAGGATCTCTACTGACCACTCTGCCTTCCGAGATCTAACAAGATCAGACCATAAAGAGGTACAACGGCTTAAGTGTTTTAAGTGTGTATACATATAGAAACAGTTACAAAAGAGATAGATGTTGCATATTGATATAAATTAATGAGAATACTCTGTGGTGCAGCTCCTCTCCTTTATCAAGGCAGAAATGTACCTACACACTCTGCAGCCTTGATATAGAAGATCACAGCCCATTCTTGGCACAGAATCTGCTGGGCAGTCCCAGACAGTAATGGGAGGCTTCTGCAAGGTAAACTATAACTCGATACGTTTTCTCTAGAAGGAATGCCTGCCTGCCCGTGCCAATGTTTGCCTGCCCAATGTGCCTGCATTTTAACAGAAGATGCTGCCCAAGCTTCAGCTCACACATTCCCAGCAATGCAAATATGAAAAAGGTCAGAGGCTTCCCCCTCCCAGCCGGGCCCCTGCCAGTCCCCAGACTTCACCTGCCCCCAATAAGCACAGGTGAGCTGTCCTCAACACAGTCCTTGGCTTAAACCCTCAGATACAGATTCTATACCGGGAACCCCACAGACCTGGACTGCTAAGCACATCCACACATTATCTCCACCTTCCATGAGACAGAGAGCACCACAAAGTACAGCACTCTGCCATAATTCTCTAATGCTCCGTAAACCCACTCAGTAAACAGATGTTCTTTCAGTATATCTGACAGTCCTGTCCTGGCAGTTAAATAACCTAATGCAGGTCTTTGAGAGCCCACGCGGTTGAGATGCGTGGCTGTAAATGACCTCATGGAACAAACAAGTTGTAGCCCTATTATTGCTTCACCTTTCTATATGAAAAACATCACTGATGAGTCACCAGCTGTAGATTTTTAAATCTACTTTTAAATTTTAACAGTCAACGATTTGAAAGTCGCAATTTAAAGCTGAAGACAAAAACTCAAAAAGACTTGCTCAGAGCGAGGCGATTCCTACACAGTTAAAACGCTAGGTGGTAAAAAAAAATCAGCTTCCCGATAAAGTTCAGAAGAGACAAAACTACCAAATACTTTTACAGGGTGCACGTACATCAGGGCACGGCTGACAGAAAGCCTCGCGAAAATATCCGCATGGGAAACTTGTGCTGCGTTCAGAAAAATCCGAGATTCTCACTCGCGTAAGAAAAAAAAAGTATTTAAAAACACAGCATTTATTTCTACACTGTATGTAAACGGGAGTCATCCCTCGAACCACATTCGACATCACCATAATGCATCAGAGGATGAAAGCCTTTTAAAGGACGAGCTGCTTAATAAAGAAACGACTCGAGAAGAGTGGGTACGAATAAAAGTGGGTATTTTAAAGTTTCCAGCTCAGGCGTCGGGGTGCCCCGGTAGGCCACCTGGAAAAGCGCTCCAGTGCAAACTGCAGTTTCAAACTGTCTTGTCATTGCAGAATCCAGAGCAGCTACTGGAATTCGTGGAGGCATTGTGTGCTCTGTGGGCAAACTGTCACAACTTTTTCGTCAGGACTTCCCTCCCCCAGCCTCACAAACAGCACCAGTCCGACCACCTTCATCGACCACAAAATACCACGAGCAAAAGACACTTCGAAACGAGACAAACAGATAGTCCCCAACTGTATGAAAGTACACTGACACGCCAGTTAATCCCTAACCGACCCCCTCCCCTCCCCTCGCTATCACTCTCCTGAACCTTCCGTGCGGCCTAGCAGCCTGCCGCCACACCCCGTTTTCCTGCCGTTCCAGGGCGCCTGAAGTCAGCCCCGACACGGCACCCCTACCACACTCGAGCCCGCAGATACACGGCCACTCAACCATGCGGGTCCCGAAACCGGAGCAAATTGCTTCCGATCAACTGGGGACAGGGATCAAGACGATAGTGACATGTTCATTTTAATCGTCTAGGTTTATTTAATAACAACAGCTACAATTTCCACCGCGCTGTCTTACCTCTGCTTTACTAACAGTGCAGGGTATCTATGCGAGCTCTCTGTCTCCCTTCGTTTCCACAACAAGATGGCTGAGTTCAGGTCACATGATCACATATAACCCACTAGGGACCCGGATGGTTTGGGATTATCAACCATAGACGCTCTTTCGCTATGTTCAATTACCACGTCTCAAGGAGACCATAGGATTTAATCACTTTTAGTGCACTGCTGTACTACAGACAAAAAAAAAATCCCATTTAGAGGCTGCATGTTCGTGTTAAAATATATGTTTATATAAAAATTAAGGTTCCTAATTCAGTCGTATTCATGAAGTTTCAGTATTTATAATGGTGTTTTAAAGTTTCACTTTTGAACTTGAATTCGAGTGTACGTTGGATTTCTCACAAAGTCATCTTAGTTGAAAATGTTAAGAAATCTAGTTAAATATAGTTGCCTTATTTATTTCATTATTATGAAATACCTGAATCAGAAAGTGTTTGACATTAAACTCAAGACCATTGTCTTAGTGCCATTTTCCAACATCATGTTATCAAATCATGCTTGGATTGTTTTAAAAAGTGCCAGTTTGGAGTGGAACCATCTCTCGTTTCTTGTGAGAATGGGAGAGATCTGGACTACAACCAATTTGTTTTTACTAATTCACGATGAATGAATCAATGTCCTTTGGCTCTGAGTGGATTAGAAGAGACCTTACAATTTTGGGCTCCTGAACTTTGTGGTTATTCTCATATTGGCCTCATAATCCCCTCTCTTGGCAGAATCAGCTATCCACAAACGTCAGGACTGCACTATCATTATCCTTATGGTGTCTCCTCTGAGCCCACTGCTCAAAATGTACATCATGTGATCTGACTCTCTGCTTTTTAAACTATTGTCACCAGAGCTACGTCTAGACATCCAAAACAGATCTTACTCAGGCTCCTTTTGGTCTACAATATGGTGACTGCACATTATACTACAAACATTTCCTGTTTGTTCTTTTTTTCTCAGACGATTGGATATAGTGCTTCTTAGTGTTTATACACTTCACTGTGTGTATACTTACAACACAAGTCACATTGGATAAAATTGTCATCCAGACCAAGTGTGTTGTCAAAGTTTTTAGCTCAGACCGGACTCATCCAAATTATTTTGTGAGAGAGTAAACCATCAGAAGGAAATCAACATTGTCTTATTATTTGGTTATTATTTATTCAGTTGCCTTATTTAAAGTAGGATTTAGTCTTGGTGGGGGGGCCAAAACAAAGGGAACGCTATCCTGCTCATCTTAATCATGTATTAAATAATTTAATAGATCAGCGCTCACTGTTCTGCCAGTGGACGTTTTAATCTGAAATTCACATTATATAATTAAGGAGAACAGCAATATTAATAATCACCTTCAAACTCCAATGCAGTAAGTTGATTCTTTATTATAAGGGATTGCTTGAAGAGTTGTCATAAAACCCGATAATGTTACAGACTGTTATTTAAAACACAATGCCTTGTTTAAAAAATGTTTCACAGCAAACACAGAAAATCAATTGTTTTTAGACTGGCCCGAATTGCAGACTTGGCAGAGATGAGATTAGAGAAGTTGAAAAGAGGTTCCGGGCTTTGTGGGCATAAACATTTTTCAATTTCCCATGCTTGAAAGGTGTTTGACTTGGTGGCACAGTGGTTGGCGTTGCGGCTTTGCAGTGCTGCATGGAGCCCTGCTTTTAATTTCAGACCTGGGGTGCTATCTGTGTGGAGTTGGTATGTTTGCCCTGTGTTTGCATGGGTTTTCACCAAGTGCTCCAGTTTTCTCTCACAGGTACTGTAAGTTAATTGCCTGCTGGGAAAACTGGCCTAGGTGTGAGTATGTGTATGTTTGTGTCTGTGTGTATCCTGCAATGGACTGGCTTCCCATACAGGAGGTACTGTATTTTGCCTTGTGCCCGTTGCTTGCTGAGCTAGACTCTGGCTCCCCCCGTGACTCTGAATTGGATAAAGCATTTCTAAGAAGGATGGATAAAAGACATTTCTCAAATATTTGAATACCCACAGATAGTGTACATACACGATGCGCACAGCATATCTCTTTCCTGAAATGTTTTTGTTGGGCCTTTGCCATAATATTTTCACCTTTGTTTCAGAGTCACTCAGTAGAGTGATGTGTGTCTTCATGCAGTACCTCTGTGCACGTTCTTGAATTCTGTGTAATCTTGAGCTCTCCCTCAGAAAACACCACTGATCTTGCCCCAGATCCAGAACACAACTGAACAAAAGCTAAAATAAATCATCAGATGAGGTTGTTGATGTTCTTGCACTTCAGACTATCCCAGTAATCCCTTAAACTAGAATTAGGTACCTGTTGGTCCCCTTCCATGACCCTTCCATGTCCTTCAGAGGGCAGCCACTGGAAAGGATATTCCATTTGCTGATCAAAGAGTTCATGTTGTATCAGTCTGTGTGCTCTGACCACAATAGTTAACACACCTTCAGAGCCCTAATGATAATTCTTTTAAATAAATAACCCAAAGCAAAAAAACAATCTGATTTAAAAAGGGTATAACCTCACAGAGGTTAATGGAGCTTACCATAATATACAGTTGCTCTGATTTGAACTCCTGTAGGAATGTACTGTATGCTGTAACTAACTGTACCTACATTTACCTCTGAAATATTACTGAATATTAGTCACTATGGTCATTATGGTATTTCTGTTAAGGTATCAGTCCAGAGAAGAGGAACCAGTTATTGTGAAGGTCTTAAAGGAAGGTCATGCTAAGTGACAAAGTCTAGCAAATGAATGTCTTCAGTATAAATAGGAAAACACAAACCACAGGTTGAAAGTGAAAACTACCTGAAAGGAGGCATTTCTTTACACAAAGGGTTGGAAGAATCTCGAACAAGCTACCCAGTCATGTAATTCAAGCTGAAGCTCTGTCTTATTTCAAGTACTGGTTGGATGAGATCCTGAAACAGTTTGTTGCTAACCACTAAAAGGACTAGTTGGGCTTAACTTGCATTACTTGTACTTTAATCTGGGTATTTCATGGTGAGCAGAATTCAAAAACAGAAGAAAAATTCTCCATCAAGTCATTTCCTGTGTTAGTCTGTCTGCTTCAGGCAGCAGGTTTCACATGTGAATGCAAGTTTTTAAAAGCCAAATGCTCTCTATTCATATCTGAAATAATGTAGATAACTTGGAGTTATCTACAATTATTTCTGTTAAGGGTCCAGTGTTGAAACTCCTCATTTATTTGTTCATTTCAGTTGGCATTGCATGGGCTACTTTATACGAGTTTCTGCCTGGCCCAAAGCTCTGAAGCCTTGAGAGGCACCACACACTAGTTATGATTTCTGTTCTATCGAAGAAAACCTCTGGAAGTAGCAAGACAGCAGGAAACAATCTATTTTTCCCCAGCATTCATCAATGAAAAACTGTTGTAGGCTATCTTTTGCATGATGTTCCTGTGGGCAGGGCACTCAGTAGTTGAATGGGATTTTTAGAGATATTTAATTGGTTTAGGGTTTCTGTTTACCAGCAAATATTGATTTATCAGAACATTTTCCTCAGCTCCAAAGTAAGGTTGGGATGTGACTGTTCAGACTGTGGGAAGTGCAGTTGAATTAAGCTTTACCAACACTGCAGAGTCTCAATCTTTCTACACAGTGTTTTTGCAAAGAGTAAGCAGCTGTAATGTGACCAGGTAAAAAGGATACAGAAGACAGAACTAAATTTCCATTTATTTCAGAAAAATACAATTGTCTAATTTATTTTTTTCAGCTTTATTACACAAACATTAAAAAATAAGTACTTCTTGGTCATTAATTAAACATGAGAAACACCCAGTGTGATTATTGAGTCAAACATTATAATATCATAAATATTACATCTACTATAATAAAAGCTTAAAATATTCTTAATAATAAGTCCTCAGCTGGGATCACATCCTCCAAAACAGCAAAGAAAACTGAAGAAGACAAGTGTTAAAAGACCCATCTGGTCTCTCAGATAAGACTATCTACACTTTAGCCCACAAATGCTGGATTGTTAACTAGGGCTGTGCAAGATGTTTTGCGTTTGTAACAGTTCCTTTCAAACATTTCTGTAAGATTCAGAGGTTTCCAAATTTTCCTTTTAACCAGTGTCATGACAACTCATTTTCATAAAATAAGGGCAGATGGATTTTGTTAAATTGGAGGTTTAGTCTGTTCAAGCTGAACAAATCTTTTTGGAGCAACGTACGGCATTTTCCCCATTATTAAATATCATTTCATTTATACAGTTTATTTTATAGAGCTTTGGGATGGCTGTCTTTACACAGGAGAATTCTAAAATGATTTCCTTGAAATAATGTACAACAGAGATGAGTAGAAACCCATGTTTTAAAAGTCAGCGGATGTAATACATCCTGTTAATTTTATAGAAGAGAGACATGGTCACTCATGGTCAGCTGGATGCGTCAGTTCGAACCAGAAGCAGAAAGGCAGCTTGATGAAAAGTTGAGGATCATTTACTCTCCACTGGTTTAAGCAAAACCCCTTCATTACCCCACCAGCTATGGGAGAAACAGTAAACCTCTCCAGTAGCCTGACCATGAGCACACCCACACTGACAACTCCCCTTCACTAACCCAGGCTTCCCCAAATATCTCCAGCAACTTACCATGCTACTGGTCTGACAAGAAAATGTACATAACCAATACTTAATCAGCTTGAACTTTTTACTAAAACATTTTATCCCCCAGATTTTGCATATTTTAGTTCAGATATAGCATGCGAGCTGAGCACTGCTAGAATCACGAGGGCTCAATGCCAGAACACTACTCCTCTGCTTTAGAGATCGGTCCCTTTTTTATAACCATGACTGAATGTCTCACCATCAGTGTTAGTCCGATAAATATAAAGGAATAAAACATTAGACTAGATTAGGCTACAACTAACCAGTATTTTCACAACTACAAAGCCTGCTTTATGTAATGTTAAGAAAGAGATTTGAAGTGATCATTTCCTTGCTTACACTGTGCTAACGTATAAAAGATTTTACCTTATTCCCATACGTTAATGTTGTCACAAGTTTGTTCAGTGAAGCTTTTAAAATACTTCTCTAAGTACTGGAGTCTCAGGTCACCCGTATGACAGTTTCACATCCGTTTTGGGAATAAAGAACCCCTGAAATAACAGTTTTGGTTTATACTAATTCACCATGCTCACCAAAATATTTAGAATAAGATAGGGGAAAAAATTGAATTTCTTACACCCACGTTAACGGTGTATTCAGTCTTTAAAAGCACAGAGGGGTTTCTTTACTCTCAAGCTCAGCGTGTGCAGCACCGCAGCTAGGGGGTGTCTTTCAGAGTGGAAGTGGCTTCTCCTCTCAAGGCAGCCCCGAGAACGACCAGCAGACACTGCTCCACCGGTCCGACGCTTCAGGGCCGGGAGAACCGGGGGGCCGGGGCTCAGGGGCTGAAGGCGGACTGCAGCTCTCTGAAGGCGGCGCGGCGCTGCTTCTTCTCCGCCTCCTGCCGCCTCTTCTCCTCCTTCTCCTCCCGGAGCTCGGCCTCAAACCTGCTGCCGGCGGCCAGAGCCTGCACCTGGACAGGAAAGCACCGCACAACGTTGGCCTTCCCGTCTCTGCCCGGACAAGTTTAAAGAGCAAACCATTGCAGTTCCAAGTTACTTATTTAAGGGATAACTAGAGAAAATACAAGCTGCGAAACACCGACCAGAGGGGCAATGGTGGAAATGTATTCTGCATTTAGAACGAGTATGGAACAAGCCGCCCAGTCTCATTGTTACAGATGCTCACAGAGTCACTATCAGCACCTCTGAAAAGTACTTTTTTTAATTAATTCAACATGGAACACAAATTATGTTTTATTTTTCCCACACTGTTATTAGTGCACTCTTCCTGCTGTTCTTGACCTTTTGAAACTAATGCAGGGCAGTGAGAACTTCTTCCCACTGAGTTCTCCAACACCTGCTGTCTTAGCTGCCATTCAGCCCATCTAGCCTATGTGATCTAGCTAACTGACCAGAGGATCTCCTTCAGCTTTCTTGAAGAAATCAATGTAATGACTTCAGCAACATGGCTGGGTTGCTTGTTTCATTCTCCCACAATCCTTTGTGTAAAGTGATAAGAAGAGCGGAGCAACAAGGCTATCAAAGCCAACTCAACACCCTCCTCCAATTGCAAAGGAGCTCATCGGATTGACTGATGACATAGACCACGCTCAATCTCGTATTGTGTAGCCCCTTAAAAAACCCGTATTAGCTGAGGTGCTAAAACGGCCACCATTTTAACATTTATAAGCTATATTTATATATAATCAATCATATCCCTAAAACTGACCGGGATTAGACCAAGAAACTGTGCCTAAAAGTATCTGTGGCTATTGTTTTGACATCTAAATTATAGTAACTATCATTGACTTGTTTTCTGTGTACATGCTTAGTCTATTAAAAACAAAACTAGAACATAAATTTAGAAAAACAAAATCAGCACCGTGTCGCCATAATTTGGACCGAGTTCTATCTTCCTGGATACAAATGTCAGCATAAGGTTTTAAAAACTGACAAGATTTCGAATTTGAAAATAAAACAGATAAAACCAAACAATTTTATTTCATACAGGTCTTAATAAAACGAGACCAAAACTAAGTGACCGTTAGTTTAGATTTCCGTGCAGCAGTACTATTTTCTGCCACTAGAGGGCAATGCCGCCCTAAATTAAAAAAAACTTTTTTGACTATTTTTTAAGTTATGATAGATTTCAATGAACAGTAGTAGAATTCTGCACAGGCCACCACAGTAAACTTCAAAGCTGAATTCAGTTGATGTATTACTAACCCCATTTCAAAATTGTAATAAATGGTTAACACTGGCTTTGTCCTTTGTTGCACAAGGAATAAATCCCCAAAACCCACAAAGGCGAAACTCACCATTGATCAGTGATTTCCAGATAAACCCTCCCTTCCCTAAACTAACCTGCAAGGCTGCTGGGTTTGTTATGTAGGAGAAAACGGGACCGAATCACTCCACCTTTCTGGCTTAAGCCCAAAGCCAGCATCTGCAGATCACTATTTCAGTTTCAGAAAGACCTTCTTCAGATTGAAACACTGTGCTTCAGATGTTGCCTCGAGTCAAATTAAGAGACTTTAAAGAACACATTAGTAAATACTGAGTATCTTTGTCTGAGTATCATATCAATACTTCACACAGGGTTTCACACTAGGTTGTCTTTTGGTTTTGACCATGATTAAAGTAGACAGGGGGTGGCTAGCACTGTCCGGACAGGGAGTTTCTTGCCCCCTGGTACCTTGGCTTCGAAGAAGTCGCGCGCTCCCAGCACGCCCTCCGCCGAGACGTCGATCTCGGAGAGCCTCGCCAGCGCCAGCAGGCCGCTCTCCTCCTGCAGCTCCCCCGCCGCAGCCTTCTGGAAGATCAGGAGGAACTGCGGAGACAGAAGCGCCAGCACCGGCCTGTGACAAACATACAGAGGACTGGTCTGGCCTTTCACTAGCACCTCAGCTACGGGACTAGCACAATCAGCCTCTGGACTGGCTTAACCTCAGGAGGGCCGTCGGAGTCTTCCACGTCTGAGGAGCTGAGAGAGGCACTCGGTTTAAGTCACGTTTTGCCCAGTTTATTAAACACCACTAATGCTAACAGATAGGAGATGGTGAATGCTGTTGGAACTAAAATGACGGCCCTCCAGGAACTGGTTCTGAAGTCTCTGGTTCAGTCACACGAGTTTGTGTTCGTTATCCATCACCACTTCGGATCAAGAAGGTGTCCTTTGAGCACCTCTAAGACACATCACTAACATTCTGAAATCATTTGGGTAGACGGTGTGTGTGCTGGGGTGGGGTTGATAGCAATATATGTCTAGCAATACAAAAAAGATTAAAAAAGAAGTAACCGTATGCTTGAGAAATAATGCATTCAAACAATAGCAGGCTGCAGTTTTATTACATTAGATGTTTAGACAGAGAATGCAGAGAGAAAATGGAGAGGCAGCGCCAGAGTTACCCAGTAGAGAGTGGGGAAACAGTCTTTGTGCTTCTGTTAAGCTGCAGCTGTCACCCGCCAATGTGGGGGAGACTTGGAGGGCAGTGAAGGCAGTGACCACCTGTTTACATGAGCAATGTGCCTCCATACTGGTACTGTACTGCTGGAATCTGGGAAGAGCACAGGACAGCACTCGTATACCCAGGGCTGGCAGCTACGAGCCATTCAATTTCAATTCAGATGCACGCATCCGATATGGGCTTCAGCTGTGCTCTGAATGACTTAATTGGACCAATTAGACTAAACTGCTGTGAGGGCTGTGACTCAGCCAAGAACAAATTCTTCTCATTTTTATCAAGGAGGCAGGGATTAGTGCAGACAGCCAAACATGAGATAACTGGACAAGAACAGAAATTTCAGATTTCTGTGAACCATCTGCGAGGATATCATCCTAAAAGAATATTTTACAAACTACAGGGAAAAGACAAGAAGCTACATCTTTACAGCTTTGTGAGGGGTCCTGATTTTCTTCATATTTCTAAAAGTCTGATAAGGATAGTAACTCTGACACTGGAAGATATACCTAGCATCTAGGAGGCTCAGTGTACCATTGGAGAAAAAGGACTGTCATAAGAGGGTCAAAGTTCACACCAGGGCTTGCAACAGACTCAGGATGTGTTACATACAGTCGCCTCATGTCCTGTCCTTCGGGGAATATGGGAAATCAAGTCTTTTTAAGTCACTCTGTAGTGACAGCTAATCTGAAGTTGCTTTGGCTTTTAATCATATTCTTATAGTTAACTACAGGCATCACATGTCTTGAGCAACCCTGAAAAAATAACTTCCATACAAAGTAAGTGCTGTGTTAGGACAGGAATAGAAAACAAATGAACTAACTGCTGTCCCTTAATCCTTCCACCTCCTGCCCAGCCCAGAGCTCTGAAAAACGTTTACAACAGTGCCAGTTCACCTCTCGGAAACTCAGCTTGCCATCAAAGTCCTCGTCCACCTCCTTGATCATGCTCTTCAGGCCCAGGTGGGTCTGAGGTGCCCCCAGCTTCTCCATCATCATCTTCAGCTCCATCAGGTCAATAAAGCCGTCTTTCCCAGAGTCATACCTAACCAGGGGGGAAACACAACCCTTGTAAAAGCAGGTTTTCCAGCCAGCAATCCACACTCACTCCAGAGCAATACTGAGAAAACAGTGTGTTGTCTCTGAGAGGACCTTGAGATGAGGAAAGGCTCATCTGTAGAGGCTCCCTTTATCCTGAGCTCTGAACAAAACAGGTAGGTGTTAACAGGTGTTTGAGCACAGAAAATGACCAGCTGCATTTGACACATATTGTTATTTCAGCTTTGAAATAAAATGTTAAATCTCTAAGTGCTAAAACTATGCCAAGGTAGGATATTTAAATTTGATCAGTGAACTGCAGTTATGTGGTTCTGAACAGATGGGACAAGAACAAACCGAGTACAAGGTGGAATGGGGAGGTAGTACTTTCCAATAAAAGGCACAATGAAATTAGACCATATGTGGCTGAAATACCATTTCAAAGGACTGTGGGAGAAAACTCATGTGAACACGGCGAGAACTTACAAACTCCACACAGGCCTGGAATTTAACCCAGTTTCCCTGCATTGTAAGGCTAACAATGCTAACCACTACATCACCATGCCACCCAAGTTCACAAATATGTTTTTAAAAAGGTCTCAGTACTCAGAGGACATTTTTGGCTTTAATCAAAGGCCGGGTCCTAAATGCTTTCTTGTCCCCCTGAGGTGTTGGTGAACAATAACACCGCTGCCCAAACAGTTCCAGTCTTGGCAAAGCAGAACATGGCACCACCCAGAGAGAGGAGGTTAAATATGTCAGCAAGCATTGTTTCACATGCAAAACCATGGATGAGGACAGGCCAGATTAGCATTAGTTTAGTTTCTATTTCTAACCAGGGCAGAAGAAAAGCAAGATATCATCAACAACAAGTCCAGCCAGACACTAAACATTATGCACATTTCCTTGTTGACTTATTTCTGTCTGTATGCCTACTTTTCTGTGGGTCACTGCCTCTAGTTTTCCTCAGTCAGACACAGAAGGAGAGAAAACTAGTGCTCCTTTAGGAGCTCTGAAGCTGAGGACCTTCAGACCGAAGGTTTCCAGATTCTATGGCAAACCCTGAGTAAATGGTGACAAGTCTGGTAGAAGCTGTAAGATGCCTGGAGCTGACAGCAGGAAACACTGACTGACATGTCTGTGTGCTGTGACAGCCATTCTGAACGTACTACATGACAAACAGCAGCAGCATTTCCAATTCTGGTGCCTCAACACTAAATGAGTGAAATCCCTGTAAATCCTGAAACTCGTACCAAGTGTTCACACGAGTGGAGACACTCTCAAGGCCCACTCATATTTCTGCTAGGAAGCAAATGCAAGAATCAGAACTTACGATTAGATTCACTGACTGAAACGACCTTCAGTTTAAGTGTCTGGCCTGTCATGAGTGGTGAAGGTGAAAAAGGACAGGGCCTCACAGTCTCACATAAGGACCTCCTTCATCTGATGCTGGATTGATGGCAAAGACATACCTGCAGATGGTCAGATGTCAGAGTCATTTCTCACATCTCGGCTCTGTGAAACGGTCTCCTCGAACCTTAGTGCTTACCCCAGCAATCCGAATGAGGGAAACGTCAATCCACTTCTTTGTATGCATGGCATTTCAAAAGCAATGGCAATGTAGAGTGAGTTAGTGGCCAGACAGCCAGCTGAAGGTTTCTGGGATGGCTAGGCAGATCACTGCTGAACATCCAGAACATTGACGTGTTTGCCAGCCACTGGTATTGTGGTGTTGTGGGTCATGAGAAGTAACTCACTGTTTTCGCAGACCAAAGAATTCCCTATTACTCACTTAGTAGTTGATCAAATCTCCCAGATGATGATGGGTGATAATGCAATTAGAGATACTGGAGCATATTTAATCCACGTTAAATGTTAGACATAGCCGAAGTGGACCACCTCTCGCGTCATGCACATCCTGCTTTATGCCAATGTGGGAGATATGTTTTTTCAAAATGGATTTGGGGAATACAGGCTTGGGACGTTTGACAATGTCTGGTGGTGGGAGAAACAGGAGTTTAGATGCAGAAAGGATTGTCTCATACTGTAAAAAGTTCTTCCAAGTGTCTTTTAACAATGGAGAGCGTAATGTTTTCACGGTGATGGCCCTATTCACCTGCCTGCTGGTTTGAAGAAGGCCAAACACTTGTCAGCTGACAGGGCCACAGCTATCGCAGGCACCGCTGGTGCTATTGCTTGGGGGACACATTTAGGGGCCCACCCCATTATACAGTTTAGGTACGAAGCTTCCAAGTACTGCCCCCCCTAAAAAAAAAGTACAGTCAAAAACAAAAATCAACAAAGATATAAAGAAAGGGGGTGTTGGCTCACTTTTATCCCTTTTCAGAAAGCAAAGCACAAAAGAGATCACAGACTGGGGTCTGTTTTATTTTTTCTTTGCCACAGAGTTTGCAATGAGGGGAGAGGGGTTCAGTGCAGGTTTGTACCCGCGGGTACTTCAGCCTCTGTCATGAGCCTAGTCTTATCCAAGACGCCCAGGACATCAGGTTGTACACAGCTGTTCCGCGTCACTGTGAAGAATCAAAGGAAAGCCGTTTGTCTAGCTCTCCGTTTCATGAAATGGCTGGCTGAGATGCTCAGCTCAACTGGCGAATCCCAATGAAACAATAAGAATAATGATAAGAGTGGCCTCCTCTCATTTGTAACTTTTCACAGGTCCCAAGTGACAGGCAGACGTGGAGATAAAGTAAACAGACATGTGCAGATTAGCCCAGGAGGACTGTGGGAATGTGATCCCTCATGGGGACGACGAGCATGGCCATAAGGAGTGCTGAGGAGCTCGAGTGTAAATAGCTCCTTTCACACAGTTATGAGGGCAGGGTTGCTGAAGGTGTGTGTATGTGGGGTGGGGAGGGAGACAGTGAGTTCAGAGCAGCTGGTGGAGGGGATGGAAGAAAGCCTTCCTTTCAAAACGGCAACACCCAGCCCCTCAGTACCAAGCACTGGGGCAGCTTTGTTCTGCTCCTTTCCAGAGCTCGACAGCTGCAGCAACAACTGCAGGCAACTGTCCCCCTACTGCGCATACGCAGCCAGGCCAAAGGTCACCAAGACACAGACCTTCACGGGCTCAGCGCCCTGGTCTCGAGATGCTATGACTTCTTGTTGGACGCATTGGAAAGCTCTCACTGTAAACATAAAATAAACACAGATTACACACCGCAAGAAATATTTCAAATAACTCCTTCATCTTGTAATTCTTTGTCTCCATTTTCTTTACTTCTTCTCTTTCGAAATTGCCACATACATGCCCGTTAGCTTGCTAATCCCTATCTGAGAAGCAGGCTATTTTTGTGCCTTTTCGTGAAAACCGCAGTCTTGCTTTACGAGGACACGTGCCAGTGACCCAGTTTTGGAGTCAAAACTTCGAAGGTCAGAAATGGCTGGGAAACCTGGGAGGCACAAAGACCTTGTTCACAAGTGGGAAAGACCGTGGGGTGGGTCCGCAGCTGCCAAGGGCATGCCCTCTGCCCGCCTGGCACATTCTACCACACCCACAGCTGAGCCAGACGCACCAGCAGAGAAGGCACATTGTTCTCGGAGGGCTAAACCCACAGCAAGCCCAGAATAGCAGGCAAACACGTCACCGCTGTCTTCGGAATTCAATGGCCTATTTTTGAATGCACTTTGTCTTGTGCATGTTTGAAAACTGGGTGCCCTTTTTTCTGGAAATGAGGTTAAACCAACATGGCCCATTTCTACCACACTTCTGCAGGCATGTCTGATGTGATGACATTCCAGGCCTTTGAAGTGAGGTCCCCGAAGGGCCGCCCTTGAGAATTCCAATTTCGGAAGAACGGATTTGGGAGAGAGTTCGCAAACAATACACGCTCAAGCCATTGGGAATATAGATTCCTCTGGGAAGTACAGGCTTGCTCCCCAGAAATTGTAATTAAAACACCAAAAAAAAGCAGATTGATGGGGGTCCTTTCTTTGTATGGTGCATGTGTTGATATACTATGTACAGTATGTGTCAGTACAGTACATATTTTTTCTTTATTTGTAAGAATAAATGGAAATACATTTTTACTCAGAACATGATCACAATCATCATATGCACATCTGACATCGTAATCAGCCTGAAAAGATGTGAAAATGTGGGGTGGATTCAAATTCCGTTAGTAGGTTATTTGTTTTTTTGGGGAAAACCGGCCCTGTTGGGTGTGTTTGTGTCTGTGTGTGCCCTGCGATGGACTGGTGTCCCGTCCAGAGCGTACCCCGCTTTGTGTCCATTGCCTGCCAGGGTAGGCCCCAGCTCCCCCATGACCCTGAATTGGATGAATCCGTTAGAAGATAGATTGATGAATGGATAGTTAATGTTCGATTTATGAAGAAGTGATGATGTAATACGTATTTGAACAGTTTTGTTACTTTTGTTAGAGTATGAAATGCTTGGCTTCCGCAGGGTTACAGTGACAGTGGTACAAGTAAAAAGTCACCAGAATGGGCCAGGAGCACAGCAGTGAAGAGACAGCAGATACTGTAGCTCCTGACAGGCCCCAGTGACAACGCGAGGCTGACATCCTTCAGACTTTGGGAGGCAAGTCAGAAAGTAAGCCGGGCTGCTTGACGTCACCACCTGAAGTCCAGTGTGCTCCAGCGGGATTAGGAATCTGGGGCAGCGATACTATGTGCAACACACTAGTCTGCAAGTGAATGTACCCAAGCACTACTTACTTACTGTTTTGTTAAGAGACCTGGAGAGCTACCTGAATTTCACAAGAAACCAGGCAATCAAACAATGACCCCTGAGCCTGTCTCCTGGCTCAGATAGCTTTTCATGAGTGACCTATTTAACAGGGTGTCTGTTTTGGTGATTTTTGCTTTTCTCGAGCAGGAGTGTTGTTCAAGGCCCATACAGCAGCAAATCTGACATCTTGTTATAATCCACTTGTTTAAGAGGGAAACCTCTCTTTGTATTCCCTGCTCTTTATCTGAGAATTTATGCTCCAGGTCAACTGATAAATAATAAAGTCTTAAACATGTGATCGTCAGAGCTCTGGTCAGAAAATGTGACAGCAGTGATATACAGTATATAGATAGGAGTTGCATTACTTCATTCTGAGTACAGAAGTCATAAGTCCTAGAATTTGTAAAATGTAATATAGTGGCTATCAAAAGTATTCACCACCTTGGACTTTTTTACGTTTTATTATTGTGTTACAATATTGAATCATAATGTATTTAACTGGGGGCTTTGACAGAAAACACTCTTTAATGTCAATGTGAAACCATAATTCTACAGGTCTTTGTGAATTAATTATAAACATACAACGGATAATAACGGATTTTATAAGTATTCACCCCCTTTCAGACAATATTTGGTAGAGGCACTTTGGCAGAAATTACAGCCATAAGTCTTCTTGAATAATGGGAACTGATGATGAACAGCAATTTACAACTCCTGCCACAAATTCTTGATTGGATCGAGGTCCGGGCTTTGACTGGGTCACTCCAGAAGATGAATCTTCTCCCAAATCCCATGTCTCTCTGCAGATTGAATCAGGTTTTCCTCCAGGATTCCTCTGTACTTTGTTACATTAATTTTTCCTTCCTTCTTCACATGTCTTCCAAGCCCAAAGCTTCCTCCTAGCATGATACTGCCACCACCATGCTTCACAGTGGGGATGGTCTCCTCAGGATGCTGTTCACTGTTACGTTTGCGCCAAACAGAGTGCTTACCATTGAAGCTAAAAGGGCCACTTTTGGTCTCGTCAACCATAACATCTTCTTTCACTTGGTCGCCCATGTGCCTTCTGGCAAAGTGTAATCGAGATTTGATGTGACTTTTTGTCATTTGCCCATGAAGCCCAAATTGATGAGATATGCACAATTTCTGCCCTCTCAGCCATGAAAAACTGTAATTCCTTAGAGCGATCACAGACCTGTTGGTGGGCTCCCTGACTAGTGCTCTTCTCACCTAGAAACAACCTCTTCTTCACAGTTTCACAGTTTTTTTTAACATTTCTTTAGAATGGACTTGACTGTGCTTTTGGGGATATACAGTACAATGCCTTGGGAATGTTCTTATACCATTTCAAGAACCCTATCCCAGATTTACTTTTAAAGTTCCTTTGTCTTCATGATGTAGTGTTTGCTGGGAGCTGTACTAACTAAATGTGGGACTTCCCAGACAGGTATATTCATCTCATGTGAAACACCCTTATTGCACACAAGGGCACTCCATTCAACAAATGATGTGACTTCCAAAGACATTTGGTTACACTAGAGCAAATTTAGGTGCATCATTGTAAAGGGAGTCAATACTTGTACAAACCACCCATGCTAAAGTATTCCACATAATTATATACAAATATTGAATATATAAATCCTGATACATAAAAAGTAGTTGCATACCAAGTAGTTTGCATTTCTAGGTGGGAGGGGGGTGGCACTGTGTTTGAGCTATTGCACAACAGCCTATGCAGGGTTAAGTCATATTGTTGAGTTTTCTGTTTTATATTTCTATTTTATTTGGGAGGATCTGCAGAATTTTGATTTCACTTTGATATTATAGAGTGTTTTATGTCAATCAATCCCAAAGAAATTCCAAGTAAATGCATTGTGGTTCTCTACTGTAACACAGAAAAATGTGAAAATGTCCAAAAGAGGTGAATACTTCCAATAGCCATTATAGGAGCAGAATTTGGGAGTTTCAAAGTTTCTTACAGCACAATAGTAATGAGGAACAGGGAGTCAAACAGGGAGCTTCTGCGAGTCTAACATAATAATGTATTTTGTTTTGCACTGCCTATTTCCTCAGATGAGTAGAAAGAACCTTTTTGGGTTGCAGCTGTGATGACGTGACTGTACCAGAAGTCACTGAATTGCGATAAAGAGAAAGTGGAGACATGAACCGGGAGGGAGAACAAGCTGAAAAGGTGAAGATGGAGACGGGGAGGGAAAGTAGAGAATGTGGACAGAGTGCAGAGGAGAGCTAAGAGACACCGGGCTCAGCTTCTTTTTTCTCAGCACTAGTCACTAGCTGGTACAAAGATGCCATTGTCAGACCGAGGGGGGGGGTTTGGAAACAGGGCCTGTCACAGGGGGGTTGGGTTCGAAAAAGTAGCCCTTGTCCTAGAAAAAGAAAACTAGCACGATAATGGTTCAGATGCGGAGACTGGGAACATTTTGTCTGACACTGGGGAGGTCAGCGAAACCCCCGTTGGAAAGCAAATTTAGTCCAGCAGCCCGGCGATTCATTAGGCGAAAGACATTAAGGAGACTTCAAAAGGAGCAATTAAAAAAAAACCGCTTCTGAAAAGAGGTCAGGCCTGACCCGAAATCGCTAAGCTCTCAGGGTTTGGAAGCAGTGCACTCAAACAATCCGGTAAGCATGATAAAAACATACAGATCCAAGAAAGTACAGCAACTACTGCTGTCTCTAACCCTCAAGACCTCCAGTACAAACACATAATGACAGGAAACGCCGATCTATTAATGTAACTGTCTTTCCGAGTTTCTATCCAGAAAAGAGTTTTCTGTTTTTGGCTGGGTGCACCAATTTTAAGTGAAACACACCTTGCTTTTAAATCGGAACCTAAGCTACTCTTATTAAAGGGTACTGTGGTAAATCACGGTGAAAGCAGAGTGAAGACCGCGTACTAGACGCAGCAACAGCATGGCGAGGCACAGAGCGGTGTGCTGGAGCACGGTACAAACCGTGGTAAACTATGGTAAATTCAAGCCAGTGGACAGGACAGCCGTAGCAAAAGCATAGGAACATCGCGACAGCATCGCCGGATTTTTTTCATTGTAAACTTTCATTCCCAAAGAGATAGAGGTAAAAAACAAGAGTGACAATGAAAATACCACTCACCGTTTAAACATTTTCTCCATGTCCTTTATCTGTTTTCTGCTGAACTCTTTAAATTCGGTGTACGGGTTGAATATTTTGGACATCTTCGGCTCCGTGTTGCCCTCGTTGATGTCTAGTCTCCTGGTGAGCTTCGCGCTCAGCTCCGAGTTGGCATTAGCCGTCGCAGGTTTCTCCTGCGGCTCATCAGCCCAGGGTCCCACCGAGTTATCCGTGAAACTCCCACAGCCCGTGACTGCGGGTTGCCCCACGACTAACCTGCGCTGCAGTTTGGTCGCCAGCTCCTGCGAGGCCATTGCACACCGAGTCGCTGCGGATCGCCGTCTCCGTCTCTCCCAGCAGCGCGCAGCGATCCCGGAGCCTCTGGCTGCAGCCGGTCCACTCGGGAGGGGCGGCGCGGGGCGCAGCTTCCACTCGCTCCCAAATCGTCACGCCCCTTACACCCCAACAACCTGGAGGGGAGCCGGAATTACTGGCGCCGATCTCTGATGAAGAGAAGAAGTTCGTCATCCCTAATACTAGTCTGAGTTTCACGTTTGTAATATCCGAGGAAATTAGTAGCAGTTGGACTCGCGTTGTTGTTGTACAGTGGAAAGTCCCAAAGACAACTCATTCGAAATGCATCGGTTTACAGCCATGTTCAAACGGAGCCTCGACCACCTGAATCTAATTACAACGAGCTTTTGCTTTAGCCTAATTAACAAACCTTATAAGGTCAACATCGCCGGATTTTTTTTCATTGTAAACTTTCATTCCCAAAGAGATAGAGGTAAAAAACAAGAGTGACAATGAAAATACCACTCACCGTTTAAATACCACTATCGTTTGAGTGGTATAGCGATGAGTGGTATAAAATACCGTTTATACCACTCATTGCTGACCTTATCTTCTTATTGAAAACAAAGGCCAAGTAAGAAAACAATGTTTGCGTTGGCCGGGAATCGAACCCGGGTCAACTGCTTGGAAGGCAGCTATGCTCACCACTATACCACCAACGCCCCATGTTTTCGTCAGTTTCAGCAGCATATCTAAACGTGCATACTGGGAAATGAGAACCAGAACAATTTGTTCTGGGTATAAATATTTCTCTTTTACATACATTTACTATATCGTTTACCGGAAAGATGGTGTGCAGACGGTCGGGTGTAAAGATTTTCCGTACAGTGAAACATACCGGATTCAGTTTTTCAGCTTGTGCATGTGAAGTCCGGTTAAATACAGTACACCGGAGGATACGGCACTCTCATAGTAAGGTGGCACTGAATTCTTCAAAACAACGGATGGACACAAAATGGTTTAAGATTAGTTTTGTTAAATCACTCAGAGATAGAGTTTCTATCCAGAAAAGAGTTTTCTGTTTTTGGCTGGGTGGACTAATTTTAAGTGAGTTTTAGTGATTGAGAGGAGACTTTCAAATCCGTCGACAGCTGGCTCGTTGGTCTAGGGGTATGATTCTCGCTTAGGGTGCGAGAGGTCCCGGGTTCAAATCCCGGACGAGCCCTAAAGGTTTTATTTAGTTGTGATATTTTTTGGGATGCCATACATCAATCGATGTATCAATTAAAAAGCCGAAAATACTTGCTACTGTTGTAAAAAAATAATAAAAAAATATATATAACCCTACAAATGCACCATTTCTCAGGCGTTTCAGCGTGCGCATCCTGTTACCGCGACCTCACAGAAGGAAACTCGGCATATACGGCTCGTTGGTCTAGGGGTATGATTCTCGCTTCGGGTGCGAGAGGTCCCGGGTTCAAATCCCGGACGAGCCCATCTTTTCCTTTTTCCAAAAAAAAGTAATTATTCCGCCATGTTATTAGAAAATAAAACGACGTATACAGTTTCAGTGAGCAGAAATAAGTTTTTATTCTGTTTTATCTTCCGGTAAGAAAAAGCAGACTGACCCCGACGTGATTTGAACACGCAACCTTCTGATCTGGAGTCAGACGCGCTACCGTTGCGCCACGAGGTCTTGCTGCAAACTTCACAGAAATTATTGCTTCTTCCTTTAGTCTGTTCCGGTCTGGAGCGGAAGAGGATTTGAAGGCAGGAGAAATGGTGGGGTGGGCGACTGCTCGCTCTGGATTTACACATTTCAGTACCCCTGTACACCAACAGTGTTTGAAGCACCTTAATAAGGTTTAAAAAAAAGCCGCTTAAAAAGAGAAAAATAAAATCAAAATAACATTATACAGAATAAAAGCCGTATACAAATAAAAACACCGAAAAAGGAGAAAAAGGCTCCCTGCCTCATAACTCTTGGGCGTTTCGTCCGATTCGGACCTGGGTGCCTTAAATGTAGGCTGTGAGCACGCTTCCTACCTAAGAAAAAGACAGGAACACAATTTCAGTATATTCCAGTGTTCTTGCGGTGCAACAAAACAGCACACTCTCCCCGTCGGGGAATCGAACCCCGGTCTCCCGCGTGACAGGCGGGGATACTTACCACTATACTAACGAGGAGTGGGTAACTCTTCCCATGCCTGAGCTTACCAGTACGACAATCGCCAACACGCAGAATCCGCGTGTTGGTGATTGAATTCTGTTATATTCTTACACGTTTGCAGATTATGAGAATATGAGGCGTACAAATATAAAAATGTCGTAAAATAGTCAATAACTTATTTCGTGTAGTTGCATTTATGCCCCCCATTTGCCCTTTAGGGACGTATAATGCTATTCGTTTGATTTTTAAGCATTACAAGAAAGGTGCCCTATTTGTAAGCTCTGCCCTAGGTATTAAACACAACGCCGTTTAAAGCACTATGCCGTTACACGAACACAATGAAATCGTGTGTTCATTCTGACCGACGAGGCTGCTTACACGATATTACACATCACACCTCATCGTTTCTTTGCTGTATATTATCATCACAATAATCATGAAGTCGTCGTGCAGACTCGATTAAGCTTTTTTTTTTTCGGAGCTTTAAGGCGAGAGTTGTTGAAGGCATTTTCACGACAATACCAGAAGAGGGCAGTATTATCATATTCGTTGACTGGGGGGGGGGTGGCTAACTTTAAAAACGAGGGTCGACTGGGTGATCTGGTCCAGGGCATTGTAACTGTTTTTTTTTGCCAAGTGACATCTGACCCTAACCCAACACAGTACTATCCTACTGCAGTACGCATCCTTAAAATCTAACTGCAGCGCCTCAGACTCAATGCACACTTGCATTATGCACTTTTTGGATGGTCTACTATGTTTTTTTTTTCCAATATTGTTCTCCACAACATATTTATTGTTCTGTTATTATTTATGATGTCCCTATTGTACTGTCTACATTGTGTGGTGTTGTCTGTTGTACTGTGTTGTGTGCTGTACTGTGTATGTCCTGACACATCAGCGTGAATAAGAACTCCAATGTACAAGTACATATACCAATAAACTACTCTACTAATGCTTAATATCAATGGTGGCACCATTGGGTGTTATTTTAGCAGGTTTAGTCATTGTCCCAGTAGAGAAGTCTAGGGGTGATTTGGTCAATTTGGCCTATAGTACTAATTACAAATTAGTGGTATGTGTGAGTAGTTTGGTTTCTTTTCCGTTTGTATTTTCTGTATTTTTTTCTATATGTGACCAGTGCACAACAAGACAAAAAAGAAAACCCTGAAAATTGCTGAATGTACAGTGTGTTATTTAATTTATTAAGTATTTGGTTTAGAAGGTACCTGTCAAGTTTATTTTAAGTCAATTATGTGTAATACGTCTTTCTGCTGGTAGAAAAAGACTAACGGTAGAGAAAAAGAAATCACTGGGTGACAGAGCCACCAAGCACTTGAGGCATTCTGGGAAAAGTGAAGTTAAAATGGTGATTGGCTGGACAGACCGCGGGTGGCCCAGTCCCGAGGGCCTCACACCTGCTAGTTCTCATTACTTACATCGATCCGGAACTGGACCAGCAAAGTTGTTGACTAGAACCGCTTCAAGTTTGTTTTTTTCTCCTGAAAGATAGGAGACCTGGAGTTCCTTACGAAACAATAGTTACAAGGCGACCTTTTACACCTGAAAATAATGAAACAATTAAGGGTTTGGTGATTCAATGCTCAGGTGGAACAAAAAGCAGCAGGTGTCCGGGGCCCAGGGACCAGGACTGGGAAAGCCTGAAATAGCAAGAACAGATCAAAGGAAAATGTAGTATGAATCCCAAGAGACACCTTGTGGCAGCCGTGAAGAAGGCAGGGAGTGTGCAGGAGCAACCTGGGTTTGAAACATGAAAGACAGGGGGCTGTGGGGTCTGTGACTCTGGAGCTGTCACTTTCCCGCAGTAGCTCAGAGAGAGTTACTGCTCATCTCCTCGGATCCCAAAGGTACATTGTAACTGGCAGCTTCACTGTGGCACTGTGCCTGCTCTCCTTTCAATGTGGAAAAAACCTGCCCTGGCACAGGCATGCCCATCGCTGCACGTTACACCACTAGCTTTGGGCCTTGAAGATATCCTTCTAGACCTTCACATCTGACCTTTTTGCTCACTGTGTTAAACAGTACACCGCATCTGTTACGTCTTAAAGTCATTTTATTCTGTTTTCAGATAGGCTAGTTAGGCTCGGGAACACTCTTCCAAAATGATTCAATTTCTGTGTGTGACTAAAACCAGACTGCAGAAACACTCCTCTCTCTTCCAAGTGGATCAGTCTCTTGTTTTAATAACACCAATCGGGCAACAATATATTGACAGCCTGTTCATCTACAGCTTCACTTCACAGTATTATGTGTTGTGAATGTTACTGAATGAAACATGTTTTATGGCAGATCTGGACTGCAATAGCCATCTGGATGCACATATTTGTCCCCTAATAACAATGACAAAGCCATGATTTAGTCCCATCTGTAAGCAGATTGCTGATTTACCTTCTGATACGTAAGCATTACAGCACACATGTACAGTATGGAAATCCCTGCCTAGCCTAATGGAAGTGCAAGAGAAGACACAATGCAACAATCAAAAGCACATAACTGAGCTCCAAGCACATCGCAAATACAACATGTGTGAAACTACTGAAGTGCTGTGCAAATTTCACAATTCCCAGAGTATGATTGATCCTGTTCACTGAATTAACAGTTTTAACATGTATCTTGCTAGTGATTTGCAAGGTTTTGTCGTTCTCCAGGATACAGTTTCTCTGGAGTTTCTCTGGACTTTCAGTAAGCCCCCTTCCAGGTGAGAGCACGTCGTCCTCAGGCGGTGCTCCCCTTGGCGCTCTGCACCTGTTGGACCCAGTCCAGGTAATTGGAGACTTTGGTGTAGATGCCCAGCTTGTCTGTGCGTCCGCAGCCCTCCCCCCAGGACACTAGCCCCACCAGAAACCAGGTGCCCTTGTACTTGGTGACCATGGGCCCCCCGCTGTCCCCCTCACAGGCGTCTTTCTTGACGCCCAGTTCCCCGGCGCACAGCATGTTCTCAGTGGGGGACTGGCTCATGACCTCGGCGCACTGGCTGAGGGGAGCCAGGGGGATGTCGATGAAGCGGAGGGCAGAGCTCGACTTGCTGGAGCCTTCCTTCTCCCGGCCCCAGCCGGACACCTCCATGCGGGTGCCGTTGCGCAGCAAGACCCTCTCGGCCAGGCCCTTCGGGGGCAGGCAGGCGGGTAGAATGTACCGGGAGTAGGGCACGGGCCTGGACAGCCTCATGAGCGCGATGTCGTTGTCGGCGATGTTGCTGTCGTAGTGGGGGTGAGAGATGACCTCCGAGACAGGCACCGTGACCTCTGTGTCCTCCAGCTTGTAGCGCTCATACTCTCCTGCGGGGGGAGACCAAGCACTGCTTTTAACATCTTGTGCCACAGCCAGCTTTTAAATCTGTTCCTCTTTGGAAGGATTTTGCGGAATCAGAGCTAGGAGGGTTAAATAAGAGGACAGGTTATTTAAAACCACCATTCAACTGAACAGGACTGGCAGATTATCTGGACCTGAGGACTTCATGCAACGTCTTGTAAGAAGAACTGTTGGGAAGACTGGGCAATCACTTGTAAGAGCCTGACTTACCCAATCGGACATGATATCTGGATCCCTTCTCCAGGCAGTGGGCAGCAGTGAGGACCCAGGAGTTGTCAATCAGAACTCCCCCGCAGTGGAATTTGCCCTGTGCGTTTATCAGCAGCACCTAGAGGGAGGGATAAAGGGCACAGTACACTACACTCCTGCCTCTAAAGCATTCACTGATGGGTATACACACTGAGAAGGCAACTCATTGGAGCAAAGGCACATTAGAACTGTGTAATGAACATAGATTAAGTCCATCCCTTAAGCCTGTTCTTTGGGGAATCTCCAGGAAATGGCTGGATAAGAACCTCAGATCAACCCAACAAGCACCCTGTATCAGATGCTCTCCTCTAGTTTGCAGTCTCCTTCTGCACTTATGTTAACCAAACCAAATGGCAGCATGAAAACTTATTTCACAGATAAATTATCAGATATCTTCACTGATGTGTTAACTCCTTTTGCAGAGCTCAAAGGATTCAATTTTTCATTCGAAATTATCATTTGGTATTTATTTTCTTTACGTTGCTCTTATGACTTATGTACTTCCCAGCTGTGTACTTAGCTACATCATTGTTGCAGTATGTGCATTAAACTACACATCCAGTTTATACTAGTTGTTTCTTCTACAAATGGCAAGATGCTAGATCAATTCAATAAGGCATTATGTGCAGTATAAAATTTAGTAATTTATCAGTCTGTGTGCACCTTTCTACTGTGTTTGATCTCAAAGCAGAATTCATGACTCTTGTTCTCTGCAAACTTTACTATCATTCCTGCTTGAATTTTAAGAAAATGGAGTTAACTGTATAATACTGCCTGTTCAGCTGTGCACCTGGAAATACTGTACCTCTCAGCCATCTGCCACATTGGTAGTTACCTGGTGCCGCCTGTTACAGAGTAGCAGATGACAGCAGTAGTTCTAGAAACTGACAGATCACACAGCTGTGAAAACACAGCAGACAAGGAAGATAGTGCTGGGAGGAAGCTGCCTAAGAGGACTTGTATAATGGTGTGGGTTTACTGCATGTCCTGGGAAAGTGGAAAACAAAACATCCCTGAGGCTTTAAATTAATGTTAAGCTATACATTACTGTATCACCAGTTGGTTTCTGTTTCTTAAATACCTGGTCAGTGGATAACTGTGACAGACAGAAGATACAGATCTGTTTTTGTCACATGTTGAGACAGTTCAGTGACAGCTTGGTGTTATTAGCGGTTCAGTGTGTACTGTTCAATGGATGTGATTAACCCAGAGCACTATTCAGTGACTGAACTCCTCCCTAAAATGAGGAAAGCATCCAAAGAGATCAATGAAAAGACTAAAAATGTTTAAGGGGCTTTTTTCACTTTTCTTTTATGGAATCATGATCTGGAGTGAACAGTTGAAGTGGGATGGGAAATCCATTCTTTCAGTCTAGCCAGCTGACATCTCATTTCTTTCCTTAGTTCAGATGAATAGAGCTGTGCTGCACATAGAACAGTGCATGTTTAAATAAAGACACGTGTGTAGAAACAGGTTAATTCTGCGCTGAACCACAGAAAGAAGAAACATGACGTTTTGATTGCTTAGGATTCTTCAGGTGTGAATCACTCTCCCACTGTCTGTTCTTCTTTCCAGTTTTCAGAATGAACCTGTATTTGTTTCTTTGCAGCCGGCACATGTGCAGGCCTGTCATCACCATCCAACATCACTGTGGTTAATTACTTAATTAGTGCATTAATTAAGTAATTAATTACTGTTATTAATTAAGTCCTTACTGGTCTCGAGTTAATAATACAACATGTGGAGTCAGCCATGTACATATCATATTCGTGGATGTAGAAGTGTTCTTTCTCTGCATGCTCACATACAGATCTCAAGGTTAAGGTCTCAGTAGAGATTTGTTACTAAACCACACTTCTGGTCAACTTCTGATTTCCAAGAGCTGGTACCTGCCAGGGGCTGTGGCCCTTCTTCCCCTTCTCCCCTCCCACCACATAGGGCTTGAGGCCTGTCAGAGGGTTGGTTATCTTCTTCTCTGGGGTCCTGTCCACCACGATCTTCCCACAGGCGAAGGGCACTGCAGGAGACAACACACACTGCAGACACGCCGGGGACAAGCACACCGAGGAGAGCAAAGACTTATGGAAGGCAGTTAGGTCATAAAGTGGGGAAAATGCACATTAAACGAGTTAGTTTGGTGTGATTGTGTACACACTCATGTGGGTGTTCAGTAGTGTTGGGCTGTGCTATCAGCACTTTCCAAGCCGGGCACCAGGCTCACCAGGCTATGAGCTCCTGTCTAAGGACTGATCTGGCTGTCGGTGCTGCTTTCGGTCTGGAATGAAAGGGTTCTCAGGCACAGGAAGGCGGAGGAGGAGGGAGCCCTACCTGAGGGCTGGCAGCTCCTGCCGTCATCGGCCAGGGTGTACCCCGGCAAACACCCGCACCTGCGGCTCGTCCCGTTCCCACTCTCCTGGCAGGAGTGATCACAGCCGCCGTTGTCCTCCGAGCAGTTAGTGGCAAACACCGCTGAACACAGCACGGGCATGGCTGTTACTTACAACACTTTGTGACTGAACACAGCACAGGCGTGAATGCTATTTATGGTCGAAATTTTAAATACTTTGTGACTGAACATAGCACCACAGGCATAAGCAATATTTTAAATGCTTTGTGATTGAACACAGGAGAGGCATGGCTGTTACATTTAGTACTTTGTGCCTGAAGACAATGGGGACTGTAAAAACTCCGCATGACAAAGGCCCTCTTCAATTTAATGCTTTCAAAAGCAAAAATCCATCATCCAGTTTTATCTGACAGTAGAAGCAATTAAAACAATGATTTCATGGCGCCTTCATCAATTCAGATTTATCTGACTGAATAACATTCACTGTAAACCAACACATTTGTTAAAAAACATCACAAAAGGGCCTGATCATACAAGAGGTTGAATTAGAGAGATCCTCAGCAATTACAATCTCTGGTTGATCTAACCCAGTAGAAGCAAGACTTCTCCGAAGCTCACTTAGAGAAGTTATATGAGGGAGGTACAGTGTATCAGCATGGGTCGGGTTTGCTACTAATTGACAACAACAACAGTGCACAATATGAAACTTCCCCTGCACACTTGCCTTAAAATTAATTTTCCGAGACAATAAAAAAGCAAACAATTAAAGAACAAAAGTTCAAGGCCACAATATTACTTTGGAAAATCTTCCAGAGAAAACCTCTTGAAAAAGATTTTTGTTTTAATTCCCTCTAGGTTTTTTTAAAAGCTTTTCGGACAAATTAATCAAGTCCCTTTTGAAAATTATAAGAGCTTGGAAATGGACTGTCTACCACAGACATTGGACATGATCTTAACTGATCCATCCAAACCATACAGGGTTAATTAATGGACAGCTCTCCTCTGACAGCGGAGATTTATTATTATTCAGCATGTGAAAAAACTGAATCACCAGCAGGCATCACAATACTAATAGCCATGCTTGTGCAGTGATCAGTCACAAAGTGCTTCGGGTAGTAGCCATGTCTGTACTATATACTATAATAACCGAATCAACAGCAGGTGCCATGAATACTGTATATAACTGAATCAAAAGCAGATGTCATAAGTGCTATATACTATATATAACAATCAACAGCTGGTATCGTGAGTACTGTATATAACTCAGTCAACAGCAGGCATCATGAGTACTGCATAACAATCAAAAGCAGGTGGCATGATTATTGATATAACTGAATCAAGAGCAGGTGTCAAGTACTGCATATAACTGAATCAAAAGCAGATGCCATGAATCCTGTATACTGTATGACTCAATTAACAGCAGAATCCCTCCTCCTGAGTGTTTCTTCCCCTTAGTGTTGAGGGTTATTAGGAAGGACTGCTCAATTAAAAATGTACTGGCGTAAATACGATGCATGGAAATGTAGACGTCAGATCAGCTACGTGCTGTAGAGCACTTTAAATGACATGACAGACAGTGAAAAATAAAAAATGATGAAAGAAATTGCTCCATGCTTACGGAAGTCACAGTGTCTCCCTTCAAAGCCAGGATGGCAGAGGCAGGTGTAGGAGCCGACCTGGTCGATACAGGTGCCGTTGACACAGTTGTTGGGAACGCACTGGTCTCCGTCTGAAAGGGGATACAGAGCAGCGTTCAGCTGTCGACACACTTGCTCTTTGCTCACCGAACTGGGCACTGTTTCGATCACGGGACTGTTTGGACTAAAACGTGAGAAAGATTACAAACAAGAGGAAGCCATTCAGCTCACATTGCCCTTTGTGTAGCGACTAGTTAACCGATTCAAGGATCTCAGCCATCTGTCTATGGAAAGAATCAAATATCGACAACATAGCTGGGGATCTTGTCCCATACTTCCACAACCCTTTGGTGTAAGAAACGTGACTCCTGATTTTGGTTTTAAATGCACTTCCATGTAGTTTTCACCTGGTTTGTGTTTCACTGTTCACTCTGAAGCAATCCAGTGGATTGACTTTGTCAGGGCCTTTGAGGATTTTGAATACTTATATCAGGTCCCCTTCAAGACTGAAAATGTTTCTTCAGCCTGCCAGCGTAGGATATTCCTGTAAATCTCAGATTGTATCTGGTTGTACTCCTCTGGAGTGATTTCAGAGAAGCAATTTATTTGCTATAATATGGTGACAAAACATTACTGTATAAATCATTATACTGTGTATCACAATGTACTGTATGATGTGACATTTTAAAATATTAACAGATAATTAAGTACAAATACAAACAGAAGGCAAAACTTACCAGTATACTGCATCCAGAACTTGAGCTGTAAAAGAAGAGAGAACATGCCTAAGTTATGATGTCTGTACAAAATCATCAAGGAGGTCTTTTGGCAGAGCAGGTGGGTTAGCTCTGGCCTCATTAGACCTGAAATTATTTACCTGATTTTCCTGTGCCTTCATTCAGATTAATCTGTTTTGCCACCTGTAAATGCCAGTCTGCTAATGAACCTGTTTGGAGATGCCGCCTATACTCTAGGATGCTATATGAGATACCTCCTGCACATTCTGATTCAAAGCAACATCATCAGCCCAAGGCCCCTTCCTAACCTCCCTAGGGACTGTACAAGACACTCATTCACTATGATTGTTAGCTGGTTTATAAGCAACAGGGATGAAAATAAGCAACACTGCATTGTTATTTACTTTACCATGAAAATACTGTACACACAAGAACCTGTGGCTCACACTGATAGACATGGATCTAATGATCATATAGAGGTAGTGTACAGTACATAGCCCAAAGAAATGTTCAATCAGGAGAAGGGTCTTCATGTTGCTTCTGGAGCTATAATGCCCAGCTCCGTGGCTAAGAGCTCAGAACGGTTGACAACAAACCACCAAACTAGCAGAAGGAGAGAGACTCACAGTGGCTTCTTTTGTCTTGAAGATTTCCTTGGCCTCCTCATAGTCGCACGTCTCCTCCATGCACTCCCGTTCCAGATTGCCAGGCTTGATCTCCTCCAGGAAGCTGTTGGCTCGTTTCTGACGCAGGATCATGTGCGCCTGCTGGCTGCTGTAAAACACTGGGATAGAGGGAGCCGGTCATCAGGCCATCAGGCTGAAGAGATGCATCGTGTGCTGACCCAAGACCCAGCATCTTGCTGACCCAAGACCCTAACCCTAACCCTAACCCAAGACCCGTGTTGACTGAACCCAATGAACATCGAAAACTAGGAATCCTGTTTTTTAAAAACAATTGGGGTTCGCTAGTTAGGGGTCTCCTGATTGCCTCATCCAGGAAAGGTTGACAAGACCACCTTGTAGTCTGTTTTCATCAGATAATCGAGGCTGGGCCTGATCAGTGCTGAAACAGGAAACATCCAAGGCACACCAGATTGCTGCTGTAAGTGGCTTGGTGGACCAGTAGGGGGCGCTCTTCACTCTGGGCAAGAATTTGTAAAACTCAGGATGGCAACCAGGGACACTGGCTTAAGAACTGTGTCTCAGATGGGGCCCTGACTATTTTTCATTAAGGATTCCATGGCACAGAGTGTTACTTGTGGTGTCCTGTATCAAGTCCAGTTATCTGATTAAGACCATTATGCATCTTTTAAGAAGGTGCTCAGGGTTAGTACTAGTGTGAATGCTGAACCATCTTCTGGGTTTTACACCTCCACTTATTCAGTTGTGTGGGATATAAGGAATTAGAACTCAGAAGATGGATGTTTGATACTATACATCAGTGTCTGAGTTAAGATGTGCTGCACCTAGCAGAAATACTCATTCCCTTCCACCGATGCCCCATGTAGAGAATATTTTGTGAACAATATCTGAATGCTCAAACTGAACACTTTTATAGGTGAAAAAAGTTAAATTGCAAACATTGCAACAACAAACAAAATCCAATATGCTTGAGTTAATACCAGGGTGGAAACCCTTTGGCAGCAATTGTGGCTTTGAGCTTTTCTGGATAAGTACAAGTTGGAAAATTAGCATATAATTTACACTCAACGGCCAAAGGGGTTAAATACTTTTGGAAGGCACTGTAAGGCAGCAACCACTTAATAAGCAAGATATGGAGAACATAAACGGAACCCTGTTTGCGTAACGTACCTGTAGCAAAGTATATTTTTGAACAAACATTTCAAGAGGTTCAGCTGAATAAGCCTCAGCACATCCAGTGGAAACACCACTGGTCTCAACACAAGAGAGACGTCATTGATTAATTAGCCTGCAGTCGGTAATGAAATCTCACCCTTCGGCTAACCATGGCGGCCTACCTGAGCTGCTGACACTTCTGGCAAAGCATGTCACCAGGAAGAAAAGACCGAAGAATGAGGGCTGCATGACTCCTTCAGACCAAATGAGTAGGCTGTACAAAAATAAATCACAGGTACAGTATGATGTGACTTTACCAGATATCAGTCAAATGAACAGATTTTTAAGTTCAATTTTATCCCGTGGGGGAAATTCATTGTATAGCAGCTAGTTAATTTTCTGTACAGTTAACCTTTTAAATTCAGGGCACATCTCAGATTTTCTGAGAAGGGCTTTTCCTGTACTTGTAACGCAAATAAATTCTTAAAATAGTGCTCATAAAACCTCCAGAATATCGCAGAATTAACATGTCAGTGGGTCCTCTCAAAGCACCTGAATATAGTGACCTATTAAAAAATTCAAACAGTTAAAACTTGTTTTTGATCGACCAATATATTCCGTTTTCATATTTTTTGTTTAGAAGTACCACTTGTTTTTGCTAGATTAAAAGATTTCTGATTGTTCTGGGTGGAGAAGCATATAGTCTAGACTTTTCAAGAAAAAGGATTTGACAGCAGTTTATTCCTATAGGTTTCAGACCTTTGCTTTATAGAGATTAGAACAGTTCTCCCTCTGACCTGCCCGAAAACAAAACAACAGAATCAAACTTCCCAATGGTGGCATTTAAAAAATTTTAGCATACAATCTCAAACAGCACTACACAAACAGTACTAAGTACAGACCACGGGTTTGAGCAACAAAGCTCATATAAAAATAAAAAGATGAAAATCATGATAATGATACTTACACCTGAAGAGATAATAGCAAGTCTGGAATGGGGACTGCTATGTTTAATCTTTGTTAATAACTAACTTAATATTTACTCAGCGTCTCATTGCAGAAGGCCATTGCTTTCTCAACTAGAAAACATGGAAGCCTCTGTCCCACCCCCAACCCCCCATGCCCAAATTACCACCAAACACACAACTGCCATTCTTTCACAGTTTTTAGGGCAAAACACACCAAAACCATCAAGCATCTACTGATTTTTTTAGATCACTGACTTCAAATCAGTGATGCTAGGGCACCATCTATTTAAACTTACTTGCAGCGCCAGGAAGCAGATGCTTTCAAATGATGAAACCTGCCGTGGTAAAATTCTGACTTGAAAACCTTTTTCTCATAACTTTAAATGCTTGTTTGGATTGATCGGAAGTTAAAGAGCTCTGCGGTTGACTCGCAGGGTCAGCTGCCAGGGGGATGCCACTAGGGTTTAGGACTGAAAAGCAAATGATGGCAATAACTTCTTGCATTCATCCAGAGCTTGACCCAGGAAATCAAGCATTTCGGTGCCGCACCCACCTGTATGATGTACGGTAGCCAATCTGCATCAGCAGCCCCTGTACACGGCAAAGTGAAGACTTGCTTTAATTAATTTAGTGGGCCAACTTTAGAAAGGCCAGATGGTACGAGCACAGAGTTGAATTTAGCCAGGACGCTGGGGTTAAGACCCCTACTCTTATGAACAGTGCAATGTTGTTTTTTTTTAACAACCATGTAGCCAGGGCTCTGGTTTTGATGGATGACTACTCCTACAGCGCAGTGTCCCCCATCCCTATCCTTGGGTCACCATCTTGAAGTACTGTTCCAGAGGATTCAGAGCCACCTAGTAGTCCATCAACACCATGCATACAGCAGTGCCCCAGTCCTGCCCGGTCCAGCCTTTCTTAGCTTCCGAGATCAGACTTGAAACAAGAAGAGCTGAGGAAGTGGTGTGGATCAGCTCTACTGCTCAGTCGGAGACTCAGTAACGTACTGATGTACTGTGGAACACGCTATGTCAGGGGCTTCTCCTCAAGAGATAAGAGGGGGGAAAAAAAAAGAACAGACCAGACAAGTTCTTGTAAATGAAAACAGATATTTTAATGGAAGATTGGTGCTTTCTGTACAAGAACAATGTATTTACATCCCTCCTGTGGGATTATGTACACAGATGTATCAAGAGACAACAGACCTTGAACAGGTATAAATTAAAACAATAAATACTCAAAACAGGAGTTGCGAATGAGATGACCCCAGTCTGGGCTGGGGCACAGGCCTCCTGCAGTGATATGTGATATGAGTGACTCCTCTGAGCACTGTGCCCCATGGAATGCAGACCTCTTTGTGGCACCCATAGTGTCAGACCATGAGGAAAACCAACAATCAGCCAAACCGCTAAGAACTTTGAAATAAACTCCACAAGGGTGTGTTATGGCTGAAGTGGGTGGTGGGGAGGGCCAGGATTGTCACCATTCTCACCTTTTACACTCGACAGACTTTCGTTGAATGGAATAGAAAAGGCAACCGCTGTTGTCAACCTCTAAATCACAGAAAACATGCCTCTGCCACTGTCCCCTACAGCTTTGATGGGAGGAGAGGTGTGTTCATGAGGTGAAAAGGACCTTCCCAGGACACTGGACATTTTCAATTTCTGCTAAGACGTGCAATGAGCCCAGTACCATACATTTGACTTCACAACTCCCTCCCCAACCTCCATGTCTCCCCTTTACAGAACCACCATCACACTGGAGCACTGCTCCTTTGAAACAGTGACAGGAGCATTTTCATGTTTTTTTGTGTGGAAATCCAGCTCTTTTAAAATGACAGAATCACCAACACAAACCCTTCAAGACATCCAAGATCAAGATAGATGGAAGTGGGGCGAGTGTAATCGAACATTAGATTGCACATCCATTGTGTAGCTGACTAACAGATACATGGCAACACAGAGTACATCTCACAAAGCTGTTGGGTGTAAATGTGCAGTACAGTACATACAGCATGGAGACCAGCACTCTCATTTCTAAACTTCCATGAAATTGTATTAAAACATGCATCTCCCCCTAAAACCTTGCATATTTAAAATCCTTTTCATCAGGGTTCTCCAATACACAGCGGTCGTTTGTGTCCCACTTGACTGGCTTGACGCCCACACACGGGACTGCAGCAGGGCAGAGCAATCACAGGGCGGCAGCCTCCTGCCAGTATCGACACACAGGCTGGTCGAAAGTGCCAAAAAAAAAACACAGGACAGGGAAAGAGTGGGTGTGCTGGGAGCTCTGGGAAAATGTGCTTTCACATTCTCAATCCTACCCTTACTGCAAAGGTTATCTGGAAATGTTTAAAAATGTATCATTTCCGGTTTCCCATGACCAGCCCTGACAATATGTGGCCGGGGACTCTGGGGACATTCTTCTGGCACCAAGCAGCAGAACCAATGCATCTGGAAACCCAAGAGCAGGGATTTCAGATAGAAGAAGGACTGGATGCCATAGTTTACATGCACTTATTAAAGCTGACATATCAATCTATGATGGGAATATGCCAGGTTGGGCAATTTTGAATCTCTTCGTCTAGATTAGCAACAGCGAGCTCTGCGAGCACTCAGGGGGTCGCCAAATATGAACCCACTAATGCATTTTAATCTGACAGGTTTCACTTTTAAAGGACGTGACGTTTGTCAACAATGCTTTGTTGTGTATCTGATCACCGACATTGCGGAATGCATTTTCCTAACGAATTTGTCATCTAGATCTTATCCATTATATGCAAGCAACTGTTTCTAAAACTACAGCTTGTTTGATCTATGTGGAGATATGGGAAATTAAGCTGTGTGCAGCAAAAAAACGAATCCATCGCATTATTCTACACCAGAAGAAACACTGTTGCCTGTTCCTCGCTGTACTGCCACTTGAGCGGTACGCATCACTGACTTTATGACTCCGCAGCATGAAGTTTATCACCAATGTATTTCTGATATAAATAAACAGCTCACACAGTGTTCACTCCTGCAATCTGATGAACCCAGGAAGGCAATCAGCGTGGGAACTAACAACAAAACAGTGACTAGTCCAGGAATATGGGCGACTGGAGACTCAGCTTAGACAGACTGAGGAGGAGGCAGATCAATGCCCTTCCCTTGACCCGTTACTGACAGGCAGCAGCGCTCGAGAATTCCCTCTTCTCAGAAGTTGCTCTCTTACTAGAATGACAGCTGACCCAACACTATCAAAAGTGGCTAAAAAAGAAAGCAAAAGTAATATGTTCAATTTGATAGATAAGATCCCATTAAATAGCGAGCTCTTCAATTAAACAAGAAGGGGAAGTACAATCGTTTCTGACATGTTGTGCAGAATATCATGTCCTGCAAGGACACACTTGAGTATTGAGCATCATGTCTGTGTGGCCTAGGTAACACAACAGTGTTTGTCGGCTGCATTCTGTTAACTGTTTAAGAGCTCTGATGGCATGTCACTACATCTCTCATTGACAAAACAGGAACAGGACAGTTTTGGGTTAATTAAAATAAGATGTTTCTGAGCAGAACACACCCTAGGTCTGCCGCTGCAGATGCTACCTGGCTGGGCTCACCCTGCTTTCTTCCCTGTCAGTCACCTTTCTGACTTGGAGGGGTTCAGTTGTAACCCCACAGATGCCAGCTTTGCACCACTGGCGCCTCAGGCAAGCACAGACACCCTATGTCTGAACCTGAGTTTCCTCTCTTACTAAACAGGATAACCACTGCCAACAACACCTCAGCAGAAGGGTAAAACTAACCTGTCTCATGATGCTCCACACAAAGCTCAAGTTCCCAGTTAGTGGGTGAACAATCCAAAGCTAGGTGGATTCTGCTTCACAATGAAATGTAAAGCTGTCAATGAAGGATCAAAAAGGTGTCACAGCTCCTCCAGTTACAAGATAACAGCTCCTGCTTAAAAAACCCCAAAAGTCTGAAGAATTGTGAGGCCCCACTTTCAAAGGCCTTTAGATTTCTGAAAGTCAGTGTAAATACATCACAGCATGAACGGCTCATTTCGTTAAAAAAGCCAGTTTCGAGGTTCTTTGATCATTTCAAGACAACACAAAGACATGTTGTGCAAAGACGTCAGAAGGAAGCATTCGGAGAGCTTCATTAACCAACAGCACGCAGAGTCAAGACACTGCTCATGTGTCAAATGAGAAGGATTATCATGACATTATCTGTGAAATTCATTTTGCATCAGACAGGACAAACTGAGCAGTCTAAACAAGGCTGTAGGCTTCTTTCTGATCAAAATGAGGTAAAATATTAGCAATAGCTTTTATCAAGTAGAATTATACAGACTACATTATACCGACTTTGCAGCCTTATCAAGTTAGGGCTTACAGTATATAACTGTAATGCGATATAGAATGGTGGTTCTAACATCAGGGGAACTTGTGCTTGGCAAATTCTTGACACTTGGTAAACACCCTCTACAAATCTGTACTTATCTACAAAAGAATAGTACAGAAAACAGTACTGGGAACAGCAGCATGAAGTTGTTTGCATTGAAACCCTGGACCATTGCAAAACTGAGAAATGTAGAAAAACACAAGGCAGCAGGAAGGGATTTAGAAAACGATGGGTATATCCAGCGCAAGGGCACGGCGCAGCAAGTCCGAAAGACATGGGTAGCAGCCAGTGACTCATGGCAGTGGGTACACTGTGTACTCACCAGCAACTGATTAAAAGCACACACAGGGGACAGGACAGCGGAAAGAGCAACTAATCTCTCCTCTTCATACCTAGAAAAGGGGGCTTTAGAATACAGCAGAGAAAACACAACCCTGCTGACTACCACAACCTGTCCATGAGGATGCCACTGTATTAGTACCTGTCAAACAGCAAATAGACCTGTGTAGACACAAGGAAAACAGCTGTGCTTTGTTAACACAATAGACAGAGAAACATGACTGTCCTAGCAAAAGAAAGGACAAAACAATATCAGGTTACCAGTAAAGCTTTACGCAAGAGCTCTTCAAGGGACAGTCAAAACTGTTGGGCAGACAAAAAATCCTTGACTGTGGCTTGCTTGCTCAAATACTGAAAAATACCAGGATTGTTTTTTATATGATGTCTAACGCATTTTAGACATTTAGAGAGCTCTTGTTACAGTGAAAAACTACTGTAGGTTTTTGCTTTGTTTTTTTTTCCCCCACTTTGTTTCTGTTTTTGTAAATTAAAAAATACTGTTTTTCCAAGAAAAAGCCTACCCCCTTCCAAAAAAATACTATCCATGCACAGGAACGGTTTTCCATTTCTGTTCTAAATTACACACATTCCTGGAGCACTAGTCCATTCCAGGTAGATATGACACTTCCCTAGTAATAGTTCTAACCTTTGGCACAATTGGGAAAATTAATGTAAAAACCAATTCAGCACTGCTATTTGCTAGTTTACCACAGCTACAGTGCCCAGTTCATGAACCCCCTAGGTTGGTCTGACCCGTTATAAATTTTAGACCAAAAACAATTAAAGTCTTCAAAAAAAATAGTAAAATAAACATATCAAACAAAGATATGATAGTTTTGAATTATTTAACAAAATGATAAAATAGTAAATAGCCTCTTTTGAATAAGTACATGAACCCTTAAAGAAAAAAACTTAAAATAAATTCCTTACACTTATACAACACTTTTCTGGACGCTCCTCTCAAAGCGCTTTACAGGTAGTGGGGACTCCCCTCCACCACCCATCTGGATGATGCAATTTAGATTCAGTAGCTGCTGGCACTTCCCTTAGCAACAAAGACTAAAACTGAACACACAGATCAGAACACATTAGAATAGCTGAAGACATGATTTTACATTTTGGATTGGCCAAAGTCAAAGTCTGGAACTAATCCTCACTGAAATGTTGAGGCAGGACCTGAAGTGAGCTGTTCATGCAAGGAAGCTCTCAAATGTCACCGACATGATGCAGTTTTAAAAATAAGAAAGGGTCTAAAAGCCTCTGATGCCAGAGACTGATCAACTATGTTTCCTATAAGTGTTAAAGTCATTTCTGCTCAAGGAGGTGCTACATGTTACTAAATCTAAGGGTTCACACACTTGTTCACACGAGGATATCTGCTTCTGGATCATTATGTTAAATAATCTAAATACATTTAATGTCTTTGTGTTATGTTTAATCAGATTATTAAAAATTTCATGAAGCTGCTTTAGGTCAAATATTTGAGAATACAAATGAACCCAGTGGATTAATATTATCTAGGCTCTGTATATACAGTTCACTCACTGGGATCATGAAAAAATGAGCAGCTAAGAGATGATGTGAACATTTTCAGGTGATGTCAAAACAAAAGCACAGAAAAGACATATGTTGAAACATTAGACTGGTCAGGAACTCCTACTGCCAAAGAGTTTGACTTGATCCATTTCAAGTTAATCATGGAATTTCTGGTGACAGAAAAAAAACTGAACTGGACAGAATTCAGAATACTTGCTGCTTATTGGTCAAATAAGGCATGGCTGTGTTCTGATTGGCTGTGCTGGTGTCCAGGATTTTTGCATGTAGGTATGACATCATAGCAAGTGTTTGGTCTGTTACACAGGAGTAACAGACTGGCAAAGTGCTGTTTGTGAACATTCACTGTTTTCTAACGTGGCTTTCAGAAGCAGCTCTTAGTTTTAAGCCAGATTGACTGCCACAAGGCAACAACTGCAAAACACAGGTTAGTTTAAACTGTATAAGCCCAAAGAGGGGATGAGTGCTGTTTTTCAATAATCCAACTAAATTAATTCGTCCACCACTCCATTAACAATATCTTGATTTCTAATTAAAGTTTTTTACACCACATACAAGCAGGAATGGCAGATAAAGGAATTTTCACAAAGTGAAAACTTGGTTTCTTTGAGACATTTTTCCTGATAACTCTTTACAGAAGTAAAGGCAGCTTTCGATTTTAAACAGCTGGTTTGTTAGACATACTAAATCCTTAAACTTAAGAAAAGGAGTTCACTCATGAAGGCCCTTTTCATGTTTTTTTTCCGGTATTAATAAGAACAAAGGCTGCTTTCCTTTCTAGTTCAAGGCCTTAGTGATGTTTTGGACAACAATCTTGCACCAAGGCAACACTATGAATGCAAGACCAAAGCATGAATCAGCTTCTGCTTGGAGCTGTGCCGGGATTGGTCGATGGCACTAGAAGGTGCAGTGTGATTGGCCGATTAATCAGACCACTTAAGGCACAACGAGCTTCTGGTTGGTCCACTGATCGAAGGTGTGGCTTAAAGGAATAGAGCACTGTTTGAAAAGCCCTCATGGGAGAGGAGGTGCAGTGATGTCACTGGTCCCTGTCAGAAAAGTCTCAAAGCACTAGGTGGGTGTGGGGTGGGAGGCATTGGGGCAGCACAGAGCTAGTTTGGAACTAGTTTGAGATGGACAGACATGAGCTTAGCAGCTGGTCACTGGAGACACTCAACCAAGAGCTCCGTGATGATGCACAGCCTGGTCACCTCCGGGGTCTGGAGTCACAAGCACAGGCTGTGAAGAGAGAGACTACACCTCGCTGGCAGGAGTGGTCCGGCTCAGTTCCCTGATCCCGTGCAAAATCCTCTTCATGTGACCCACTTTCGTCACCCCAAGATCCTGGGAAAATGAAAAACAGTCATCTACCAAAAAAGTAAAAATTATTTTTATAGACGTCTAGTTAAAAGTACACCGACGATATAAAGTAGCAAACAATCCATGTTTTAAACAGCTCATCACTAGAATCTGAACGTTCAGAAAAGCATCGTCCAGATGACATGGACAATAGACATTAAATAGAAAAGTAGGTACTCAGATACAACGTGCAAGCTCTTATTGTCTCTCGCAGGTGATCCAGAAACAAGCATTCCACAGCAACGTGAATTTGTAATCTCATTTCAACATATCAACAAACACTGTGAAGGTTTTTCAGCAAGGATTTAAAAAAAATCATAGCAGACAGCCTATGGCTCCATTGAAACCTGCCCTGAGGGGAAAGACCAAGGGGCACATTGCAGAAATCAGCCCAGGGCTTTGGAGTCTTTAGAAGCAAACAGTCCATTAGTGAAGGGAAAGTCGATGACTAGATGTGAAGAAATGAATGAATTTAGGAAGCAGGTTTGTCAACATTAGCCTCAAACTTTACAATCTATCCAATGTATTCAAGAGAACCACCTGATTACTCAGCTCACTAATTAGAATATAAACTGTGTTACTTAGCAGACTAAAGTCACTCACTCACAGTGTCTCAGTGCTTATTTGGCCCAATCTTCTTCCTACCCAGAATTTAACTTTTAAAGACATTACTGTTTGCATTTCTGGTTTTCCATCCCACTCACTCACATTTAGCCAGATCTCACCTCCTCTGCCTGATTTATCCCACAGACAATACTCCTCCAAATATAAGGGACCCATTCCTAAGACCTGCCTTCTGCTGCAACTTGGAACAATATACTGATCCTTTCATCCCTCAAAACTAAACTTTTCCTGCCCTCCTGCTGCATCTTCATCTTAGACTTAAGTCTAAGTCTTAAGACTTAGACATTAGTTCTGATGTTCAGTTGCGCACTGTGCCCCTCCTCCTACAACTACAAGTCCCTCAGTTCTGAACTCAGGATCACATGACGCTATAGCCAGATCGCAAGTCCCCTGCAGGAGTCTGATGTGACAAACCCGATCACACACCTCCTGTGAGACGTGTGAGGAGGGATCAGAGAGGAGCATGCACGAGGTGGTGGGGAGGGGGAAGGCGATACCTTGAGGTCGCGCCTCTCCAGGTGCAGGAGCTCAGTGCCCCGGACATCGTGCCCAATGAAGATTTCCTTGTATTCGCAGAGGCTGAGCAGTTCCAGCCAGGCCGCCACCTCCTCCGTTCCCCACTGATGCACTGTCAGAGAGGAAGCCCCTTCAGTACCCGCTCACCAGAGAAAGAGAGTGTCCACAGCCCCACCACATTTCTCACACAGAGCGCACGGCGCAATGGGCCACAAGTCAGGAGTGGAAGATCCCTACTGATCCACTGCAGTAGGCTGCTGCCTTTGACGCAGTGTGGGATTTACTGCATAGCATCCTCTATGTACTCTTTACAAGCCAGAGGATAGCCAAACAGCCAACCAGTAAATATCAACTCTGTTCTTTCATGCCCATCGAGCTTTATAAAAGATCCTGTCGCACCGATGGCCGATCAAGCCTATGTTATACTACTGTCATTTAAGGAGCAAAACAAGCATTGTATCTATGCCAATCTACTTGGAACATGAGAGAGGGCCATTCGGCACACCACGCTTGTTTGATAAGTTAGTAGTTTATTGATCCTAGGATCTCCTCCAGTCATATCCTTCAAGACACCAGGGAATTGTCTTTTAACAGCATGGCTGGGGAGGTTGAATTTGTGAATGCCTTTGAGGATTCTGAACACTTGAATCATTATCTTTTCTGTTGTGGCAGAGTACAACAGATATTGTTTTTTTAGAACAGACTTCTAAAAAGAGATTTTAACTTGCCATTCTGAGATAACTAATAATCAGAAATTACAGTCTGAGAGAAGCCTGGACTTCAGTAACAGAGTGTAAACATAATATATAGCACAAGTACACAAAAAACTGCTTTCTATTGACTTGTAGAGAGTTGAGAGAGAGACTTTGAATGTGGGGGGATTGTAGAACAATCTGTAATCACCAACCCTCAGAGCACATCATCCCAGATGAAAAAAAACAGAGTAGACTTCTCTGTGTGAATAAGACTGACATCTTAAATCATAACTCGTGTTGGAGTGGTGCAACAAACTCACAGAAGTCTTTTAGCATTAAAGAAAGGAAGGTTTACTTAGAATATGGGCTCTCGATCCAGAAAATTACATGCAGATTACAGTACCATTCCTCTCAGTAGCACATTTCAATAGCAAATTGCTTTTCCCTAAAAGCAGCACCACACTGTGGTAAAATGAATAGGGAGATGTTAAAAATCTACAGAGCCCATTAGACATGTTTTTAATTTCCATTGTCATGGAAGTTTAATATATTTTGTACAAAAATTCATTTAGCAGTCAGTCCATCATACAGAGAAATTTAGGAAGAGAGATTATATAACAACCAAATCGCATAAGACCCCATTTCCCCCTGATTATCATCTTGATCCCTCAGGCTGCAAAGCACATTTTCTGACATTGAAGCAGTTACGTGTACAGATCTTCATAATCACATACTCGGAGACCAAAGAAAAAATTAAAAAGGAAATGGTATATGTGGTGTCTTTGCATTGTTTTAACCAGCACAGAATGTCACCGATCCCACCGAGTATACTGGCCAAAGTAATGAACACTTCCTCCTGTCTGTATTGGTGCCACAGATCCACAGAGACATTTCTTCTCATGGGGGGTGTGTTAGTAGGTCTGCATGTGTGAACTCGAGAGTATGCCGGGCAAGACTTTCTACTGCTATCAGCTTTGAGAGAGATCTTTTCCCTCTTAAAGCTCAGGGCTTATGCAAGCTCCTAATACACAAGATTGGGGAGCATAAGCTTCCCTCATCTGCCTACAAGATCACCGCAGATCAGATTATAAGCATGCTCCTGTGCTTCCCAGTCCAGAGCGCAAGACCTGTGAAATGTCAGAGGTGACCATGACGTAGTAACACGAAACCAGCTCATAGTCTGATCTTCTGGCTCATATGGGAGCAGGGAATAATGAATTCCCAATCACACACTTTACAGCCCACATTCTGGTTTGTGCATGGGAACTCCATGACACATGACTGTTGATATGACACTACTGATACTACCCTGCCTGTGGAACAAGACCCAGGTTTTTAAGACCCCTCTTACAACTAATGGCATTTCATACCTGGTAGCCCCAAGCTGGCACTGGCCTCCTTATTCTTGTTATTCTTGTCCTTCTTAAACTTGGGCACCAGGCGAAACTTTGCGCTGCGACTCCGTTTGGCAAACTCCATGTGAGCCTGGAGGGGCAGAGGGAGGGAAATCGGTCAGACTCAAGGGGCAGGAAATGCTCTTTGCTTCCCCTGGATCAAAATGAAGAGCACATTCAATTAATTGATTATATGACTGCAGAACATTCTGAAAGCAACTTGGTCTTCTTCATAAAAACCCCCACATAAAACAGTCTGATAGTGAAAGGGCAGTAGGGTCAGACAAGATGACAGGTTGTACATTCCCCACAATGGGGGGCGGTGTATGGCTCTGTGACTAAGGATCTGGAAGGTTGCCGGTTTGTATCCCGAAGCCAGCAGAGGAATCCTACTCCGTTGGGCCCCAGAGCAAGGCCCTTAACCTCAACTGCTCCAGGGGCGCCATATAAATGGCCGCCCCTGCGCTCTGACCCCAAGCTTCTCTCCCCGTTTGTGTGTCTCATGGAGAGCAAGCTGGGGTATGTGAAAAAAAGACAAATTCCTAATACAAGAAATTGTATATGGCCAATAAAGTGATCATATCCTATCATTCCCAACAGCTTTCTGGGAAATGTAGTTTAGACGAGAACTGTCATCTCATCTGGATGCTGCACACTGGTGGTGGTGGAGGGGAGTCCCCATTACCTGTAAAGCGCTATGAGTGGAGTGTCCAGAAAAGCGCTATATAAGTGTAAGCAATTATTATTATTATTAGTATTAACCCACAATCCTCTCACATTAACTTTACTCTATAAACCAACGTTTGTGAAAAAGCGGTGAAAGAAGTGTACAGGTTTTCTTGCTCATTCCAGGTAGGAGGGTACCTCGTCGTCTGAGGGCTCAATGACCTGGCACAGCCACGATATGTCTGCCAGTTTGCGGAGCTGCTGGTCTACACTGCTCAGGGCACTGGTCAGCTGCTCCTTCTGAGGAGGATCCAGTTGCTAGAGAGAAATGCAGAAAGGTCAACACCAGGACTTGGCACAATAGGAAGTGTGCGAAACAGCACTACATTTTTAACTGCCATTGAGCTGCACTGTTTTTTTTTGCCTAATTTGTCTACATATGATTCTTCTGACAAAACAATAGCGTATCACTTTATAAATGTCTGTGTTTACAGCAATGTTTTGTCATTCACTCGTCAGACATAAAAATGGTGCTGGCAGGTTTAATTCCCTTGATTAAATTGGGCCAGCATCAAGCAGTTTGCTACAGTTTTTATCATTTAATTTTCAGACTTCTCAAATCTAAGACTTTTCATCTATTTTCATCCATTAAAAATGAATCCAGAGAAATTCAAAATTTGGAAAGATTAGAAAAAAAGAAAAGCAACACATATTCTGTTCATCGTGTCTCCACTTAATTAAGAAACGGAATCACGCACTGAAAAAGGCAACAGTCTTTCCGACTATGGGCTGACAGCAGTAGGAGTGTGTTACTGCTCCCTGTCTGTTGCAGCAGACTCTTGGCGAAGTGTGAATTTGGCACTTACCAAGCACATCTTTCCAGCCAGCAGGAGCTCTGTTTCGTTGTGCAGTGCTTTGACGTTGCTCACCATCTCCATCACCACACTGCAGTTCAGGCCCTGGACAATTAAGACACGGGCAGGTCGGAATGTCATAGGTTTCAACATTTGTCCTACCGCCAACAATCTGACCTGTGCTTTTAATTTAGTCTTCCCATATCTCTGTGTCTAGACAAGATGGTTGAAGTGTCCAAGAACACCAAGTGTTCAAGAACAGTTCCAAATGTTCAAGTATTAGAAGGCTGTTGTGATAAAGTTTCCAATGTCAGTGTCAAAATAAATGTCACACAGTTTTTAAAATCCTCAAAGACACTTGCAAAGACAACTCAGTGGATTCCTGCAGAAAGAACAGTGAAACACGACCCACAGAGCAAAAATAGAAACTATGTTAAAGTACACTTAAAACTGAGTGCAGGGGGCACTTCTTTACTCAAAGTGCTGTCAGAGTATGGAACAAGTTACCCAACTATTTTGTTGGAACATAGACCCTGGTTCCTTTCAAGAAACAGCAGGATGAGATTCTCACATCAATAGGCTACCAGCTACCAAGCAGGCCATTTGGGTAGAATTGCCTCCTCTCATTGGTAACCTTTCTTCTGTTCTTAATAGGCTGGCTTAAAAGAGCAGGGTATCTGACAATGGGGACCTGTCTGCGCAGGCCTGTGAATACCACAAGAAGTGCTATTTTCTTTCTTTACTGGTGAAGGGGGCTCTGCTCTCTATTGCCATTGATGTACGCAGACTGCAGCTGCAGGACCTACCTCTGTGTTCTTCGATTTGGCGTAAACAACATCCATAGACTTGGAGCTGGCGTTGACCGCGTGGGCGAGCTCCTGCTCCATGTTCTGGTGAGACTGGGCAATCTCTCGGATACTGAGTGCCCAGGGGAGCAGAGAACCATGGTTAACACAGAGGTCCATCCAGTTAAAAGCACAAGAACACCACCGAAGGGCTGTGTGTATGGCTAGAAAATGTGTCATTAAAGACTGTACACACACACACACACACACACACACACACACACACACAGAGCACCTAGTCCTAAAGACAATGGCGTGAAACCAGTTTGCCCTTAGACATCTCACAAGGCATAAAGTTAACAAGGAGGCTCAGGAACCAAGATAAATCCTGCAGAATATTTAGTATCTCCTCTATACTACGTCAGAATGCAAAGAAGACAAGAAAAGAAAAGACTAAAAAGTAGGGAAATCAGTATGAATTGATTCAGCATATAAACGTAGAATTAAGTTACCTTCATTACAGTAATAAAGGTAAGGAGGTTACAGGAAGGCCAAATGGATGTTCAGTATAAACCGCATTTTGAAAACCTTGCTTGGCGCCTGTACCTGTGAATGAGGGCACCGGCTGCCTGGCCGAAGAGGTTGATCTGAGCCGCTTCTTCCTCTGACACGATCCCTGGGTGCAGTGCATGCTGGGCCGAAGGGCGGGCAAACTCACACTTCTGCTTGTCCTCCCAGGACTTCAGGGTGTTCTCAAAGGCCTGAGAGAGGGAGGAGGGGGAGGGGAAGAGTCTGAGTGTAACCAGGGCGGACCGAGCTGGAGCCAGTGGGTTCTGGGGCTACAGATCCGAGCTGCTACCCACCCTGTCCCTGGTGAGGGTCTGCGTGCGGTTCTTGTGGACGATGCGGATGTACCCTGGAGGCTGGACCCAGGCCTCCCCGTCCACCTGCACCGGCACACCTTCGTCCCCCAGGATGGTGATCTTCACGGTGCGACACTGAGAAGACCAGAGGCAGCGGGAGGGAGACAATGAACAAGGTACGAGCCGTGTGTTTAAAACCAGCATTAGTGCACCACTACTGGGCTATGTTTACCTGGGAAATCTGATTTTAACGAAGAAACCCACAGAGAGAGCATGCAAACTCCACACAGATAGCTGTCCAGATACAGAATTGAACCCAGTGCTGCAAAGCATCAGTGCTAACCATTGCACTACCATGCTGCCTGACAGAAGTTTTTTTTTTTTTAAAGTAATCTTTAGCTCTGAATTCCTTTGTGTACTGTATTTCTTAGTCTTGACTGACAATTAGAAAGCAATCCCTGGACATCTGAACCCAACCTACATAGACAAGCACAGCACCCAGCTAATTGTAGGGAAGCTAAACACCTCAGCGCAGCTGAGCAGTTTTATTTACAAAATGCATTCTGTAGAACTAAGAGGAAAGACAGCAGTTTTCTCGGAGATCAACTCAAATTCACATGTCATTTCTACATTATTCTATACCCTTAGGTACAACGTGAACTGACTCTTGTTAAATAAATGCAGTGCTAGTAAAAACACATATCTTTGCACACTGCAAACATCAGAAAAGCCCCTTTGTCAAACATCCATAGCCTTACTGATGACCTGTTACACAACAGGTGAACTGTAATGCTTTTAAACTTCAGAAAAGCAGTCTTTACAAAATCAGACACTCTCCCATGACAATCTGAAAAGCACTTTCCCTCGCCTGCCTCCTCTAAGACCAGCAACTGACAAAGGTACAGCGGAGCCTGTAAACAGAAAGCCCAGGAAGCCCCTCTGGCACGCCTGGGCTCCTCTCTGGCCCTTACCTGTGCAATGCGATGGTGCTGCAGGTTGATGACCCGGGACACGGCCATCTGCATACTGCCGAACACCGCAACCACCTCCAGGATCTTGTCATCGAAAGAGGGCGCTGTGAAGGTCTGGAGGAACGAAAAACAAAAGACAGAAGTTTCTTCATTACCACCCATCATGTAGAGACAGCATCAAAGCCCTTCTTCATTCTCAGCATTTTAGGGAACTGATGCACGAGAGGGTCAGGGAGTTTGTCTCTTCATCTGTGCTAATAAAAAGTGACGGAAGCGCCAATGAAGTACTTTAACACTGCTGTTGACGGAAGTGTTTCAAATCTAAGGGATATAAGGATATCTACAGAGTATATATATATAAATAATACAAGGGTGTCTGTAAATAAGAGATGGATTTAGCCTACTAAACATAATGGTTAGTATTGCTGGGCAACTTATCCTTAGAAGAAAACCATTTTGCAGTAAAGTAGGAAATCTTGATGCTGCTGATAAACCACAGCCTTGTGCATCTGTCACAGAGGTTAACATGTACACTACAGGCATAGACCCGAGGCGATACCAGGATCTCCCCTAAGCCTAGTGTGACGGCAACTTTATAATTACTAAGCTGGGTTTAATATAAATACTGCAAAATCCCACAAGGTAGCAGAAAAACTAGAAAAGGTGTGAAGAGAGGTTTCAGAAGTTTTCTCACATCATCCTCCTTGGTGCCCCCCCAGAAGTTGGTGCCCCCGGCATAGCTGGGTATGTTGAGCACAGCAATGCCCTGCAAGCTGGGCAGTGGGATGGGTCGCCCGTCACACTGGGGAGAGAAAGAAATGCATGAAATGAGGCACAAGATCCATGGCTGGCATGAATGGGGGCTTACTGAAATTCATTTCCAGATCGTGTGTCACATTTCTTCTTAAGATTTACAATTCTAGCCAAATATTACAATTTCCAAACAATTAATGCGTGTTCACCTCTTTAGATGTTTAGCATTTAAAACAAGATGAACATCACCGAAAACAAACAAGCAAAGGTTAACTGCAAGCTGAAAAACATTGCGGCTGTAGAGCCCTCTCTGTGTGTGTTCACCATGGAATGACCCTTGACTCGTTCCTTTGCAGCCATGCATAGGAACAAGTTAGCCACTTGGACTCTTTTGCGAAGAAACACTATAGATCACGGCTTTCAAAGAAATGGATTGTCTTAAAATACGGTGCTTTCTCAGCTAACAGCTGTGAAACGAGATCTGGGTCTCGCTCGTGTGATGAGTGCGTGTCTCCTCTGCTCCTGCTGGGATTTGATCACGGTTGCACCGAGAATGCACAGTACCTCTCCCATAGGCATCCATTGGGCCTCAACACAGATTCAACAGAACAGCCCTTAGGGCCGTCTGCACAGCAGAATTCTACACTGGCCTGGTTTCCAGGTGCTGACATCACTTCTGGAACAAGCTCACTACACTGAGCCCTGTTCCACCAACACTGCAGGGGTATTTGCAAGCAGGTCCTTACCTCCAGCAGCACCTTCTGCTCCAGGTTCTTGTAGGTCCGATGGAGCAGTTCCTTCGTCCCCAGGACCCCGTACCACATCATGTTCTTCGTGCGGCTCCTGGAGAGCCAAGCCAGAGTTGAGAAAACATTGCTTCTTCCCTGGCCACCCCTGCCTGGCAATACTCTGAACTACTCCAAGGCAGGAGCTAAAAGAACTGCTCTAGATATCTTGCGATGGAGTTAAGTCTCTGAACACTACCAACAAATGCATAAAATTTGGTTTTAAAAGATTCAACAGAACTAGCCTTCCACAACGTTCACTCCAGAAATAAATATCTAATCAATTAGCCTCTAAAACCCTCGCATGCCACTTCTGACCTACTTGTACATGCTCCTCGTCCTTCTGTTTTGAGAAAATAACATTTTCATCGATGCATCAATTACCTGCACTTTTCTGGGTGTTCATCTCGCTTGTTGTTGAAGTCCAGGGAGATTTTTGCATCCAGTCCGATTCCAAAGTAGTTGTTCATCACACATTTTTCAGTGTAACAGTCACTACCAGGAGGGAAAAAGAAATTCAGTTCAACATTGCCTTGTTCACTATGTTTTTAAAAGACAAGGGAATAGTAGTAATGCTTGGCATTGGGCA